TACCAAGAAAACGGAATACTGATATGATGAAAAGACTGAAAAATGCAAAAAAAAATGTATGCCAACTCTTAACGCTGCGTAAGGTAATCTAAACGTATAAATAAGTGAGAAGAAAATGATGTTTGATAATAAAACTAAAAAGACAAAAACAAATGGGTTACTAGGAGTGAGTGTAACTGCAGACTGGTAGACTGCGAGCTCATAAAGAGCGTACAATACCTTAACAAACCCTTTTGGGCGACCATTAAAATTTGAAATCTTTCAGATTTTTATTAGCTTTTTTTGCTGTTGTTGTTGTTTTATTTTGCTTTGTTTACTTAAGTAACATCAGTCGAACCTCCCATCAGCAGATTATCACAGGAAACACGGTTTTTATCTACTATTAGGAGTGTCCATTAAGCCGGAGTGCAATAGCCTTCTACTTCAAGAATCCTGATATTTACAATTATCCATTAATGGTATTTACAATTATCCGTTAAAGGTACTTACAATTATCCGTTAATGGCGAATGTTTGTTAAAATGGAATGTTCATTAACAAAGATTATAAAATATGAATCTGCATCTTCAATATTTTGAGCAAAAATATTGAGTACATTTTATTTAACTAAAATCGCAGCTTTTATGAATTTTAAATTATGTAATCGGTAATAATTTTCGAAAAGCGTAATTTTATTTATGGCTACGTAGTTTGGTACAATTGTACCAATTATGTATAAATATTTTACCAATTCAGAAGACATTATAAAAAAGAACAGTTTTACAAACTGTCATAGTATTTTTGTTTTTACAGTTACAGCAATTACGAAAAAAAGTTGAATAAAAATTTGCATTTTAACGTAATTTCTCCTTTTATAGACAGTAGATACACAGATCTAGGATATTAAATAAAATTTGAATTTTTTTTATTCTAGTATAAAGCAAGTATTTCTTATATCTATGAGTTCTACATCATTTATTATCATTATCATCAAATATTACAAAGCTTATCAGGCTATCATCACTAAGAAATGTTATCTGTAACTGCAACTTTTTAATTTGCTGCGCCGCCTAGGAAAACATTGTGCTCTGTATAAAACAGAATCTGGTGATGTGTCGGCGCAGATGAAAAACCATACAGCCTTGTTACTTCAGACGTAAGTGAAATCATTTTTTATCTCTTGAAATTCATTATTACTTTTGTGAGAATACTTATAATTGTAGTAGTAATGACTTTTTAATATAGAATAAAAATAAGGTACAGAAATTGTATTTATTATGAAATATTAATTTTGAATATAGTAGCAATCACTGTTACGGATATACAACATTTAATTTAGGAAGTATCTTGATTAATGATCGAAGGTTATTAGGTTATTTTTAAAGTAATTGTTTCAAATTTTAACGAAATGAATTGGTTAAGACTTTATATACTGCATTTCAAATAGCAAATGTATTTTGCTAACATAATTCGCATTTAACATGTCAAAATTTGTGATAGATTTTCTTTTATTTAAAATTGCCATGAATATAATTTTTAAAGGTAAAATTACTTTAAGATGAATATAAAATTTGGTCAGATAATTTCTCATGATTTATTTCAATGTAATTTTTTTAATATTGAAAAATTCCTAAACAGTTTGTAGTGTTTCCGGATGTGAAGTTTTTAACGAATGTTTCATAATTTCTATTTATTAAACAATTGATTAAAGCTGTTCCATAAAGGTAATTTGTAGCAAATGCGGCATAAGGATTTATTTCACGTTTCCAAATTATGACATTGTCTTCTACTTTATTACCGTACTATTAATTCAACTTCTTAAGCTTTTAATACATTTCCCTTACGGGCGTTATAGCAGATATAGGAAGGACTTTCCTAACAGATATAGAAGAATGTATAAGCGGTTTCCAAAACCTATCGGAGTTCTTGCCAAAATATATTTAAAGCTGTGAAATCCTAATACAAACATTATGTTTAATATAAGCTTTGTAATATTTACTTAAAAGTAAACCTTCCAAGCTGTGTCGGTAAGAAGCATTTTAATCAGAGTAACCTTTTAGGTACGGCATTCTATTTTTAATTTCCTACGAATTGTATATTTAAAATAACCTTTCGGATATATTTGTGATATATAAAACTTCGTGACATATTTGTCGAATAACTGATATTATTACACGCGCTTGTAAGATCATCAGAAAAAAATTTGTCTCTCGAGTCAAATCTTTGAGCTTTGCTGTAATTTGATGCGCGATTAACTGAAACACGTTACCATTTAAGCTCATGTTTAGAAACAAGTTTCATGAATCTAGCGTTTTCAACCACTTGGAATAAAACTCGGGAAAACTGCAAGTGTTGAACTGCTTTGAACCCTTCAGTTACTAGCCTAAACTTCGGAGACATTTGTTCTCGTAGCCTGATAAGAAATAAAATTACGTTCAGTAAAGGAATGGTTATAATCCAGCATTCATTAAAACAAATCAATACACTTAATTTTAACATGTTTGTTGCCCCCCAGCTTCTATTGGAGTCACGCAACATTATAAAATTATTCCAACACTCCTTTTGGATGCGGGAGACCAGTTGCTGAACACTATTAGTTCCGTTCCTATGTTCGAATTCCTAGAGATGGGAGTCTGCCTGGGCGTTTCGTGGCTTTTCCCTCCAGTATAACATGTACACAAGCCAGTTTACCTTAGAAAGCCGTCCACGAAGGCATCCCTCCTCCTAGATGAGATAGCCCTCCTGTGTTTTACTATAATCAACTAAACCTTTTGGAACAGGAATCTTTCGTGTACTAAAAAGTACATTAGAAAGTTAAGTAACATTCTTTGCTTCGCCAGTATTTCTAGCACGTTAGAAACAGTGAAGAGTTAAATATTTTTCGTTTTGGCGTAGCATTTAGATATATACGGTGGAACTTTCTGAAGTTGGATCCTAGCAGAACCCAACTTATGGTTTGATGCGGCCCATTTATATGGCGCGTATCGATGTGTAGATGGACAAAGTGAAAGGAGTGTGCAATGCCAAGTTTGTGCAATTCTGGGATTTTTTTTAAGTGAAAATAGGTCGATGTGTACATGGATACCAAGTTTGTGCAATTTTTTGACTTATTTTCAGTTGGCGATTTTCAGAAACTCGCGAAGCAGTGGATGATTCTTCCCTTTCCCAGTTTGTCGCCAAGTGTATGGGCTCTCCTAGGATTTTACCCTTTCTGATTATAAGCACCGTTAATTTCAAAATTATGTAGAATTGTCATGTTCCTGGCGTGTTTTCGAATATACATGCGGCAATAGCCAACCTCGCTTTCGAGTACCACACTCATGTTCGAGCAGATTTCGCACTTTTAAACGTCATTTCTCTGAATGCCCACCGCTGTAAAAATACAAATATCGCCCATATAGATGTTTATTTTTTCCGACAGAAAGTTTTGTTTCTTGTTAAAGTTTTACTTTATGAATAGTACAGCACCTATGAGCCGGTAAACAAACATTTTTACTGATTCATAAAGTCCTCAATGAGTTGACGACCTTTTGTGGGGATGGGATAATCAAAGTAATTTCGATATTGTGTGATTGAGGTTTATAGTTGCAGTAATAACTAATTTTTTGTTAATGCGTCAAACCTTTTCTAATAGACGGGCACTTTGTTGCGGATTCGTCGAGAATGACCCAAACCCATAGGTTCTTCAGCAGTTGATCGCAGTAAAACGGGATCCTCGTAAATCACAATGGTCAACCGATTTACAAGCGCGAGAAAAGGAAAGATCTATTTTAATTTTGAGGTAGGATTCTTCAGTAGAATTCTAACTTAGGTAATCCTATTCCTATGACGGGAACGGCGGTAGAACATATAAAGCCTTGATTTAGCTAGTATACATCTTTGGAATTTAAAATATTGTATTTCTCATGTAAATGAAATAACCCGGAATAAAGGATAAAAAGAAAAGTTTGTCGTCGCTTTACAGCAGAAAGAAGGGGTATTAAGTTTGTGGAGATAAACCAATACTAGGTGGATAATATTTTCAAATACCATTCAATACGTTATTGTTGCTGTTCAATAAATCATTGTAATCAGTTGTAGAGCAAACACTATAATGAACTCTTTTATCGTATGTTTCTTATGATAAATATTTCTTGTTTTCATTAACTTAATATCATATGTATTAATATTTATTAAGTGGCCTTAAAAGTAATAGTTCAACTGCGACTTGTAGTTGGGATAGTTGATTTCTGGCAACAGAAAATAATTAAATGCTATTAACGCGAGCTACTTCGATTGGAGCCACATTTTTACAACGTTTTATTATTAGACTACATATCGCACTAAAATAGTTTTATAAAAGAAATTTGGGTACTTTCTGATTATCCTCTCGGCACTCCCACTGAGAAGTCGCGAAAATTTGTTAATGAAGCAAAGCCATATTTCGACAAAATAGTTCTGCGGCAATTCATCCAAGTAGCCAGAAACTATTTATGTGGCAAAGCCGGGAATACAAGTAGTACATGTCTGTTTTAACAGGTTCTCAAAGAGCAAATTTTACAGAGCCGAGCTCCTGTGAGTCTGATTTTTAAGCGAAGAAGGATTACTGTGCATATTGGAAAACGGCGTAAACTAAAAGTATTTCTGAAAAACTAAGTATTTTATTACCGATGTTTTTTGCCTTTTATTGAGGGATTGCTATTGCATGGAATTTAGCTCTCCTGTGGTTAGAAAATGATTTGCCTTTCATGCATTAGCACGGGGAAAGATTAACGCGCGACTTTTCGGTGGGGAATGCAGATAAGTTTTCCAAAATTTATACATGGGAGGGGGGAAGACTTGACCAACCATTTGGCGATGGTCGCGCACATATTGGAGGTGACAATGAGTTAAACAAAATATTTATTTTATATACCTGCGACGTAGATGGCATTCTAATTCTGTAAAAGTCCCTAGAATTTAAAACTTTTTGTACATTGCGTAGACAATTTTAGAAACATTTTAAATCGGTGTAATTAAATTTCACCATTTGTTTCCTCTTAGATGTTGTTGATACTTTGTTTAATTTGGACTTTGAAAGCCTGGAGGACAGCATCACAAGAGGTAAATATCTATTTTGTTTGCTTAGCAATTTTTTGCTTAGAATCTTTTTTGGGGAAAGTGCAGAATCGCCCATGAATGCTTGGCTCGTTTTTAAGAATTGCACATACTCGGTAACCATGTACAAATCGACCTATTTTCACTTGAAAAAATCTCAGAATTGCACAAAAATGGCACTGCGCACTCCCTTTACTTTATCTATGTACACATCGACCTATTTTCACTTAAAAAGTGAAAGAAAATTGACAAAAATCCAGTTGTTCTTACCCTTGTAAAAAGCGCCAAACAAATAAGTGGGCGATTCTGCACTTTAGCCCTTTTTTCTTATAAAGAAATAGATTCTTATTAGAATTATTTTTTCTTTACCTCAAACAGTTTATAATTCCTTTTATAATTTACGAATATTTTGGGGAGAAAAGAATGTAAGGAAAAGTTTTTGGAGAATTTATTTAAAAATCGGTTAGCAAGAATTTAAAGAGAAATTAACAAAACAAAATCAATGCCAGATCATTCTCCTCATAATTTTGATTTTAAAACACTGTAACGTCTTTTTACATCAGCTGGAACAAATCAAAGCATATCTGCTTTCAAAACTCGTCTTATTGGGCTCCTTAACCCTTTTAGTGCCCAGTGAAAATATCGTACCTGTGCGAAGAAAATCTGACCAATTTGCTAAGATTTGGGGAAAAGCTAATAAAAGCAAAACTAAAAATATTTACAAAATTCAAAAAGCAGCATATTATGAAATAAAGATTAATGTCAGTTGTATTTCAATATTGAAAATCCTACGAATAATATCAATGTAACACCACATAAATACTCCAAAAATAGTTCTCTTAATTCTTTTGCAATGAAATTGAACCAGTCATAACGTTCTGTAAATTTATTTTGAGATGAAATTTTCTCGAAATGCGAATAATAAGGCGTTATCTGATACAAAAATTTACTTTTCGAAACTGTTGCGAAAGACTATAATCGTCGTTCGGCAATAAAAGGGTTAAAGCACTCTGTAAACTATCTCGTTAAGTTTGTTTAGTAAATGTAACTTAACCCTTTGACTACTAACGGGGCATATATGTTCCACTAAAGGTTAAAAAATTTTTACTGGGTTAAGAATAATTAGAATCTCCTGCATATTTGAGGATCTTCTCCCAATAGTTGGAAAATCAAGGCACTGCTATGCTCGTTGTACACAAATGAACATAGAGAGAACAAATGTGAGTTGCTAATGTTTATGCAAAAAATGCTTTACCCTGTACCATACGATGTAAATCTATTCCATATAATAGGTGTGCTTATAGTTAGTCAATTGCTACGTGTAAGACATATGTATCTCATCATTAACTACTGCTGGGACATATTTGTCCCAGCCTTTGGCTTGAAAGCAGTTTGTGAAAAAAAATCCCAAATGGTAAATTTACCTTATTTATGACATGTTTTGTTCACTTGGATAGGAAATGGGGTAAAAAAAATTAATTCGTAGTCTAAGGGCTAAGCGACAAAAGGAATTGTATTGTACATGATCTGGCATATCGTGTACAATGCATAATTCTAATAACATATAATTTTTCTTTACAGTATACCTTTAAACTGTTTACGGTATGTATGTAATTTGTGAAAGTTAATATTTAAATAATATGAAATTGTTCACTTGAAATCGAAATCAAAGGGCCAGTTGAATCGAAAAAATTTCCATGTTAAATTCTTCAAAAATCTTGGTATCTGCAGTGTTCGCCGAGTATATTTAAAACTTGGTTTTCAGTTTTAAAAAAGGGCACATTGTTTTCGTCCTGTGATCTCAAAAAAAGAGCGAGATTAAAATTATTACTAATTTTTGCAGATGTGAAGAACTGTGCCCTAAACTTAACTACATTAAAATATTTTTCAGAAAACTGTGAAACGAAACATTCTATCGAGAACTTAAGATAAGCTGGGTAATTATCACCCAAAGGTACCTTTCCGAATTTTGAAACATTTTTTTTTTCCAGAATAGTAAGTAGGAGTTTCTTTCCGCCATCGGACAGAACAGCTGGCTCACTGGGTTAGGGGCTCTTCAGCCTGTTCGATTTCGTCGATGAGCATAAGTAACAGCAACAGAAAGTAAATTAAAAAAAAAAAAATTAGTACTCCGGGAATTGTAAGCTTAATGCTGTGTTCTCCGGGAATTGACCACTGTAAGTGAGGAACATTGAAAGGTCGTCTAGAACATGGAAAGAATATGAATGGCGGGGACTGAAGGGAAACTTTTCACCATCATCATGGTACATTTTGGACATACGAATATATTAGCTAATGTATTATACACAACTATATTAGCCGCTCAACCCGTATAGTGGTTAGCGCCGCTGAATGTCGTGTCGAACGGCCCGGGTTCGAATCCCGGAGAAGGCATTCATGTTTGTTAAATGTATAGCTTAGGTGCGGCATGGCGGCACTCTAAATATGCGATGAGCCGAAAGTCCTCTCGTTTGATTTGCTGGAAGGGTTTGGAATGGAATACCCTCGGGTCCTCCCCCCCCCCGCCGGAGGAGGGATCCTCATCAAAATTTGGACGAAAGTGAGCAAAATTGCACTATCACCTCTAAGGTGCTCAAGGTTGTAGCCAACGACAAGGCTAAACTAGCCCCTTCGCGCCGACTGTCACGTATACGTGCCAGCAACGAACGCACTTATCTACCGGCCGACACGCAGGCGTGCCAGAGGATTGTTGCGTTCTCTACCGACTGTCACGTATTTGTGGCAGTACTTTGGAACGATTTTCAAACTATAAATTCTGCCACAAGATGGCACTGTATGTCCATATGGTTTCAGATACATGTAAATTAGACCTTCTACTCGAAATGAGAGAAGCATGACTCACATACACGTGTTTTTGATTATATAAACAAAACTGAGGAAATAAATGTTTCCGAATTGGCGTGATTTATGACGTCTCTTTAAATCGCACTTTATTCGCATGTGGTAGTTGTTTTATTGTAAGTAGAAGTTTTTATGTGCGATAAAGCGCGTTGAGTATTTCCGTTTACAGTTCAGTTTTTAGAAAATAATTAGATCTTGTTAGACGTGAATTCTTTCTGTTTTTTCTGTTTTTACCGTTTCAATGTCGAAGCGTCGAAAATGTTTAACAGAGCATGAAATAGCAGAAATGATGCAAAATATTTCAGATATTGATTCTGAAAGATTAACTGAAAGACATTTTCCAAAACTTTGTTCAGAAGAGACTGATAAGAAAATGAGACGACGATGCTTCGTTTGTTCACATTATCGAAAAATCCTCCAAAACGGCAAATGAGTTATTACGAGTGCAAGGAATGTAACGTAGGACTGTGTGTAGATCCCTGTTTTCAAATTTTTCATACGAAAAGAGAATTTTAAGTAATATATTTAGTTTTCAGATGTATAATGTTAAAATTCATAAAATGGTGAGTAATTAAAATAAAATGTGTAAAATATGCATTTAAACAAGAAATAAGGTAATTAAAGTATATATGTATAAAAATATTTATAAAGCATAAGCCGTTTAAATACTCTATAGAGCATTATTAAACAATGCGTTGATACTTCGGAAATTTCATGGATTTAGGCTTAGTAGCAAAAAAGCCCCCGGCCCTGGAGAGACGCTCGCGTAAGACAATGCCGGCCTCAGCGATAAGCGCGTTTTCGCTACCCGGCTCGAAGGGGCTAGCGCTACTTGCCACGATGCATTTTGTGGGTTTGGGCTGATGCTACGGTCAGAGAAGTGAACATAAGTAACAACAACAGCAAGTATAAGGACAGGAACTAGGACTATTAATTTACAGTGCCAAAGCCATATAATATCTTAGCGGCATCATCAGACCATTAGAATTAGATATTGATGTTATGATTTCATTTGCGGCTTTTCTACAGATTTCTCATTTGAATCAAGAGGCTTTGTGATGAATGTTTCCTTTGGCTTAAATTCGCATCATAAGCGATGGGAAAATACTCAAATATTTCAGCTTCTACATTTTGTGTGTGTAAAATTTAATTTCCTTAAAAAAAAATGGATCCCATTTGTTTATAAATCACAATCATGCTTTCGATAACCCTCATTTTCCTTATAAAATGTTTTATGTGCACATTTGAATTATATTTAACTGCACATCATTATTGTAGATAAGTACAGAAAATCAGGGTTAATCTTTGGATTATGGTAACTTGGTGAAAATTTGGCGACCAACCCTGCTACAGCAACCTGCTAGTTTTTGTTTGGACGCCGTTTTGTTTTCACGAAGTGAAGGCATTTTTTTTTTTTTTACTCGCCATTTTTTTTCCAACAATCTGCTAGCCAAATTACGCTTATGCTAGAACTTTTATGGAACAAAAGTGCTTAATCATGACGAAGATTAGGTGCGAAATTGGGAGAAAGTACAGAATCGCAAACTGCTTGCCGCGTTTTTAAGAATTTCACATACAAGGTATCCATGTACAAGTCGACTTATTTTCACTTAAAAAGAAAAATATCTCAGAATTGCACAAAAATGGCATTCCGCACACTCTTGACTTTATCCATGTACACTGCTAAAGTCCTAGCTAGTAACCTTTATCGCCTTACCAAAATGTCGCCAAACTACCTGTTACCATATTCCAAAAATTAGCCAAAATGAGCTTTGATATAGCAGACAAAATATTACAGTAATTATTGTAATGATAATTTTTGCTTGTTGGGTAACCCTTGAAATGATTTCCAGCGCTGACAAATGCAAAGTAAAATGTAGAGCTACCGCTCTGAGTATTTTATTGGGATTAAATTATTATTATAGTTTTTGAGAGAATTTTGGAGTACTTAAATTTTGACAATAACGTACAATAATTGTTTCCATAGGGGGACAAGATTTACTGCTCTTGCGAAAAGGTGCAAGTCTGTAGGAATTAATAATAACAAGCAGGGAAAACGCCAAAATTTTAAATTTTTGGAAGAACATTTTACCTTGCCTGAATGGGGTGAAGGATTATTACAAAACGAGATGATAATGAAGGGGGAAATATGCAAAAGATAAGCTAACTTCAGCTTATGACTCCAGAATGCAATTTCCTGAAATTAGCTTTACTTTGCGTAGGATATAAATTTTAAAAAAATATATAAATTGCTTAACCAAATCTTTTTGTCTTTCCATTCGATAGACTTTTATCACTTTCATAAAATATTTCGGGCACCACTCAGAACTTGCTCAAGAAACACGGTTAATGTTACCAGAATTGCATTACCCATATCGAACACATTTTAGATGTTGTAAAAAATGCATAATTCAGTAAATGTTTCATATGTAAAAAACAGAAATGTCATATAAATTGCTCTAAATATATGGCTATAACTTTATTTCTCTAAACACTCCTAAAACCGTACTTTCATTCCAAAATTTTCTAAACATTAGAAATTCTTATAAAGTTAAACTGAGGATGGAAGATTTATGCAGATAAATTTTTGCCACGGTCAGTATGAAATAAAACATCCAATTTTCAAGGTATTCATTGCATTTTAATGACGTCGGTATATAAAATTCGATATTTTTATCGGCAATATTGGCAAAAACAGTAAAAGAAATTTCAGATCCGTGTTATTTTTTCATGACAATTTTTATTTGATTTCAGTGAATTCAAGAGAATAACAGTCAATTAGCTAAAGTTTCAAAATATCGGTAGCTCACTTTAACCAGGTCATTCAACCTCCTACGGCCCACTAGCGGTGTCTCTGAACACTGGCAGTTCCGGCTTGGATTCGAATCCAGGCGAACGGGTTGGCTGCATGGGCGCTTTCTGGGTTTTCTTAATGTGTAACGTGTATACGAGCTAATTTACCTTAGAACGTTCTCCACGAAGACATCCTTCCTCTTAGGCATATAGCCCTAGCGCGCTTTGTCATAATAAACTAAACCAAATTAACCTCCTGCGAATAGTTGAATGCTGTGGCTGAATTCCATCGCTTTTTTGATGGCCCATATTCATTTCAAATACCAGCAGTTTTATCTATACATAGTTTCATGGCTTTCTTAATGGCGCATAATCATTTTAAGTATGAGCGGTTTTCTCTATGTAGTTTCTTGGCTTTCTTAATGGCCCATATTCATTTTAAATACCGGCAGTTTTATCTATACATAGTTTCATGGCTTTCTTAATGGCACATAATCATTTTAAGTATGAGCGGTTTTCTCTATGTAGTTTCATGGCTTTCTTAATGGCCCTTATTCATTTTAAATACCGGAAGTTTTATCTATACATAGTTTCATGGCTTTCTTAATGGCACATAATCATTTTAAGTATGAGCGGTTTTCTCTATGTAGTTTCATGGCTTTCTTAATGGCACATAATCATTTTAAGTATGAGCGGTTTTCTCTATGTAGTTTCATGGCTTTCTTAATAGCCCATATTCATTTTAAATACCGGCAGTTTTATCTATACATAGTTTCATGGCTTTCTTAATAGCGCAAAATCATTTTAAGTATGAGCGGTTTTCTCTCTGTAGTTTCATGGTTTTTTTAATGACCCATATTCATTTTAAGTACGGGCAGATTTCTCTATATGTAGTACTCAATGAAATCATCCCTCGTCATTCTCAGGCAGCTGTTCTAATTAACGCTTTTATCATAAGCAAATAATCCAGTATAAACTTCGTTTCTAGATAAAGCTCACCAAATATTTTATTAAATGAACGTTTAGCTTGTTGGTGTCTACAAAAACAGTTGGATACTATTCATGCAGAGCCTTTTAATGGCCTGGTTTTGATATTACTTTCATAAATTTCTTTACCTAAAAGAAACTTTAAAGCTGAAATAATACAAGGCCAAAATTGCTGTTTGAGGAAAAAAGCATATCTTTTTCGAAATTTTGTAGGAAGGTATATACTCAAACCTGTTTTTGTGCGGTCTTTTTTTGTGGAATTTTTTGTGCGGCATATGAAAATTTCAAACTGGAACATAATTGAAAAAGTTATTAACCCTTTGCACTCCAGCGGTGCCTCTCAGGCACCACTGCATGTGATGCGATAACTCGAGCGGTGCCTGAGAGGCAACATCCGAATCGATGTGTTTATTTGTTTTTGACCTAAGGAATATCGCTTGAGAGATCTACTTGGCCTTTTGTAGATCATATTACGAGGTGTCTGAATAGCTATAAGGATGTCTTTGCAATAAAATAAAGGTTGTCTTTGCAATGCTTATGCGATTAAATGTCTTATCTCAAAAATACTTGCGACCGCGGAAAAAACTGTCTTCGACATCAGTTCGAACTCAACCTTCTTGCCGATCGCAGTATTTCTTTCAAAGTTATTGAGCCCAATAAGTACGGAACACGACGAAGAAGTTACTCCTAGCGAAGATGAGTTTAATGTTCCGGCAATAACGAACGAAATTACATCACTACATAGACAGCTTGCACATGAGAATGAAAACGGAAGTGATAAAGATAGTGACGACGTTAGAGGAGCAAGAAGACGAAAAATCCGAATAATCGATAGTGAATCTGCAAGCCAAAGTGATTGTACAGAAGAGACTGAACCTTCAGAATGGACACTGTGCACAGAAAAGCGCCTCGAGCGCAAAGGGTTAAAAATGTCATTATTCTTGTAATCGATGCCAATTCTGGAAAAACTTCAAAATTCCAAAAAGAGCTTCATTATTATATATCTGGCTACCGAGACAATACAAGCGTCTAGTGAAACAAGTCGGCCCAAAAACTGATCACCGACTACATGGTAACTGAAATAAAGTCAACGAGTGCGAGATAATACTTCAAGTGACGAAAGCCATTTTGAAACAGTTTACCATACGAAATTTTGCGTATTGTTAGACCACGAAGGATAAGGGTTAGACGTTTTGAAAAATTTTGTATATAAATAAAATATTTAAAAATGTACGCATGCGTATTTTGTAAATCAGATTAAAAGGTTTGGCGAGGTTCTAAGTAGCTGCCAAGCCTCGTGTCTTGACTTCGTTTGAAAAAGCATTTCCTAGTTATTTCCTAAGATTTTGAGTTATTTTCTACATGACTTTTTTATGCGGTTCCTAGTCACCGCTTAAAAAATTTTAATTGTGTTGCAAACATTGATTTTAATAGCTTCTCGTGAAGTTTTGTGAGATTTCTTTAAGCCTCTTTTATGTGGTCCCTATCCACTGCACAAAAACAGGTTTGAATGTATTTTAATTTCGTACTTTCTGGTACATTTATTTCTGGTATTTTTATTACCTACACCTGAATTGAAATCGTTATCCTTTTAGGATGCAGTTAACACGAAAGGCTTTGAAGCTATATTGCAAGACGCAGTACTGGATGTCTATTCTCAACACATGGACGAAATGTCTCATATTTTCCAGCCTCCAGAATTTTCCATGCCATCAGACTTTATGCGCTCTTTTCTCCCAGGCAGTGGTATCGGAAATAGAGAAGGTAAGCATTTTTAATCAATCTTTTCATACGAAAATGTTTAACTTTCCACAAATGTCTAGGATACGTAAAGGTAGTTTAAATTCAAATTTTACAAATAACATGGCTTCATAAAACTTCTATCGCAAAAAATCTATGGAGCAAAAAATGTTCAAGTTATGAAGTCGTACAAAAATTTACTGAACTCCGTAATGTAACCGACTCCAACAAGTTTAACGGCAATGGTAAATTTTAATTAGTAACGGGAATTGGGGAAGCAGGTCAAGGATAACTGAAAAACATGAATAATTCGAACTTATAATAAATAATTCATGCAAATCGCGTGTTCTATTTATATGGGGAGTTCTCAGCTACCTTATTCTTGCTTATATTTTATAAGCTATCCTGAAGAGGCCTTAAAGTTGATTTCTAATCCCTACTTTTCATGGAAAACTTGGATATTTCACCATGCACCTTTGACCGCTGATCAAAGAATCAGCAGAACTTCTGCTCATTTCTGGGAAACTATATCAGCAAAGCTAAATTAAATTTTCGTATGCCGAGTTTCATGTTCTTTCGGTTATAAAAATCTGTCGCACTGTCACAATAACACGTGAAGGTATCTAAGTGTTTTTTAGCCCGAAGGGGCAATTTGCCATTTCGTTTTTGCATTTTGCTGTGGTTGACTATAAAAGGCGTTTCACTTTCCAGATTGTTGCCACCAAATATTACAGCTCTGCATTATATTTAAAGAAATCAAATAACGAAGAATCTGTATGAATGTATGTATGTTTCTCGCATTGTGAAAAAACAACGGTACCTAGAGTTATCCAATTTTGAATGTTATCTTCCACTCTAATGTATGGAATATCTGAGCATCTGGAAGCCCAAATATGGAACTAGTTTTATCTATTTATTTTTTAAAACTTTAACGAATTTTTAATTAACACACTCGACGAATACAAAATTAGCAATGGCAACACCGTACGAAAAAAAAAACATTTTTATCTACAGCGCTCGAGACTGTGCATCGGAAATTCTAAATACATGCTCTAATATATAAATTCTAAATATATAAATTTTGTTATTGCTCTTGAATTTAATTTTATGGTTTAAGTTCAAAGAACATGGTACTTAATAAATAAAGACAACACAAAACGCCGCTTTGGGCGTAATATAAAATCTAAAAGCTTTCAGAATTTATTTTTTCACGAATAGTTTGTGCGATAATTCTATATTCCTCAGTAAGTTTTATTGTTGATTCGCCACGTTTAAAATTTTTTGAATAATGCAAGTTTTTGCTTTAATGTTTAAAACAACTTTCTTGTTTTTATTATTTATAACGTGTTCCTTTTTTCAATCTAAAATTCTGAATCGATTTTTAAATGAATAAAGCAATATATGCCCGAAAATGCGTACGAAATAAAAAAAAAATCCCAGTAATCAATCGAAAATAAAAGATGCCTTCGACTGTGTATATGCAGAACGAGTTGCACGAGCTAATCATTGAAACTAATCCTAATGATGCTATTCAGCAATTTTTTGGCTTGTGTTTGTTTAATAAGCGTGCTTGCTTGGATAATCCACATCCGGATAATCAAAGAAAAAAAGCACCGTAGCTCTTTAATGTTTCTTCGTAGTTTCTGTATTTGTAAAGATCACATTTCCCGCAGAAGCATTGCTCTATGTCAGTTTTTGTTAATGCGTTGTGAAATTTTTTTATTTTGTCTCAACACATCCTAGAAACTTGACTTAGACCAGATTTTAAGCATTTATCTAAATTTTAGAAAATATTGATGAATATAAAACGCCTATTTAAAAGTGCATAGTTATTTTCACTTGTTTTATTTACCTGCCGCTTAAGTTTCCAAAATAATTCTTCATTGAGGTTGCGCTCTTTAAAGTTCGGGCATCTCGGGTATAAACTAGTATGCGGGCCCACTAGCCGCTGAGCGGTAAAGTCGCTGAACGCTGGTAGTTCGGCCGGAGGTTTTTAATCCCACGAAAGGAATGGTTGCATGGGAGTTTTCAGTTTTTCCGCACGTGTTATGTATATGCGAGCCAATTTTTCCTTAGAAAGTCCTCCACGAAAGCATACCTCCGCTTACGCAAAAAACCCTCGAAGCTTTACCGTAATTACATAAAACAAACCAAACCTAAATTAGTATGTAATCGGTCTCGTGAAACTCCAGGTAACAAGCTAGAATAGCTCGAGGATAGCATTTTTAAATACAGTGTACTTCTGAAAAGGTCATTTTTCTGCTTAAACTTTCTGCTGCTTCTTATTCGCCTTGGGCACCATAAAAAAAACTAACTGCGAGTGAGAGGCGCTATTAAGAATTATTTTAGTTACATTTTATTTCTCACAAAATCTTGCTCAAATTTTGTGCTGCTGGAAGGTCATGATATTCTCTTCTCAAGCCATCCATACAAGTGGAAACAATTCACAAGAATAAAACTGGTTTCTATTTATTTATACGCTAGTTAAATAAAATAACTTCCATTTATATGCTAATTAGTTTCCTTAATTAAATAAGCGTAAATTTAGCATAAATTGGCATAAATTAGCGTTTATAAATAGATCAAGTAATGTTTAGTATCTTTTTAATACTACTCATTTGAAATCGAGTACTGAAATATGTTGAATAGTTTTCGACAGGAACCGTAACGTTGTTTCAGAACATTATCATCTTAGCCGACTTTATTCATTGATACGTGACAAATGCAATTAATATAGTTACTCTCTCGTATAAGCTTAAACTACAATATTATTTAAATTTTATCCTGAAATTTTCTTATGTGTATAGGAACTGTTCAGGCACGAATCTTAACATATAAAAGCTTAAGCTAACAAATTTAAAGTTTTACTTAATGTCTATTATGTAAGAATACAGGTCTAATACAGGGCAATGTCTATTGTGAAAGAATTCACCCGACATAAAGTGTATTCCTAATCGTGTTAAATAAATTCATGTAATATAAGAAAATTTGTCAAATTTCAGCAATGAGTGACCTTGGGAAAAGTTCTATGCTTTATATGAACCACAATTACATAGAGTTCATTACATGGTGGTAGTTCGCAATGTTAATGTAAAGCAAAGATGCTCCTTCTTTGATTATTAAAAATTTACCGAAATCGGTCATCGAAGATAGAAATGTGAGATTTTTATCATTTCATAGTCCTGTTTGTATATGTTATTATTTATGTGTTCCGAGCTAAGTCACTACACGGAAGGGGAGGTGCCTTCGTGGAGCACTTTCTAAGGGAAACTGTCTAGTATTAACACGTTACACATAGCGAAATTCACGAAAACGCCCATGCAGCTAACCCGTTGGCGGGATTCGAACCTCGAACCGAACTACCAGTGTTCAGGGACTTTACCGCTCGACCGCAGACCTATTGTCATATGTTTTGGTACTAAGTTATGTCAGGTGTATGTAAGATTAGCTAAGTAAAACCAAAGTAATAAGAGTATTCCAGTGCAAACTGAAAGTACTATGTATGCAACTAATAAAGTAGTACTATACTTTGTTTATTAATGTAATATCATTGTAAAGTATTATTGTGATGTATTATTGTAAAGTATAATTGTCTAACAAAATATTGTTGTCTAAGCAATATCAAAGTGTATCCAAGTGTAAGTAATATCAGAGTAATAAGTGTATGAAAGTAATATGAGTACCAAAGTAATACCAAAGAATAAATGCAACTAAGTTATATCTAAGTATATGTAAGTAAAACCTAAATGTCCCCAAGTGAAAACCGAAAGCATTACATATGCAACTTGTAACGAAATACATAATGCACATTGATATCAATTTACTATTTTGCAAAATTTAAAGTGTATCCAAGTAACATGAATATAAGCAATGCCAAAGAAATATTGTGTCTAAGTAATATATAAGTGTATCCAAGAGAATCAAAGTGTATCCAACAAAGTAAACTGAAAGTACTAAGTATGCAACTTGTAAAACAACACGTAATGCATAACGATATCTCGATCATGTAAAGTGAGTCATAAGAATATGTAAATAATAAGTACTGTCATGTTTAATGTACAAGTGCTAAGTAAGTGCAATGAATATGTGTAAAAAATAAGTCATTAAAATGCGCAAAAATTAAGCATTGCTATACGTACTATCTGCAACTTCTAAGCATAGCCTTGGAAAATAAAAGGTGCATCCAAGCGATAACAGGTTAAGAAAACGCATTACATCCATGTGTAATCCAAAGAGCATATTAAAAGCTCAGATTAGATATGTAAGTATCAAAAATAAAGCAAAAAGGGCATAAATAGCAATGAACATTGCCTAACAACAAATGCCAAGCCTGTATATCCTCTACAAGGCCCACATATGTCCAGGAATTTTTACACGTATTCATATCTGACTATTTTTGCTTTAATATCTGTATTCTTTATTCAAACTGTGGATTTATAATTATTTGTATAATTCTTATTCTTAAAACTGCTCAAATAACAACAAAGCCAGGCATGTATCTTTTCTTCAAGGCTCCTGTATGGCCATGTATATTTCTTTTAGGTCCAATAAATACTGCGGCTTGGGCAGTTGGATGCTGGTGCCACGGGTGGTATTTCCGTTTTGGTTGGCAGCAACTGCAGTGAAGAGGAACCGGACGCTGGGTCTGGGTGTCTGCTGTGAGCCCCTTGCGTGGGCCTTCTGGGGCCAAGCTCTAGATAGTTGCAGAATCCGGACATTACCCGAAAAGTCCTAGTAAGCCGTACGGGTGTCCGGCCCTGCTGTCACCTGTCGTATGTTTTTTCCCCGTGCAGTAGATTATACCACAATGGTTGTCCTAAAGGATTACTTGGAAACGGAATGTCGTTGACGAAAATGAAGGCTAGTTTGTCTTTTGGGTTTCTATGAAAAAATTCCTCCATCAACGGCAATTCAGAAGTTTATATGGATGCATCCTTTTAGATGTTAAAAACATCAGGAATTGATACAGAATGTTCGAAACAAACTTAGCGTTTGTGACCTAAGAAATAGGCGCTGGTGAGTGACGGGACTGTTGATGACATTTGTGAGATAGTGTCTTTGTCACCCCTCTTCGTGATGCTGATACTTTGGAAACCAGAAAAATAAATGCTATATGAAGTGTTAACCCTTCGGTGGTTGCGAAATTAACTCAAGCAATTCCTTCTTCCCAAATACTCGCGATATCTGTTGTTAAATTTGTAAAGCGAGCTGAGTTTATTTGCGCTGCTGCAGTGCATAACTGGAATGTGGGCTGAGCTCGCTGATGACCATCAAAATATTTACTCATTACGCCACTACAGTGCGTAATCGGAATGCGAGCTGACCTCATTTAAAGAACATCAAAAGAATAGCTGGTGAGAACTAAAATACCGGCATTTTCAAAGCTACAAAAGATGCATTAGTATGGTACTTTTCATTAAACTCAATTACGGAAATTACCCATTTTCACAAAACCACCTATGTCTAACTGGATTAGTTTCGGCTCTGTTAGTTTTCATAATCGAAAAGATGTTATATTCACCTTCAATACCGTACCAGTTTCCATGCAGACGATCCACAATCATAAAATTAGATTGTAAAATATTCAAAATGATTATCTATAATATTGTTACGAAATGTACAGACGCGGTAAGAGGGCTTCCCTGCCAAGCAGTTTTAGGGTTGACATAACATGGCAAAGGAAGGCAGGTTTGCCATATTTGGCGAGAAATCGCCCATTTGGCGACGAAATTGGCAATATGCCATGGGCGGATGGAGAACCTTTCTGGAACGAATTCTTACCGGTTTAGCCCGGAATGTTCTCGAACACAAGCCGAAAGCTATACAAACCCTGCTGGTCCGCAGTCAGAGTAAGAGTGCCTCGTCTAGAGTGCGAGATGGTTGGTGTCTTGTCTAGCGGGTCAGTCCGTGCGAGAGACGATAGAGTTGACAGCCGGGCAGCGAGTGCCGAGTGGCTCGTTGAGTGCATCGAAGAGTTTCTTAGTGTATCGCGGTTAGTGCATCGTCGAGAGAGTGTGTTAAGGTCTGGGAACGACTGAATAGAAGAGTCGGGAGCTGTGCTTTTGTGTGTCGTCGAATGCATCGCGAGTTGTAGCGTGGAGAGCCTCGAGAGTACGTGGAGTTCCGAGAACGACCGAGCAGAGTCGGGAGCTGTACGCTGGTGCTTTGCAGTGAAGCTGTCTCCACCATTATTGCCTGATAGTGTGCAGGCTGTGTCGCTGATTGTTCCAGCACGTTTATAGTAGATCTTCGATGACTGTAAAACGTGATTTTGGAGCTGCCTTGATTAATACGGGCCAATAAAGTGTGTTTCGATACTTCATCAAGTGTCGTTGACTTTCACTCAAAATCCACATGAACCCCGTACGAACGTGAAGGAAAAAAATAACGTAACAACTGGTGTCAGTAAAAAGTAACAAATATCGCATGAATTGTAGTATAGTTTATTGTTGTACCATTGTACTGTATTTTCAGTAACTAAAACGTTTTTTGTTTTGTTTCAGAACTCATTATCGAAAGCATTAAACCACTACCAGTGTTTGACGATATGACTTCTACCCAGTGGCGCTACAAGAGATTCAATAACACCGACTACATCCTGGCTGTCTCACAAAAGACTGTTTTACTCAGTCAAATTGATTCGAGCATCGAAAATTATTTCGTGTTGTCAAAAGACAAAGCTGTTCTAAATTTTGTCGCAGACCATTGGAGTGAGTACCTTTTTAATACTTTTTTTTATGTGGAAAATATTATAAAGCTTGATGTCTAAATGATTTGGCAACTATGAGTTTCGTTTCTATGCCACGCGGATCGGCTATGCAATTGTTTTCGGAGCCATAACACTTAAGCGAAAGATTCCGTACCACGTTCAGTAATCCTGAACGAAAACTTCTAAACTGTAAAACGTAAATGCTAATGGAATGTTTCCTCACAAAGAATCTAATATGTTTTAAAGCTTAAAAAAAATCTCTCATTTTATCAATAAAAATTAACTTTTAAAGACTCCTTTCGCAATTCATGTGTAGCGTTAATGTGAACCAGCTTACTTCAAAAGAACCTGCACATGGGCATCCTTGCATTTTGATTAGTCGCACAGGAAAGCGGTGTAGCAGCAGGGTCAAGGACCCTACCCCTTGTCGAACATGTAGGGTGTTTCGAATGCTGTCAACATTTTGATTAGCTGGCTTTCGTCAGTTTTTCACTACTCAGTCCGACTGCATCTGTTAAATTTTATTTTTCGTCGGGTACCATGTTAAGGTTCCAGCAGTGGCTTAATATCACAGTGTTGGTAATTCAACCCTGATTTGTAACCTATGTAAACAGATTGGCTGTATAGGTATTTTCCCCATGCGAAACGTCAACCAGTTTTGCTTAACCTACCACGAGTTCATCTGTTTCCTTAGGCAATTAACCCTCCATGTGCTTTGTCATATTCAAATAATATACAGAGAATATAAACTTTCTTTGCCTAGACTTCTATAGTTTCCAAGTAGTGCGTACTCGTCCCTGTCAAAAAGGACCTTGTCCTGGAGAGTCGTCAGTTTCGGAAGAAAATGTTGCAAAATTTTGCCAGCTGTTTCTGCGAAGCTAGGTCTAGAAACTCCAGCCCTTTTAAAACCTTTACCCGTGGGCTACAGACACTAATTTGCCATTTAAATAAGTATTCAGGTAAAGGCAAGTAAAGTAAAACTATGTGATAGGTTTTTCTGCATTCCATTCCACATTATTTAGCAATTTTTAAGTCTCTAAGGTGGTCTTAAATTCCTTGAGACTTATTTAATGTAGTCAATGGATGGGACATAGATCTCCCAGCTACGCATAAATGATATACTTGATTGATTACCACTGATAGCTCGTTTTAGTGTAATGCAAAGAATTCCATAGAGATTTGACAGTGAAAGTGTTGGAAATGATCCAGATTTAGAGGAAAGAAAATTAATTGCCAAAATTCCTCCTGTTGAGTTACTTCATAGAAAAGTAATCATTTTTACGAATCATATTCTTTTTCAGGCCCCCAAGCGGGAAAATTGCTGAACATTAGTAGTTTGGTGCGAAGTTCGAATTCTGCGAACGGGCTGGCTGCATGGACGGTTTCTTGGTTTTCCCCATGTGTAACGTGTATACGAGCCAATTTTCCTTAGAAACTCCTCCACGAAGGCATCCCTCTTCTTGGACAAATAGCCCTCGAGTGCTTTGCCATCTTTCCCCGTCTTTCCCCCGTGAAAGGACTTTCCCCGTCTAGTTGCATGTTTACAGTGCCGCCATAACGTAGGAAAGGACTTTCCCCGTCTAGTTGCATGTTTACAGTGCCGCCATAACGTAGGAAAGGACTTTACCCGTCTAGTTGCATGTTTACAGTGCCGCCGTAACGTAGGAGAGGACTTTCCCCGTCTAGTTGCATGTTTACAGTGCCGCCATAACGTAGAAGACTTTCCCCGTCTAGTTGCATGTTTACAGTGCCGCCATAACGTAGAAGACTTTCCCCGTCTAGTTGCATGTTTACAGTGCCGCCATAACGTACCGACACTGTACATTTACAAACATCCATGCCTTCTCCGTTGAACGCGGGCTTCTTCTGCGTGATAGTCAGCGACTCTAACCACTATACCTTTTGGGCGGCGAAGAACTTGTATAGTAATGCGTGATATGCGTACATTGAAAAGAACTCGTTATGTACATTTTCCAAAACATCTGTATGATTCTCCAAGTCTTAACTTTTTTTTCAGGTATTGTAATAGATGTTGCAATATACATTCGTATGGAAAATAATTTAGAAGTTCTTTATGTGGCGATCCTGACTCAAAATACACAGACTAGTTTCGTCTACGTTTATGAAGTCATGGGGGACAGCAGCTTCCGGGTAAGTAGCGAATTTCTTCATTTCAGTATGAAGAGAGAGGGATTGCAAGTCCTAAAAGTTATAAAAAAATAAACAAACTATTTATGCAGTTTTCCGTTACTAATCAAAAGGACACTTCTTTATATTAGGTTTATATTCTATGCTTTGTATCCTACCGATTTCTTTAGTTTCAACCACCACACTGAAAGTGTTTTTCTGCAGGTCAGTCTCTTTCCTTTGGGTATCGGTCCAGCAGTCAGCGAATACAGCGCCAGAAAGCTGGCATTTGTTCAGTCTGATTCTAGTGGTTCTTTGTTGGTACTTATCAGCACTCCTGATGTCTCAAAGTGGGTATATCAACAGAGAGGTAAGGATAAATTAAATTTGAATTTCTAATTCTTCTCTGCAATTTTCTATACAAATTAAAAAATATAGTATCAATCCTAAGAAAATAGTTTCAAATGGAAAGTTTATCATTGAGAATACCGTTTTTATTTTCGCCTTTTGTGGTGGCTTGCAGATAATTTAACAAGTAGACTTTCTCCTCGCAAACTTTAATTACAGAAAACTAATTTCATTCTTTAAAATCTAGTAGTAATTTTAACAGAAAAATCTCATGAAAAAGAAGTTTTAGGTTTTTGACCTAGCGAACACACACGTGGGGTCTGTTTGAGCCCACAACCATAAAACTTAATGCTCCTCTTAAACCATAATTCATTATTCATTTCCTTTGCAACTGTCAAGGTTTATGGCCTTTATTTTAGATTACGTCTCAAATTTGCAGCTTCATTACTTGCTAAGTAGTTACTTTAAGTACTGTTTTGGGCTCGTATTTACCCCCACGTGCATCTTCGTGTAAATTGAAATTTCTTAAATTCGCGTGCAGAATTTTTTACTGGATTTTTAACCAAAAAGGCCAGTTTGCCGAGAAGGGCTATTATTTCGTTTGGCATTTTGTGTCGTCCACTCTAAAACGGCGTTTCGCTTTTTACAGCGTACGGCCAAATATTAGACATTGCATTATATTTAAAGAAATTAAATAATGAAGAATCTGCGTGAATGTATGCATGTTTTTCACGCTGTGAAAAAGCAACGATACCGAGAGCCATCAAATTTTGAATAACGTAGAAAATGAATAACGTAGTCCTCCACTCGAATATGGGCATCTGGAACCCTGAATTTGTTTTATGATCTATTTCATATTTTGTAAAACTTTAACGAATTTTTCATTGACAAAATCAACGATTTCAAAGCGAGCAATGGCAACACTGTACGGGAAAAAAATTATCCCCAGCTCGCGAGACTGTGTAGCGGAGATTCTAATAAAGACATGTTCTTTTTAAATATTTTGTGATATTGTTGGTGAATTGAGTATTACGGTTTAAGTGCGTAGAACATGGTATTTTAAGGGTTTAAGCAAGCCCTATACCGACAATGCTAAATTGGCGGTTTTCGATGTACCTTTTCTCAAAAATCTGCTGTAGATACACGCTTGAAATTTTTTGTGTAATTAAAGTATACTTATCTGATTATACTGAAATGAGTTTCTGAAACATCTTGAATTTTAGAGTAATTTATAGAATATTTTGTTGGGCATAGTAAAATTTAGCACTTTTCTCGCACAAAAAAGTTTAAATTTTTTTCTCTAAATTTATCACAAAAAGCTCAGTAAATATTAGGAAACCTAATAAATAAGCCATAAAAATTTTAGATGCCTGTGAGCAGTAGTTCCTGAGAAAAGGTACATCGAGTGTAAAAAAAAAAATCACGTTTGGAGAAAAATTAGTTTTGATGTAAAAATCCTCATAGATCAAAGTAAATCGGTAACAAATTAAAACTAGATTTTTTACAGTTCTAGTTTTCGTAGAGATTAAAGAATTGTGTTTTTAGAAAGACAGAGGTGTAGAGAATTTGAAAATGCAAAAATATGAAATCACAATTTTTTGAAGATTTTGCCGTTCCAACATCCCTTAATGAAGGTAAAGCACGAAAAGTTACAAAAACGCCCCTTTGGGCGTAATATATGTTCTGAAAGCATTCCGATTTTTTTGTGCTGGTAGAAGCATTGCATCGATATTACAGGTCTACAGAAAACACATGAAATAAAATAGAAAGTTACTAAAACCTTTATTACCTTTGCTTTCTAAAAAACGAAACGTGGTAGTTTTTGAATTGGAAATTTGTTGAAAATGTTAGTTTATTTAAAAAAAGCAATATTTGGCAACATTTTATATTATTTGAACGAATTTTTATAATATATTGATTAGTTTGTGAATTTATCTTAATTTTTGTGCTATTAAGTTTTACAGAATTTTACACTAATGTCGATGAAAATATTTGATTATATTCTAATAATAAAAATATAAAAAATAATAATGAAAATAATAAAAATATTGTATTTTATTTTGCATTTTTACGGAATGCAAAGTGATAGATTTCATGCAGATTTACTCTATAAAATATATATCAGGCTACAGCTACCTTCCGAACGCGAGCTTGCGGAACGCACTTTCGCGTACGTGCGTTCTCTTGTCTCCATTTTATTTGTCCCATTTTATTTGCATCGCCGTACGTGATTTAGAACGAACGCCGTACGTGATTTACGTGAGAACGTGAATTATACGCCGTACGCTGCAGAGCGCCCAACGCATTGCGATAGTCTTGTTCAATAACTTCATATAAAAAAGTAAACATTACTTAGAACAACAAACCGGAGTTTGCAAGTTCTAATTCTCGAGCCTACCAGCGTCCAAATATAAATAAACCAAACCAATCCCCTAATTCTCAATAATACTCCAGGATGCTATACTGAAGCCCTCACAATACTGAATACAAATGTAAATACACTGAATATATCAGCCAATGGGTCACGAAATCGTAAAAACATTCAAACATTCTATGTTAGCCATGTTTACTTCTTTACAAATGAAGCGCTAGACTAAAAAAGTACGGCACACTAGTGGCATTTTGGAAGCAATTCAAAGTAAGGCATTTCATAAAAATGATTAAACTAGCATGGAATGATTGAATTTATCAACAAGGAATGCGCGCTGGCATCAGCTGAGGCTAAATGTTAACGTTTTTAAAGGATTTCTATCGAATGAAAATCGCACAAATTTCAAAAGCGATAGACGATGAAAGTTTTTCAAATATTATAGAAGAAGAATTCCAAAGAATGAGATACATTCCGCTGACGTCATAGATCACGTGATTTATGTATACCTTTTGTAAACAAACAATGCAGATGACCTCAGAGATCACGTGACTTATGTACAGCTAATGCAAACAAGCAAGGTCATTCTTCCTCTTCTTCTCTTGCGGAATGTATCTCATTAGTCGAGAATGACGATCATGAAATTACAGATGAAAAACTGGATGATCTTATTACCAGTTGAAGCAGCGATAGTGAAGAGCATGGAGAGACTTAAACGTATAAGTATTTAAGCCAGCTGTTCAAAACAAAGGCGCGGGAACTGTTTGATTTTGTAACAAAGATTGACCCAAGATGATAAAAGGGCACTTTATAAGAGACGCTTTATAAGAAGTATTGAAATCCTTTGCACTTCTTACTGCGAAACTTTAATCCTTTCGACCCTGAATATGAATAATAGATTTTCAAACAAAAGCAATTTGTTATTATAAGGTTACTCATTGTAGTTTTGTTATTTTTCATCGTTTTTGTTTAGTTGATTTTCTATTGTATTCATAGACCTATAAACTGATCTGCTTTGTCAACTCCTCCCATTATCTGTCGATAAAATGCTATCACTGTGGACAAATCAGTTTCTGTTGTTTAGTTTGTCTTTTCGTTACAGTTGTCAAATTGGCCTTCTGACAATTTGACATTACTAATACTACTTTGGTATCATGCCAAGTAAACCTGTGGACTTGCATCGAAACTGATTGTCCATGTTGCAACTTGCCTCCAATTGCTGGTACGTTTTTGCGCTTGGCCGTGTATGTACCCAAAGCCCCATAGTTTATTGTCTGTAACAAATGTACGCTGGTAAAAAATATCTATAAAAGCATAGTACTAAGTCTTTAGCTTTGATGGTGGAAGCGAGTAATTTGTCGACTTTTTCAACAAGAGTGAGCAACTTATCATAAACAGATGTAGTACTTTTACCAGCACGTGCAATTTATATCGCATATGTATCCTGAATCATCACTGTCAGGCTGAAATGGTTGTTACTAGAACTCGATGAAAATGATTCTTCCGGTTCTGATTCACCTAGCTTTTAAGCTTCTAGTGGTTTTTGCATCAATGGGCGAGCCATTTTAAAGCTAAAATAAAAATCTTAATTACAACCCTAATGGCACACATATGTATCGGCAATAATACCGGTGGTACATATATATATACCAAATAAACAAAAAGATAAATAATTTCTAAACTCTAAGTAATTTGTGCATACCTAATATTCTATTTCTTTTCTAAACGTATTATACGTATGACAAAATTATGCATAAAATTTATTCTTGCGCAAATTTACTGTAAAATGTATAACACAGGCGCTCACTGGTTTATTGACAATCATTACCTTACATTTAGTGAAATCCGCATGGTGTTATACACTGGGGTGATGTCGTGTTACTTAAAATACAGTAGTAGTGCACGTTTCGTTTAGTTATAATGTTAAATATCTACCGTTTGGGACAAAAGGGTTAATGAATTGCCTCAGACGTTGTCCCAAACAAAAATCGCCAGCTATTTAAAAAAGTAATTGTATCATGTACCTAATTATTAAGCAATAGTATAAGTCCTTTCATTTAACATTTGTTTCGTTTTCCACTTTAATTACAATTTACGTTTGTATAAATTATACATATCCTTTTTAATATAAACTATACCTAACCCGTTTTTCCTATAGAAAGTTAACTTTGGGAAATAAGATTTTACCGTACGCGTAATGTGTTAATGTCTCAATCCCCGCGCTTTCAGCAAGGATTTACTGTATTAAATGGTGCGGTCAAATATACCCTACACGCTATCTCTTAGAATCAGCTGATATTGTCATAGGTTCAAGATATTTAATACATAATTTAAAACATGCCTATTTTATAAAAATGTCTTAAAATTCAGTATTCAGTTTTATGTGAAATCTTTGTCTTTCAGGCAGGAGTGGTATGAATCACTACATCGAAGTTTATTATCCATCTGCAATAGATCTCGTCACATTCACAGTTCACGGTCATGGTTATGTCGCTGTTACAAATTACACAACCTGCGAAATATTCAAATTGGATAGATTTGTTAAAAGCCATATGCTTTTCGACAGGTAAGGCAATTACCAAACTTTTTCTTAGCTTCTTGTTTTACGCGAATTTAATGAATGCTGATATTATAATAATTAAAACAAATACCCTCTCGGTTATGTAAAAATTTTTATTTTTTTAAATTTGATTCTTAGTTTCAGAAAACATTTAATATAGCAGTTACTTTTAGCTGCTTTTTTGATTGTCAAAAGCACTATCCGTTTTGAAGTAAGAAACGTCAACACGTATATATTAGCATTTGTCTTCCCATATTTAACACCACAGTGCATTAATAATTCAAACAATTTTAAAATTCCTGAGACGCGTCGGCTAATTCTTATAGCAGAAGTGTTTTAAATGATCTTTTAAATCTTCTTAAAATTACAAAACAACTACATTTACTAGGCTAATCTTTCGAATATGGTAACAGATAGTTTGGCGACATTTTGGTAAGGCGATGAAGGTTACTAGCTAGGACTTAGCAGTGTACATGGATAAAGTCCAGAGTGTGTGCAGTGCCATTTTTGTGCAATTCTGGGATGTTTTTTAAGTGAAAAATAGGTCGATGTGTACATGGTTACCGTGTATGTGAAATTCTTAAAAACACGGCAAGCAGTTTTCGTTTCTGCACTTTCTCCGAATTTCGTACCTAATCTTCGTCATGACTAAGCACTTTTGTTCCATATAAGTTCTAGCATAAGCGTAATTCGGCTAGCGGATTGTTGGGGGAAAAAAATGAGTTAAAAAACCTTTACTTCGTGAAAACAAAATGGCGTCCAAACAAAAACTAGCAGGTTACTGTAGCAGGGTTGGTCGCCAAATTTTCGCCAAAAAAATCGTTAAGTTACCATAATCCAAAGATTAACCATTTACTATTTATTTTAACTGCATTTTCCAAGTTGGTCTTAAATATTTTACAGTCGGCTATAATAAGTCCTGTGGAAGGTCGTGTTGGATGGTGTAATAAAAGTATTTTACAGTGTAACATTTTATTGCAATGGTTAAGTTACAGAGACATAATATATAATTTTAAAAATTATACAGACGAGGATTCTGATACAACCTAACATGTTTATTACCTGGCTTTTATTGAAGTCTTTCTCTGGCTACTCACCAGAGGGCACCTTGATTGCTAGAGGGAGTTCACCATAGTTTATATTAACAGCAGAGTTTATAGATTACAGTCTTCGTTATGTGAGATATATTTGAAATAATTGTTATATAAGTTTCTCAATCTATGGCCCTCAAAGCTTGCCCTTGTGGTTCTCTACCATTTCCAAAAACGACAAAACCTAAAATTCAAATTATTTGATTGACAAGCTCTGGTAACAATAGAATTGTCATTGAATGAAAGAGAACACTTTACGGAACTCTTGAATGACACGAGACTTAAAATGAAATTCCTAGCAGACGATTATGGTTCATTTCCAGACCCCCTTATCAGTGAAAACGTATAATTGTGAACTACAGAATAGTGACTTAAAAATTGCAATTTAGCTTCTTTCTACGAATGTATGTAAAAGGTTTCTTCCCTTTAATCAAAGAAAAGCAAAGTACCGAAATCGATTCAATGTATGTGCTGATCTCAGACTTAAGCAAACCAGCATATGTATCAAACATAAAACTGCTCCTTAAAAATGGGCGATTTCGTCCATCTCATTAATGTGGATACTGATATTTAATTTATAGTTGATAAGTTAGATTATGCCAACTCCAATAGCCTTTAATTTATTAAAAAAAAATTCTTCTACTAATATAATTGCTTTCAATAACTTTACAAAATCAAATGAATTGTAATTTTATTTTTAAAACGTCAGTACAGTGACGTATGCTAAAGAAATGTTTCAAAGGGACAAGAATAAGGTGGTCCGAAGAACACTCATTTATAAAAGTAATCCATTCTTGAAAAATGTATGAGAAATGCTGAGTTGACTCGAGTTTTCTCAGCGAAATGTATGTTAAAACTCTCGAAACAAAATGTTTTAGTTTCGGAATGCTGCTAACGAAATTAACAGAATATTGTTACTTGCAACGAAATAAGTAATATGCATAAAATTATTAAATCTTTATTTTATTTCCTATTTTATCCGACATAATTTATATAACATTAGTATGACAAACATTTTTGTCCACAGTATATGATGTACCTAGGACATAAAATTGCTCTTATTTTAATAATGAATTTACAAATATTTATTACATTTTGACAATCAAGGTTGTTCATTCCGGCAGACTATCTGGAAAATATACCTGTGTGTAATCTGGCAGTCAAAGATGCGCTAGTGCCAATGTAATTTTGGCAACGATTTGTATAAATCATTTCTTTTCTTTGGAAGAAACAATGATGGCACTATCCAGCAATCCAAGTAAAGATTATTCTTTACAATTTTCGTTAATTGCTGTGTTTTACTTTTGCTGTATTGGATATAGTAACAGAAAACGTCTTTTGTTTTTCTGCAGTACATGCCTACCAGTAGTCAAGGGATTAAGAGCGCTGAATACTGGTAGCTACACCTGGCTTGGGTTCAAACCCCGGCAAATGGGCTGGCTGCATGGTTGGGTATCCTGGTTTTCCCCGTGTGTAACGTAAATACGAGCCAGTTTCACTCGAAGTCCTCCTCGAAGGATTCCTCCTCCTCCTCCTCCTAGGCAGATAAACTTCGTGGATTTGTCATATTCAACTAACTTAACCTAACCTTTTCTGTTATGCGTAACAGAAGATTGTTTTTACTCTTCTCAAACAAGCTGTCATGTTTATTTTGAATGGTATTTTTTAAACTTTCTTCTGTTCTGCTTCTATTTGTTATGCAAACCTATGGGAGGTAGTAACTGTAATTTAATGCAGTTCTTTGCGAAATTTCCTTTAGATCAGCACCTCATACCAACTACAAGCAAACCGTGCAGGGTTAGTATGCGAAATTCGGCTATCTTCGAGTCGGTATCCTACTGTTATCCTTATCTTTTGTTCTCAGAAATTTCACTTTCAAGAAAGATTTCCTTCAGTAATGTTTAATTTAATGGCATGTGAATCTCGGCGTCCATGCATTTCGAAGTACTATATCCTGATCTCTTAAATTCAGATTCCTTTTCTGTGATCTCCTAACATACTACAAAAACGTCAAACTTAGCAACATTCATAAAATCAAATAAACCATTACGTGCGCACAAGATTGCATTAACGCTTGTCAAATCATATGACACAGCACCTCAGATAGGTTTCAGGAGAGCCGCAAAATATTGTAGTTTCATTTAAATAAATCTTCTTTCATGTGAATTTAGAAACGGACCATCGTTGAGTTTGTGCTATAGTATTAAAATCGTAAACCATTCGTTATATAAAGCATTGTTTTTGAAAAGAACTCGTACCTGATTCGAAATTATTTTCAAGGAAATAATTATGAACAACTTCGCATGAATTCAAAACCTTTTCAGAGCAGATCATCTTTTACTTCTCAGAAGGATATTTTATTGTTTTGTGACAAAACATAAAAGATAATTCAACGCAAGCGAAGAAACTTTTGGTCATTTTTTAAAAGACTAATAATCAATATAAAATGCAATGTTTGAGCAAAATTTAATTTTTTACAGCCTTCGTGATCGAAAGTGAGAGATATTGTTGGAGTTGGAAATCGAGCAGTTACGTCCAGTTTAATTTAAAACTATTTGAAAATCATCATTGACAAAATGCTGACCCTTTCCATCAATCCCGATTCATTCAATGGCATGATTATTCAAAAGATAAACTTATGTAGCAAATTGTCTCGAAATGAAGTTTCATATACTTAACGTCAATCGACCTAATTGCATCAATCGGTCCCTTTGCTTGTCAAGAAGGTTAATATTCTGTTTTTTAAAAATTCTGATATACCAAGGATGCTGCTAGCTGAAAGCATTTAGAAAGCATCGCGCTGCGAAAGTACTGGTGCAACCAGAGCAGTAAATTTTCCACCAAAATTTGTGATTTCCCCAAAATTTAGGGAGGCACCGTATGGCAGAATTGAGACCCCGCAGATATTGTAGCAGCTGGCAAATTGCCTAGTAACGGCCTTCGTTCTTGAGACTAAAACATGATTGCAATATAAGTGTACAAATTTTGCTGGGTTGTCCCTTATTTTAGCAATTATCCCATCTGCCTTTTGTGTGAAATATTTAGGCCTCTGATATTTTAATTTCATGAAAGATTTGACAACTGGATTTTTAGTTTCATGCGGTGCTTTCATTTTAAAACAGGTATGAAACAAAATTGAGTCTTGTTCTGCCTGTTATTATCGTTGTCTTAACTCTCAACTACTGAGAATGGACAAAAATGTAAGTTTTGTTATAATTTTGCTCCGCACCTGTTTTAAAATGAATACACTGTATTCAAAAACTAAATTCAGTCATTCCTTGAACTAACAGTTTTAAGTAATTTTTTTTTAGTTTTAAATTATTAATTTAGTAAATTATTATGGAATAAGAGTTTACAATGAAATGTAGGGACTTAAACTAAATATTTGGTTTATCAGAAAAGTGTTATTTCATTAAAATATAAATTTGTATACTTGAATCTAAATTGAAATTATTTCTGGAAATCCCTACCAAATAACAAGTAAATTAAATAAAAGTTATATTTTCTTGTATTATTGCAGATATTTATTGGAATTTAATAGATATGACTCGTTCAAAAATACGCCGTAAGAGATATAAAACCCCTATCCAAATCTGCATAACCCTCAGTTAAGCAATAAATGCCTAACATTCTAAAGATTCGTAATTTTCACTTCAGTTTCTGAAGTAAATGTGCAAAGATTAAATGAACATCTAAATAAATTTAGGCATTTGGACTTCGATTAAGCAGTCCAGCCTTTGTCCATTTCGGACATCCGAAATTTCCTTAATATTTACATATTAATACTTATTTTATTAAATTGTTACTCTTTTTAAAATTAGTATTAGTCCAAAGGGGCTTGTCCCTGAAGGACTATTGTTTTCGTTTTACGATTTTTGATTTAGCGTTGAATCGCTATAAACGGAGAATCACTTTTCAAACTGTTGCCACCAAATGTTAGTATTGCATTATATTTGAAGAAATTAAATAATGAAAAATCCGCATAAATGTATGTTTCTCGCATTGTGATAAAACAATGATACATAGAACCATCGAATGACTTAATCCTCCTACGAATATGGGCATGTAAAAGACCAAATTTGGAATTTGTTTTATTATCGATTTCATATTTTGTAAAACTTTTAACGGATTTTTGAGTAACAAACTCGACGATTTAAAAGCGACCAATGGCAACACTCTACGGGGGAGAAAAAAAAACTTTTTATCTCCAGCTCGCGGAACTGCGTATCGGAAATTCTAAAGATAGGCTCATTTTAAAATTAGTTTGCAACATTGCTAATGAACTGAATTTTATGGTTTAAGTGCAAATCACATCATATTTAATAAATAAATATAACACACAAAATGTTAAAAAAAACGCCCCTTTAGACGTAATTTACAATCTGAAACCTTTAAATTTTTTTTTCAAAATTTATTCGATTTTATTAAGTCTATGCAAACATTTTTATTCTTTTGTAAAATTTCTCAGAAATCAACCCTTAACAAAGTCCATTTTTCGTTCATAGCCAACCCATTTTAAGTCAAGTAAAGAATGCTACATTTTTTGCCTGGGTACTGGAATAGTAACTGAACTTGATTAACTGTTTCTTTAGTATTAATATTCTTAGCGAATGTTATTTTTATTTCAGATTGGTATCGGTCTCCACTAATCCTCTGTTGGACGTAGAATACTTCCGGCTAGGATTCAATCATTATCTAGCATTAGTAGGAACAGAAAAGCAATACCTGTATATTTGGAAGAGTGCAGAGTTCTCCCTGAAGCAGGAATTTAATGTTCCTAGTGCTCAGCAACTCTATGCAGCTATCTTGCCTACCTGTCGAGATGATGTCGTATTATTTGTGGTTACAAACTCTGTCGCAGAGATCCTGGTATTCAGCGGCAAGAGCGAAAGCTTTGTTAAACCTAATGCAGGTACGATATACTTTAAATTTAAATCGTTTAATTAAATATTGAAGAGATATCTACTGAATCTATGTGGAATAATTAAATTCTTGATATCTGAATTTTTAACTTTCACAATCAGGGACCGATTAAGGCAGTTTGGAGACAGACACGGTTATGTCCTATTTCAGGCTTTCTTAGAGGAAGCAAGTTTGAAAACTGTTTCATTTGAGTGTCTCATTATGGGATTTCCCATTTCGGACTTTCTAGTCAGCATGGACTCGAAGCGAAAACACGATGGACCTAGGACAGTAGTACGTATGAACTGACATCGAAAGGACGCTCAATCCTTTAACACTATTTACATGCAGCATTAAATTCGCTTGAATTGATGCTTAAAAATAATTTCAGAAATAGAACATTTAAGAAGTATGTACTATCATTTAGTCTAGCTGTGTTCTTTGAATACCCACTTCCCATCAAAATTTTGTAAAGGAGGGAAATATGAAAAAAAAAGCTGAAATGGCACGAGTTTTTATATTTTCACCCTATAGCAGGATATGAAAAGTCTGAAATGGCACAATCTTTGTTCTCAGTCTTGGAAGCTTTTTAAGTGAAAATAGGACATTCCGCTTCAGACATAGCATATCTTTCGCGGATCAATCAATATTCACTTTTCCTGTTTTCGCGAAGGTAGAAGCACGACATTATGATAGATTATACTATGAATTTGAAGTCTCTAAAACCTACAGTCTAGGGGATAATCAGCCCTGTGTATGCAAATTCTTCAGCTATATGATTAAGAGTTCAAAGATTCAAAACAAACCATACTTTGATGCCTTAGATGTAGGTAGACTTTTAAGCTAACCTTCTTCTAAAGTATCGTTAGTGCCCGAGTGGTTAATGCCGCTGAGTATACTATAGATCAGTCTGGTTTGAGATAGAACCCAGATTAAGCCAAAACAGTCTGGGTTAAAAAAATCGGACTGTTTTGGCATTTTCTCCCACTGTAACTTGAATACAGGCCAGTTTTCCTTAAGTTCTGCACGGAAGGCATCCCATCCTAGCAGACAGCATTCGTATTTTTGCTTATCTAAGCTTCTTTTACAATTTGATTGCCTAATTTTATAGTTATGGTTTCATTTATTTCTATAGTAGCATGAAACATATTTAGCTTGTACTATGTGTGAATTTATATCCAGGCGAGTCTTGATTAAAGATGTGAATTATTCGATAAATGAAACCTAATGCTAGAATTACCAAAGAGAGAAAAGCTTGCTAGGCCTTTTTTTCTTTTGATAAAAACAAATGTATGTTAATCGTCTGTATGAGGTTCTGAATCGCCAAAGATATAAACCTTAAGAACATTATTTCTAGATTCCGTTTCACAGTAGCTGTACTCAGCTAGCCACTTGGTGGTTTCGCTGTTACCTTGTAAACATGAAAGTTTGCCTTTTTAAAACCCACGATCAAGGCCGTATTCCCCAGGCAAATAAATATCATGTAATTTACTGAAATTAAATAGACGAAGCAATTTAAAATTTACGTCCTGCATAGTTTTAAGTGAATGACCGGACTCCCTAATTAAGATGCTTCGTAACACAGCATTATCTTCTTCATGATTTATGAAGTACAAAACTTCCTACCTGACGCAGAGTGATGTTAGAGAAGTTCGTACACAATTGTTCATTCAGCAATTTCAACAGTGTTTGGATGCATAATTTACCTGATTTTAATTTTTACCTCTAATCCATTGTATTGCATCGAATTATGTGTCTATTTTTATAATCAGGCGGAAGTATTTTATTCATCAATTCAAATTATATTTTGTAAGTCTTCAATAATGCAGGGGCCCACCAGCGGCCGAGCGGTAACGTCGCTGAACACTGGGTAGTTTGGTCCGAGGTTCGAATCCCGCGAACGGGCTGGCTGCATGGGCGTTTTCGTGGTTTTCCCCATGTGTAACGTGTATACGAACCAGTTTCCCTTAAAAAGTCCTCCACGAAGGCATCCCTCCCTTAAGGCAGATAGCCCTCGAGTGCTTTGCCATAATCTAATAAACCAAACTTCAGTAATGCATGTATTCACAAATTCTAATATAGTCAGTTAATGTTGGTGTAGTCTAAAGTCATACAGGTCTGCAATTTTTCTAACTGAAGATAGGTGACATATCGATTGGCGAAATGCAACAAATTGCACATACGTTATTAGGGGATAACATCTCTCAAAATAAACTTAGATTCTAGAATCCTTTTTTCATTTAAAATAAAGATTGCAGATTATATAAAACACATAAAATATAGATTATAAAAGCCTAATGTTTTAAAAACCAGTTGTTTAATTTCTCTTACCTTTGACGAATCTTTTGTGACGGTGTGCTTTTGGTACACCTTTCTTAAAACATACTGCACAAAACTCTTTTAAATGTTGCATGATTGTTAAAACCATATCATTTAATAATAAGCAGTACTTTGCATTTTACTTAAAAAGAAAAAATACTAAAATGGTTTGAAAATTATAGAAAAAAAATATTTAATCTATCTAAAACTTATGATCATAAATTTTATGTCCTGTATAGTTTCAAAGAAATAATTAAGGTAAACAACTGTGGAAAATTTAAACCTTCCAGGCTGAACAGTTTTCAAGAAAAATGTACCGAAAGTTAAAAAGATATCATTTTTTGAGAAAAACTGGAAAAAAATCATTTAAACGCTAATAATTTATAGAAAACCATTTTAATATTTTCCTACACCATAATCTCCTTGAATTGACGTTTCTGCATCTAGTTGTTTTATTAACTTGTTTCTTTCCGGTCATTTTAGAAAGCTTTTGATCAAATTCTTTCCGGTCATTTTAGAAAGCTTTTGATAAATGAGATGAGCCCCACGAATTCTATCACAATTTATTTTCGCAAAGTACCATATAAAATCCTGGTTGTATTTCTAATAATTCCATTACCTTATTGCGGCTTTGTACTCTATCATTAAAACGTATAAACATCATTAAAACATACTATGGCATCTAATAAACCTAATTTTAATCTGATGCCACTCATATAAAGTTTTTGGTATGCATGTCCAGATGCAATTATTAAATATTTCATTTTGTTTTGAGTTTTTTCTTGAATGCAATTTGACAGTAGTTTTTTTTGTTTTGTTAGACTTCTAAATACACTTTTAAAACAGCTAATAAAACAGGTTTTGGTAAAGAATGTTTATGGACATATTTTTTACCATATGGCTTTATTGTTGCCACACCAGACATCTGTCACTTCTAAACTGGTGGGCTGGCTAGTGCTTGTTTACATTTTATAATGAAAGATTTCGGTCGTTTAAAATTTCGAAAATTAAGTTATATATTTTTGGCATCGTCTTGGGCTACTTTAGTTTCTAGCCCAAAATTGAAAATTTTTGTCATATGTCCCTTAAATTAAATATTAACATTATATCATTAACTACGCGTAATTAAATTGCTACATGTGTTGCATTGTTTGAATAGTGAATCACTCCGTATAACAACAAGGGAGACGGCTAAATTTATAAAGTCAGATACGACAGGGGAATATTTACTAAATAAATTTAAAATCATGCACGAGAAAAATCTATTAAAGTATAGCATAAAATTTTCAGATGGCAAAGTAACATTTTGCGTTCTCTTTAAAATTGTTAATTTGACGCTTTTTAATGTTTGGAATGCGCATAGTTCTTCATTCCTAAAGCTTTAAAGAATTTGCTTTAGAAATATAAACTAGATACAAATTCTGAACACTCTTACAGCGAATAATCGCTGTATCTGAGGTAATAAGAGGCTTGAGGAGTTTTAAATAAACCCTTTTATTGAAAAAGAACTTTAATATAAACTCGCTTCTTGTGCTTATAAAAATCGACCACTTCTTGTGGCCATGAAACTAAAAGTGTAACATTCAAATTTAAAACTTGTACTAATAGTCAAGAACTACGCAATTAAATTTAAATCGAAGTTAGCTCAAAACTGTGACCGGCGTAACAATTAAAACGTCGGCGGCAAATAATTCAAAGCCGAATAGTTACAAACTTATCAGAGATCGCAAGAACTACGCAATGTGGCCACGAGTTACAAAAACGAGAGAGAATTACTTAAACGTTGGCAACATCTGTGGGAGACAGAAACCACCGGCAGAAGAGTTTACAGATTTTTTCCAAAAGTCTGCCGGCTTCTAAAATCTGGCTCGTCTCACTTCACTCAGTATCTAACAGGACATGGTCCCTTCATGACTTACCTGCATCGCTTCAGACGACGCGTAAACGAGCATTGCTCATGCGGGATGGTAGGAGATCCGGACCACTATCTGTTCGCTTGCAGAGAGACCGCTAAATATCATCTTAGGCAACCAGTAGCAAACCACATCCATGCATGGGCCGAAGCTACTTCAAAAATCGCAATGCATTGAACCATATGCGATTGCATAAACTTGCACGCATAATCTCAGACAGGCTGGAGTAATTCTCAGCCACCATCCTCGTCACCAGCACAGCCCCTGTATGCTCTGTACCTGTAGCGAACTAATTTATCTTAAGTTAGCTTATTCGGCTTTTCTTATTCCCTGTATATATTTATCTTCTTGAACTGTAAACCTTGAATTATGAACCTTGAACTATGTATTTTGCCTTATTTTATGTATTGTTTACACTGTTTTGCCTTTTTTTTATTTTATGCATTGTTTTACTTTCTAGTTTTTTACTTCTTATTACTTTTAGTATTTGTAACCACCTATCCATTACTCTGTAAATATGTAACTGGAATTGTTCTTCACGCCCGCAATGTACCCTTCTTCCATCATGCACTATCGTCTTCGTCCAGCATTTGTTTGCACTGCCCCCAGCAGTCGTCTTGAGCACAATATGTATTTATAAGTTGTCTTTTGTTCAAGTTATTTCCGTCAGCGGGGCTACCTGGCCGATATGCTAACTACCCAGTGGACCGGCTGCCTCGCTGTCGGTGGAAAGAAAGAAAGGTCTGTCTACAATCCAAAAACCTCTGATAAAGTACTCTCTAACGCATTTACTTTTTGGTGAGGAAACGCAAAGGAGACGTTATAGTAAATATCTAAATAATAACTGGTTAGTTTCAAATGATAGCCCTACTGCTTCTTCAAGCAAAAAACACACTTTATATATTTAAAAATACAAAAAATCTGCAGGTTTCAGATTTTAAATTACGTCCAAAGGGGCTTTTTTAAGGTTTTGTGTTTTACCTTTATTTTTTAAATATCATGTTCTTTGCACTTAAACCATAAAATTCAGCTTAAGATTGTTGCTTAATTAAGAGCAATGTCGCAAAATAATTTTAAACTGAGCCTATCTTTAGAATTTCCGATACAGAGTCTCGCATGCGCTGGAGATAAAAGTTTTTTTTTTTTTTGTTTTTTACCCTCCGTACAAGTGTTGCCATTGCTTCGCTTTGAAATCGTTAAGTCTTGTTAATAAAAAATTTCGTTAAAGTTTTACAAAATATGAGATCAATAATAAAACAAATACCAAATTCGGGCTTCCACATGCCCGTATTGTATTGTATGGACGATTACGTTATTAAAATTTTGATGGCTCTAAGTACCATTTTTTTATCACAATGCGAGAAATATATATACATTTATGCAGATTTTTCATTACTTAATTTCTTCAAATATAATGCAAGACTCTAACGTTTGGTGGCAACAGTTTGAAAAGTGAAACGGACATTTAGAGTGATTCAAAATCGCAAAACGAAAACAATAAACCTTCAGGGACAAAGCCCCTTTGGACTGCGAGTTGCCTATAAATGTATTTATATATATTTGAATTTCCCGCAGTAAATAGTTGTTTTCTCTTTAGTCATACCATCGACCTTCAACATCATGGCCGGGTCTGTCACATCTTTTGCCTACAAACACAAAATTATAGTTTTGTTCCGGAACTCTGGAGGATTGCTTCAAGTTTTCGCCATTGAAACCAGCTTGGAATCTATTCGGGATCCATATCTAGCAGCGGGAGACAAGGTTTCTCGGCAGATGAAGGCTATACAGGTATTTTGTAATTTTGCTTTCATCCAACATAGATTAAATATTCATCTCATCACACGCTAATCTCTTGGAATAGATTGGTACACATTTCTCCTTGTAAGATAAAGCAAAACATCAACCTTTTGATTCCTATCGGTTTTATAGAAACTTCTCGATTAAGGCCTCAAAGAGTTCTCTGCCCAACAAGCGAAGATGCATTGTCAATTATAGATGACCTCAAAATCCATTATTTCCTACAAGTCGAGGGTTAATTTGAAGCTGAATTTTTGCCATTTTTGCTTTTATTAGTATGTGATTTATACTCATTACCATGAAATGCTAACTACCATTACGAATTTCTACAACTTTAAAGATTGTAGTTATTTTATTATTTCTCAAATCGGGTGAAATTTTGATTAGCATGCAAAAGCTCGTCATTAGCAAATGAAATCCGCAGACATGATCATGCCTTTAAATTCTAGAAAGAATCTAGCAGCAGCATTTGTCGTCCCCGTGTCTTTATGTTGCAACACTGGACGAAATATAAGACCTTTTTATTTTCTTCGCATCTTCATGCATAACCGATTTTCAATGTTATCATTCATCTGTAAAATCCATATCTTATTTTACTTCGGAAAACCTCAGAACAGTCGCGTGTAGTAAAATGTAACATTTACATATGTTCATTTACGTGTCTGTCAGTGGCCGAGAGGTTAGGACCATTGAATACTGCGAGTTTGACCTGGATTCTATACTAAGCAAAAAGGTTGGCTGCATAGTTGGTTTCCCCATGTGTAACGTGGATTCAAGCCAGTTTCTCTTAGATGACCTTCTACGAAGGAATACCTCCAGTAGTCAAGATAAGCCTCCTGTTATTTGCCATATTCGAATTACAAAACCTAATCTTACCTGTCAGTTTATATTGATTTTGTAACTATTATATTAACTCCTAGAGAGCGCGTCCCCAGGTGGTGGATCGGGGAACACCTCCATAGGTTTATCCTTGGGTGGTAGGAGGGAAATAAAACACTTCCCGCGGATCAACAGGCAGAAGTCCACCTCTTCGAGGCTCTGGCAGCTCCTTTTTCTATGAATTGTGCAATATCTACTAGTCAACATTTCGTGAATGCCAATGTGATGCAGTTGCCAGCAAAAACTAATCGGTCAGTTAAGGAAACCCATCCCGGAAGAACTGTGACAAACCATACGATGACAAATCACTTAAAAGGGATGAGGCTTTGCAGAAGGACAAGAGTAACCACATTTGTCCTCATTGCCCAGATGACATCCCACTGTCTCGCCATCAATCTCAGCTGCCCATCAATCCAGGCCAGACTGTTAACATCGGCATGAACCCAGTGGACCTACTTCATACTGATAGAGCTGCCGAGGTTGCAAAAGCTGTCTTTGACAGCTTCGAAGCTATATAATTGCCCTTTGTCATAGACACGACATCATCATCAACTAATATATTTAATAATTTGTACATCTAGAAATAAACAGAACCATTTGTATCGTTCTCTCTATTGCTTACGTATTGATCCAGTATTCTAACTGATGCAAATAATTACGTTATTTTATTGAAATCGCTTTTTGTATTTCACCATATTTTCAGTCCTATCCGTGGTCCGCCGAATCCTAGTAGTTCGATCTGGTTTCAAATCCCATCGAATACCGTAGGGGCTGATTGAAGAGGCAATTTTGCGGTTTCTTCGAAAACATAACGTAAATATAAGACAGTTTTCCAGTTACAGATTTCGTTCTTCGCAAAAGCAATTTCTTTTTTAGCCTTAGTCTGCTTTGTCACAATCCAAATAAATCTGAAATTCAGATTTGTAATCTACAGTTTAGATATATCTTATTCATCAAAATCTTCACGCTTTTCCCAAGTTAGTGATTATTTTAGTTACTCATGTAAAACAAAATATTGCTATAGTTGATTTGATTTCGCTTAGATTTTTCAGTTGTCAGACTAGTACTTTTATTCGATTCGGTATGTAGAACTATTGTAAAAAATATTACATTGGCCCTTTCTTCATTGTACCACGTTTTACAAGACTATTAAGCCATAATCAGCATACTAATTGTTACATGAAACACATAACGTTTTTTAGAGCGAACTTACAGAATAAACCATTTTACAAGAAGCTGAGTTTCAGAATTTTACGGAATTCTTCTTACTTCACTTTTGACTACTTCTTGGTTCCGCTACATTAAATTTCATCTTAATTTTTAACTCTAATTCAGTTAGAATTTTCGTGGAAGCTGAAATATAAACATTTATTGGAAATTACTGTTGCCAATCGTAACTAATAAGTAAAAGTAATGAAATTTATGCAGTTTACGATTCTACATTCTATGTGCTCCTATATTATTTTAAAGGATGTCCCATAACTTTTAATACATTTAAAAATCGTACAAATTAACAAACGAAGCATACAAGCCTGGGGTTTGCCTTTCAATATTTGTTATAGAAATGGAATTTGGGGACGTGAGGGTACAGTTTAATTCAAAAGTATTGCTCTGTATAAGAATAGAGAAAAAATTCATATTTATTGTACATGACATTTATTCGTCTGTATTTGGTAGCATAGTATAAAACTACTAACTGTGTAATAGGCAGTAAGCTCTACGGTGCAATCTTATTTTAAAGAATTTAAGTTTACACAATTTTGTGATATTACTGATGGAGCTTATCTGCTGGCAAAATTTGATTTAAAGTGAACCTTATGTCTTAAAACATTTAGCTTCGTAATAAGTTATTAGGTGCAAACCGCACTGTAGTACACTAACTTTTCGATTTTACGATTTTAAAATACACCCATAATCACGAGACACTTCGCGTTTTTATTTTGAGAAACTATCCTACCTGGACATGAGATGTACGAGTAGAATTTAAAAATTCTGGAAAATCGCAATGACCTATTTTACTTTTAAATCTAGCACGTGATATATTTGCCTTTAACAAAAAACACTAATCTGTTGACTTTTTTGACAGAAAACTTTGAAAGATCAGGCTTCTCAAATTCAAAATATACAGAAGGTTCTGAAAAACGCAGTTCGATCTGAAGGGGATCAGACAATTACAGCCTACCAAACCTTTGAGGACTTGTCTGTTACTGGTGGTACTGTGGTTAAAAATGTGTTAGCTAACGTAAAAATCGAATGGGAAAATTCGGATCTGACTTTAGAAGAATACAAGCGAGGCACTATGGAACTGGAGAAAGCTGTCGAAGAACTAGAGAAATGGGTAGAAGAAATGGATCAAATAATACCAGGTTTGTGAATAATTTTAATCTGAATTTAAAATTGAACCCGTCTGAAAAGAATATGGAAGATAATTTTAGTACATTATAAAATATTTTGTGTAAACATTTTTGGTCCTGCTAACTCTTTAAGGGACAGGAAAAGGCAATTAACTTTTTTAGCAAAACTCGTTTTATTTACTACATCAGGTGTTTTAATGAAATTGTTTGCGACAATCGCACATATTTGTCCAAGACACGTGAAAAAAATGACCACTTCTGGTCGTTAGTGTCGGTGGCCACCGCTCCCAGAACACATCCCTACAAATCAGTCTCTATGGGACTCGTGGAAACAGTTTTCTTTTTCAAACAGAGTGCAACTTTGCATGTGCTGCATTCGCACACTGTTCTTACAGGCTTTCTTGGTGGTGCAGCATAGTGTTGTTGTCTTCGATGGCTGATGCTTATTTTCTTGAAGACGAATTGCTGCATCGACTACTAGCTTATGTCTCTTGATTGGAATAACTGGTTTTTTCACTCTTGAACCACCAAATTTTGAAATTCTAGCCATATAGTATTTGTCAACACCCGAGTGAGTAAGACTTTCAATAGAAGAGGTGGTTACTTTAGGTAACCAGTGCCCTTCAAAGAGTTAACAAGTATACACATCTTTCAACACTCAATTGATATTTGGTAGGTGGTATGGGATTCGAGGTGTTATCCATTTATATTTACAGCACTGCATTTCAGTTATGGAAATCATTCATGAATGCAATTTTATTTAAACACTATCTATCCTGGAACAGCGAAAACTTTAATAGACGACCATCGACAGAAAGAAATGAGGATGTTAATGTAACTTTAATAACAAAATATGGAAAACACCAGCTCGCGAGGCTGGTGTTTTCCGTATTTTGTTCATTCCCAGAAGGGAGAATCGTTTCGTGTTAAAAGAAACAAAATGCATGAAAATACATAGTTCATCGGGACCATTGTATTATTTCGTTTTATCCGATATTTCGGCTCCCCAGCGGCCGAGCGGTAAAGACGCTGAACACTAGTAGTTCGGTCCGAGGTTCGAATCCCGCGAACGGGATGACTGTATGGACGTTTTCGTGGTTTTCTCCATGTGTAACGTGTATACGAGCCAGTTTCCCTTAGAAAGTTCTCCACAAGGCATCCCTCCCTTTAGGCAGATAGCCCTCGTGTGCTTTGTCGTAATTGAATAACTCATAACCCGATATTTCGTCTGAAGCGTTTCCGCATTTAACGCATTTCACTGTATTTACCTCATACAGCTTAATTTCTTCAGTATTTGTTTTCACTTAATGGCTTGGGCCATCTCTGAAAGACTAAATGCACGACTTATGTAGAAGTGCCTTCGGAAGAATTTTCTAAGGGCGTAAAATCATAATTATGTTAAATAAGAAGCTAACCACAATTTCATGCAGTTCACGTACTCACTGTCGGTAAATTTTTGGATATATTAAAAGTTTTTACGAGTTGAATCACTCATTTACTGAATAGTTCACGTTAATTTTATGATTAAAGTAAAAATTATTTTCCTGTCATGCTTAAACGGAAAGTCAACCAATGTTGATGGAAAGAGAAAAGCTTAATAAAACCATTGACACTCCATCTTCTACCTTTACAGGGTATTCTGAGCCAAGCTACTACCAAAAGCTCACACCGGCCGAGCGGTAAAAGCTGCTGAACACTGGTAGTTCGTTCAGGACTTCGAGTCCCGGCGAACGGGCTGGCTGCATGGATATTTTCGTGGTTTTCCCCATATGTAACGTAGAAACTAGAGTTTCTTTTAAGTCACTCCACGAAACATCCTTCCCTTTCCGTGTAGTTACCTATTCGTAGAGCACGTAGTACATAAAATTAAAAAAAATCTGAAAGCTTTCAAATTTTATATATGCCCAGAGGGGCATTTAACATTTTGTGTTGCTTTTATTTATTTTTTAAATATGTTCTTCGCACTTAAACCATAAAATTCACTTCAACAGCAATATCACAAAATATTAAATAGCGGGCAGGGTTTTCGCTAAGAAAGCACAAATTTCCAAAACTACTATGAGAACAAATTTTTTTAATGTAAAAATTCTCCTGGTATTTCGTACCTGGGTTTGTTTTCTTTTGATATATTGCCTTAATTTCTTTGACATATTTTAATATGCACGTATATATACGTTCTTACAAATATCACAAAAAATATTCTAGGCCGTATATATACGGCATAGTATATTTAGCCGTATATATACGCTTAGAGGGTTAGATATCACTGAGGACTGGCAACAATTTGAAAAGTGGAACGCCGTTTATAGTCGACCAACACAAAATGCCCAAACGAAATTAATAACCCTTCTGGGTAAATTGCTCCTTTGCGCTAATAATATCGCAAAGGAAAAATCTGAATTTATATTTTTCTCTCTGAATATAAAGTTTGGTACGTGTGAGCCATTTCTGTCGGTTACACTTTGCAATTCAAATATGACATGTAAGTATTATGTTCTTAGAATATTTATTTCAAATAATTCTAACGTATTTAATTAATCATTAAATAACTAATTTAAACTAAAATTAAACAAATTATGAAAAATTTCTGAATTTTTAGATAAAATTTACCACGTGAAATAAAATTGGATAAAGGATAATATAGTCTCTTATTCCATAAGTTTTTCGTTGACGTTTAAAAAAAATACACATGTCTGAATGCAAATAATTATAAACTGCTTTATTTCTTACTACAATCTGATACGAGAGGGCGTGTCAATTCTGATACAGTTCATGGCTATGTAAAAAAAATTAACATCTTCATAGATGTTCATCGATCAATCGGGATCTTTTGTAATTAAATTTCAATGGTTTACAACAGCTGTTCACATTTCTATGAGAAGCTGTTCACATAGAAATGCAATTCCAAAACCAACCGATTCTTCTTAGTGTAAAAAATTCGTCACTGGAGCTTATTTATTTTTTGAAAAAGCGAATAATTAATAAAATGTATATTTTCAAACCATGTCTTGTAATAAGATTAATATCGCCTTCTAAATTAGCTTCATTTATAGATTTTATGGTGAGTAATTAATGTGGTTTCAATGGATATGAAAATAATATAAACTCGGACTTCAAGTAACAATAATCTTGTCTTCACAAGTCTCATAAAATCACTTTAATCCCGCATGTGGGCGGTGAGTTTGAGACCATTGGCGTAAGTGATAGCCGTATTGCTTAGGAGTCCTCAACGAAGGCGTTACTGTCATTAACCGTCAGTGTATATTGACATGTACAGCCGAGTTAAAATTTCACTTGGATACTCCTGGACAGCTGAAATATTCTTTTAAATATTATAAATTTAACAAATTATATAAATGTTGATATCTTTGGACACTAAATCATTTTGTGCGCTATATCTTCGTTCATAAACATGTGTTCGATATTGTAATGATTCTAAATTAATTTTCCCCTGCATTTCATTTAAACTTATTCCCTCGAATTCGATTAGAGATATAGTTCTCATTCAATTAATTCAGTTCTCACTTCGCGCAAGGAAAAACTACATAAAACCTCAAAATATCTTTATTAAAAATTGAAAAATATAGAAAATATAAAACGCTAAATACAGTTAAGACAGAACAACTAATTTTTACAATTAAAATTAGTTTCTAAGCAAAAACAAGCAATTCGGCCACCGGGCAAGGAAGATTTTTCAGTGCACGAAACTAAAAGTTTATTTTTGGTGCCACTTGGAAAAGAGGCACTGAAGTTGCAGAAACTGACTTAATTCACTATTCTGCTAAATTTTAAATGTAAACAAATATGTCTGCTATGGTAAAAAAAATTAGGCTTAGCCACACTTAAACGACTTTTAACTTGTTGGTAATTCTACAACTATTGCATGCAGAATCACTAAAGGCATAAAAAAACTTAATTGGAAGATAAGAACACAATTCAATCATTTTCAAACAAAAAATGTACAATTTTTCCAACATATCAGAATAAAAAAATGAGCTCAAAGAACCGAGTAACAAAGTAGGTATATATATATATATACACTTTTGGTGCGGCCAAATTGCAACCAAAAGGGGGAGGCGCACAACTACATGTTATAGCAGTCCTATATTCAAAATTTAAACGTTCTTGAAGCATACTCGTTTTTAAGTTATGCGACATGCATAAGTACATACGTACAGACGCCACGGAAAAAATCTCTTCAGAATCCATTTTAAATCCTTTTCGCAGCTGTTTTTGGGAGATGGTCGTTTATTCTGTCCTTATGCACAGATGTCCAGAAAAAACGTTGTTAAAATGCATCTTATAGCGGTCAAAATGGATATTTTCGTTGAAATATGATACCCGAAAATTTTCGCGTTTACAATACTCCCTTTACTTCGTACAAGGAAGTAAAAATGTAAAGCCATACTAAGCTAGTTATGTTTCTTTTAGATGTTGTACGAATAGACGAAGATAGCGTTATTAGTGGCACGAAGGTCTTCACTGGAGATGTTTCTGGTACATCGATCGCCGCTGTTTCTTTGAATCTAGACACAGTCAATGGAATTGACTTACCGAGGCTTCAGAAAAGCCTTTACAGGTATGATATCAATGTTAAATTCCTTGCTACAAAAGGTGTTCTACTCCATTTAAATAAAACAAAATTTTATTCATTAGAAAATAGTTTCGAATGTAAACGTATAAGTAGCTTGTTACAAACACGCTTTCTTCTTTATATAACGTAGAAGGTGGCTGTAATGAAATACTGAAAATGAAACAGAAGGAATAATTCGAGAATGTAGAAATTATATATTTATTTAATAAATTTAAAAAATCACTGCCTTTTAAGTTATCGGTAAAAAAACTTCAGAATGTGAAATATAAAAAACGTTGATGTTGTATTTGATTTACATTAATTCCTAGGTTTTGTTTGTTTGCGTCTGGAATTAATATATTACGGAAATTGTCTCATGTGCTTTTATTAATATTTTCTATTCGGGGACATGCTTTAAAAACGAATCTGTATAAAAATACAAATTCTACGATATAAACCCTCGGGAAAATATACAACGGTCTTTGATTGATAAGGAATAAATAGAACATTACATATCTATTTAAAGACCGAAATCATCAGTAAAAAAAATTAACTGTACTTTTTTTGCATTTCGCAGAAAGAAAAAATAAATATCTTTCAGATAACTCACTCTTGAATTAATTTTATGCAACGGAGTAGAAAAGCTGCTTCCAGAAACTTCAAAATCCATATATCCTATTTAACTGAATCTAATACTTCCTATTTGAAAATAAGTAATTTATTTTACTGCACTTTTTAGCAAGGGAAGTATACCAACTACACATTTATTTGGCTTCGGTGGACTAATAGATTACATGATGATGATGATGATGATGAATGTAAGATGTTACAGACAACAGTTATCCATTATTATATTAATTTTATAAAATGCACTACTGAAAACGATAGAATTCTAACTTTAGAGAAAGAAAAATGTTGTTGCTAGATGGCTAATATTTCATATATTACTGTCATATCTGGAAAAGTAACAATTCCAGCATATATGTCGAGGAATGTAGAAGCAAGATCTTTAGTTTTGTGTATTTCAATACATTAATCCCTTACTACCTTCAGTCAGTTCAGGCTTGTCCTGTTGACTAAAGGTAGTTCAAGTGTGGTCTCTCCATACTTGTTGTATTTTCTGTTTTTAATAATATGCTTTGTCAACAATGAAGGTTTTCTCTCCCTCAGATTGGACAAACCTCAAATGATTGAAGGTATTCTGGTCTTTCCCAAACCTTTAGTCGTAACTGGTGATTTGATCGTTGAAGGAAAAGTGAATGGCCTTGATTTTAGTGAAGATATCATGACCACGAACACGGTGCAAACTTCTCATGGTATGTAGCTCTGCTCATTGCTTTTGGTTTTCAGCTAACAACTGTCTTATCACCAGATTAATTTTTAGCCATTGAATCAGCTGGTTGGGACTAATTGGCAGATTTAAGAAATTCAAGTGTACATTATCATCAGTTGAATCCAAATGCATCTCAGAAACGTCTTGCGTAAGATTTCTTCCCGATATCTCAGTAGATGCAGATCTTTTCCCGAATAGTGTGTGAATAAGTATTTCCTTTGATCAAACTTATCTCTTTCTTATCTTGGCCTACCAGCTGCTGAGCGGTAAAGTCGCTGAACACTGGTACTTTGGTCTGAGGCTTGAATGCCACGAACGGGCTGGCTGCATGGCCGTTTTCCTCATGTGTAACGTGTGTACAAGCCAGTTTCCCTTTGTAAACCCTCTACGAAGGCAGATAGCTCTCAAGGCTTCGCCTTGACTAAACCAAACCAAAACTAATTATCTTCATTCTTAACAGTGATATTTTGTAATATTGATAGGAATACTTTATATTCCAGGCGTCCAACTGATATAGTGGTTAGCGTCGTTGACTGCCGTGCGAAGATCCCGGGTTCGAATCCTGGAGATGGCATGGATGTTTGTAAATGTAATAATGTCCGTCCGGCATGGAGCACTCTAAATATGCGGGGAACCGAAAGTCCTCTCGTGAGGTCGGTGGTAGGGGAAGAGGGTTGGGAGACTCGGATTGCTCTCCATCAAAATTGGGGGGCGGGGCTGAGCTAAATCGCACAGTTACCTGTAAGGTGATTAAGGCTGTTGCCCAACGACTCTCCTTGCCACGAGGATTGGTCTTAGAAATTTTAAAGGCACACCTCCGTTTGAGAAATGTAGGTTATTATATCGCGTACTGCTGGGTGCCTGGACACGCTGGCATTAAAGGCAATGAACTTGCCGATATTGCAGCAAAATCTGCCGATATTACCTCAGAAAACGATGTCCCTTTTACACACATGCGGAATTACATTAGAACAAAGGTCTTGTTCAGGTGGCAAGAATTCTGGGAATGCCAAAGTGTGTACAAATGAAGGCAGGTAAAACCCAATTTGGAGTACTGGGAGTCGAGAGGGAATCGGAAGGAGGATGTACTACTGACTCGCTTACGAATTGGTCAGACACATCAGTACCTCTTGAAAGGAGATATTGAGCCTATTTGTGGCACTTGCAACGTTCCCGTTTCAGTCAATGATATTTTAACCTGCTGTCCTGCTTTTAGTCAGAAACGTGAATTTTATTTTAACTCTACGAATATTAACTTAACAGATCTCATTGGAAGAAACCCTCACATCAACCTCATAAGTTTTTTTAAGACATCTCCTTTTATCATATGATGTCAACTACATTTTATCCTACTCTACCTGTTGTTAGAGCATTTTTCAGTCATTTCTGCCTGGACATTTTAAAGTCATTTCTCCATGCCTTCATCAGTATTTCACGTTCATTTCATCAATTCACTTGATACTTGTTTAAGCATCTTGAATTTTACTCACCATTTGTCTGGCGCATAATAACCCTTGAGGTTTTGTGCCATTTAAAAAACCAACCTTGCCACGAGGAATTTCGTGAGCTTTGGCTGACGATAGGGTCAGACAAGTGCGCATTAGTCAAAAACAACAAACTTTATATTCCTGGATCATTTCAGGTTTGGTTTATTTGATTGTGGCAAAGCACGTAAGGGCTATCTGTGTATGCGAAGGAATGCCTTCAAAGAGTATTTTCTAAGAAAAACTAGCTCGTATTCACATTGCACATGGATGGAAAAAATCATGAAAACGTCTATACAGTTAGCCCGTTTGCCAGGATTTTGAAACCGTGTCGAACTACCAACGCTTAGCAATTTTACCTCTCGACGGGTGGTATATACACAAGATCGAATATTAAATGTAATTTCGATTTGTTATAAAAGAGACCGTAGACAGTTTTTATGGATTCCAGCTGCGTTAATTCACGAAGGCTTTTGATAAATCCTTATCACTGGATTTCTAGCAGTCTTACGAATTTATGCTAAGCACTGAATTTTTTTATAAATAAGACGTAAGTTGATCCACCTCGGGTCACAAAATGTTACACTGTGGGCCGCAGGTTATCTAACCGTTAACTATATCACCATCATATCAGTTCATAAAGCTTCTGCAATATTTGAATCTTCAAAAGTTCCAGCGGTAGCTCTGAGGTTTAAACTCAACTGTGTAACAGTTAAATACTTGTTACAGATGGAAGTTTTGCTCACGAAACGATTTTAAGGAGCAGTTGCCGCCCCTCCCTTTTTAAGACATTACCTCACTTTGTAGCAGAAGTTTATGTTTAAAACTTTTTCAAAATATTAACTGTTCTGAAATATTTAACTGTCCGTTACTTTTACAGCAGCTTTTCCCCCATCGGCCGAGCTGTAAAGTCGTTGAACACTGGTATTTCAACCTGGGTTCGATTATACGCGAATGGGGCCAGTTGCACGGAAGTTTTCGTGTTTTTTCATGTATAACGTAGATGTGAGCCAGTTTTCCTTAAAATCCCTCCATTAAGGCATTCATTCCCTTAGGAGGCATCTATCCCTTAGGTAAACAACCTTAGTTTTAGTTTTGCCATTATCAGATAAACAAAATCTGAAATAAAATTTTGAGAGCCAGTTTCTCTTAGAAAATCGTCCCCGAAGGCATCCTTTCCCTTAGTGCTTTGCTATAATCAAATTAACCAAACCGAATCATAAGTTATCTGAAATTTACAACTCTCTCTACTTATTGGTTGAAAATAATTGAAGACGAAATATTGGAATCATTTAGTTTTAGTAGATGGCATATATATTTCATATTGTTTATATTGTTATATTTTCATATTGTTAAATGTTTTATAATTGATGACTTCCTTGAATTCTTAACGTAATATATTGGATTTAAATTTGAAAAAATTAAGGTACTTTCTCATATGATTTTATTCTAATATGAATTCCCTTTTTGTACTCTAGCTACCATGGTCTTTGAAAATAAACTGATCGTCAGAGGAAACCTTGATGTAACCGGAAAAATAAATGACATCGACTTCGGTAACGAAGTAGTGACTTTGGCCGGAAATCATGAAATAACTGGAAAGAAGACATTCCTCAACGGAATAATTGCAGATAATGTTGAAACAAAGGTATTGGATGGTGTTGATATCGACGATCTGTATAACCGGGCTTTCACTAAGAGTGGAAAACAAACAGTTCCAGGAACAATGACGTTTAATGGAGGCCTGCAGACTAACAATATAATACTCCATGGTTTCCTCAATGGTTACAATGTTTCTGAATTGGCAGAGAGCATTGTGAGGATAGACAAGCCAGCAATCATTACAGGTATTACACATGAAGCAAAAAATAAGTTTTAAGTTACCAATGTTAGAATATTTTTGGCTTTTCTCACTTTTCATGAATGAATATCAAATTTAATGAAATCTCAAAATAATTAAATATTTTTAAACATCTAGAATTTATTTCTAGATGTTAACTATTCTGGGACCAGATTTCCTTCATTAAGATAAGTGCAATATAATATGTTTGGAAGTAATTCTTTTAAAATGAGTTTTAATATATGTTTTCATACTTTTTCGGTTTCGCTTGTGGCATCTGGTTTCTGTTATTGGCAACTGATCGAGCAAAAGAGGTTTTCGTGGTTTTCCCACATTTAACTTTTTTGTTTACAACTTCTCTTGTTTTATAACCTGCATGAAAGTATATTCTCTTATACAGATGGAGGTGAAGTGCTTTACTCTAATTATAATCCCCACCCTGCACGCTTTGGCAACCACAGCCCTTATTCCACACAGTCATTTTCCCCTACTGAATATTTTGGGCATTTTTCCTTTTGCGCCATTTTCATATAAACCAAAAGATAAGGATCAGTTAATAAATAACTAACTTCTGCTCCCCTGAAGATATGGATCGGTTAAACATCTAACCTTTACAATAATGTATGACTTGAAATTCTTTCTCTTCTTATTTGCATACCATATTTTGAATATTTGCATGAAAATCGGGTGAAAGAATTCTATACTTTCCGTTCAACAGGTAATTTCTGCATCCACTATTTCCATGCTTTTGCACTTTTGAAATCTTATCAAAATAATTCATAAAAAATTTTACGTAATTCTAATTGAATAATTTAATGGTTTATAGGTTTTGCTAAATACTTGTGTTTAACTATGGCTAAACATTTTAGAACTTTAAAATAAAAACACATATGTAACCAATAAAAACAATCTACGTTTACAGTTCTTTCATATTTTGTTAAAAGCTAAATATAGCAATTGAATAAAGCTACGCAATGCAGTGTTAAAAATGTTTTTTTAAATTTTGTAAATGTGTTTGAAGCGCAAATCTCTTGAAATAATTTCATGTTTCTACTCTTTCAGGGCATAAAACGTTCTTGGATGATGTAACTATTCTTGGTGCTCTAACAGTGCATGGTACGGTCAACGGTCTGAAAATACCTGAAGATCTTTTTCTTACAGATATCGAACAAGACGTACAAGGAACCAAGGAATTCCGTGGTACGGTGACAGCATATGATGTGTCAGTTACAGGCACAGTCGATGGACTTAAAATTCCTGATGATATTGTCACATTATCTAAGGATGAAGAGATATATGGAACAGTGTTCTTCGAAAAAGGTATCCATGTAAAAAGAGATATTATCGTGGAAGGCTTGGTAGACGACGTTGACATATCTGAACTCGCCAAAATGGCGCTAAAGCTAAACGAAACTAGCACGTTCGAAAACGCAATTTTCCATGGCCCTGTCACAGTCACCGGAGATGTAAAAGTTGGTGGTACGGTAAACAATGTAAATCTAAAAGAGCTGGTGAAAGACATAGTGTTTAAGGAAGATTTACCTATTGTCATTAATGCTCCTAAACACTTTAAAAAAGTGCATGCTAATAAAGTGAACTTGGAGGGTATGATCAATGGGTTCAATATCACGGTGGATTTTATGAGAGTTCGTGGTGAACAGACTATTAACGGTAAATAATTTCTATTCTCACGTTGAATGTTGACATGTACATTTCTTTGAAACTTTATATCGGTTCTTTTATCAAATACTTACCTTGTTCCCTTCAACACATTCTGAATAAAATTACAAAATTAAAGTTTTATATACATGGTGTTCGGGATAAATTTGACAGTTTCGTAAGGAAAAAAGAAAATCCGCTTGTATGAGTAGTAGCGAAGGTCTTCATTGAGTGCAAGCTTCATAGCAGAGGCTGCAACTTTCATTTCACGTGACAAAGCCCGAATTCCAATGCCAGGGTTCTTCAACACCTGTTCCTGCAGATTTGCGAGGAATTCTGCTGTACGAACGCAATCAGATCGTCTGCTAGGGATCTTTCTTCTTGCTACATCCTCGTAGTCACCATTGCAAGTCTCTAGTTCATGCCTGATTGTTTTTACTGTGTTCAGGGAGCATTGGGCAGCAGTCATAATATCCTTATTTTGATGGCCGGCACGAATCATCATGATGCAAGTTATTCTCTTCCATGATTCAGGTGGGTTCCAGTCATCCATCCTTTCTGACATCTTGTATATGAATGAAGAAGGGTCCAAACTTTTAAATGACGAGTAGTGTGTATCAATACCTCCAACCTACGGAAAAATATAATCAGTTATAAATATGTCAAATTTATCTAGAACACCCTGTAAGCAGTTTTACTTTCGCTAGGGTTGCATATGTACATTCAGACAGTTCAGCAAAATTGATTTTACTAATCATTTAAGAGTTTAACTTAACAGAATGCTTAAAATTTATCTGAAACATAATAATATGCGACATCTAAAAGCTAATTATGGAATTATACAGACTATTACTACATGAATAATATACTACATAAACTACTAATATCTGTTTTACTTGTAATAGTTCCGCTTATTTAAGTTTCGTGATTGACCGTTAACCCTTAGCGCTCCGCATGTTTTTGTACCACTGCCTACCAGCAACTCCGGCACATTTTCGCAACGGAATGCAGCATCCAGAATATCTGCATAAATCTCTTTCTTGTAAATATTTTACCAAAGAAAGGGATGTGACTATTCTCCTTAACTGACCAATAATCCTGCATATTCGCCAGAGGTATCGTACCCATATTGATAATAACTCCAATAAAAGCCCAAAACTCATCCTCTTCCACCGCACGCCACGTTTCCCAAATAGAATTACTAGATATTTCTTTACTCTTTAGAACATTTTCTGCGTAATTGTTGGTTTCTTTTATAATTTCATTTACCAGTTTGTTTGTGAAAAATAATTTGAAATATTGTATCGGCTGTACAATATTTGTAGAAATTTGTGGTCCAGTGATCTTTGGCGATACACTAAAATGTATTCTATCCGGAATATCTAATTCTTCCGTGACATCGCGCCATTCGTCTAAGTCTTTCGCCGACTCTTAGTTTTCACTTTCAATAACTACCATTCGTCTCTTTGCTAGTATAATTTCTGAACCAATACTTGAAGTGACAGAATTATAATCAACATTGTCTTCTAAAATATCTTCTAACAATGAAAAATCAAACACATCTTCACTATCACTCAACTGTATATTCTCATCACAATAATTATTTTTCTCCATGTTGCTAACCATAAAATGGGTCAAATGATGTTTCAATCCTAACAGTAGCGAGACTGAGCACGTTTTAACTACAGATAACAATTGCCAACACAGACGATTCCGTAACATCTTAAGCCTAATCATGCTAAAAACATTGGGATCCGTTTTCGTGGTATTCGTAGCGGAGCCAACAGAGCGCTAAGGGTTAATTCTTAAGTTTTAGTTTTTGAAACATGTTTTCTTTCTCCCATAGTAGCTGGAAAATGTAAATTCTGTTTGATATTGACTCAGGCACATGTGACCAGATAAGTTTTATAGCTGGATAATTTTGTCGAAAATTTATTCAGTCGGAAAATTTCACTAGTTCCTCAGGCAGCAATTTTTAAAATGATTAACTAATAAAAACGCACTTACCAGTTTAGAAACCTCTTAATTCTGCAAAACAATATCATCTGAATATCTATTCAGAAAAACATTACGTGAAAAATATCGCTTGATCGAAACCCAGTTTAACTGATGGTATGTTTTAAAACAAAGTGAAGCATGGTCTTAATTTCTAATTAAATTTGCTATTTATTTAAGTAACTTTCAATTATTTATTCAAAATCGAACTTTTTATAATGTAAAATGTAATCCTGTTTGCATGCAAAATGAGGGCACTGTAATCTGTTTTGAGGATAAACTTTAAATTCGTTGACATTCTTTGAAGAATTATGTCTTTTAATTCTCTACATCGAAACATGTCTCTGGAAGTAAATGAAAGTAAGAAATTGTTAGGCCATCAAATTATCAGAAACACTTGCAGTACCCATTGGTAATGGAGTGTATGATCAAATCGAACCAAGATTAGTGTACTATAAAAGCTGCTCTTCTCGATTAGACATATTTCAGCATGTGACGTCACTGACACAGACTGCTGCAAAGCTCGGAGCAGACCTATCCAAGAATTTGAGTGTTGGGAAAAGCATCACCTTGTATTTCTATTGACTTCAATATTCGAATCTTGTATTTCTATTGACAATGATTCGAACCATATTCAAAACTTTACAAAAGGACCAACTGCATGGACGTTTTCGTGGTATTTCCCTTATGTAATGTGAATATGAACGAGTTTCTTCCTGAAGGAATCCCTTCCCATATACAAATACATATTGTATGTTTTAAGTTAAAAACTAAGCACAAATTTGGCCATGCATTTTTGAGTGAATTGTTACTATTTTTCTGTCATCCTAGATGACGGGCGCAGTGTGCCCTCTGAGTCTTGTTACATTAATGTAGCACTTGGACATACACACGCAAATTATTTCGTTTATGCACTTTAAATAAAAGTTTAATGTTCTATTAATTTATGATAAAATTTATTAAGAAAATAACTTTTATTGAAATAATGTGGACAAATATTTCTATTTAAGAAAACAATTTGATCATTTTCTGAAATTTGTCGTCTTGTATTATAATCTCTCAGTGACGAATAAGATAAAATGTTTCATTGTACTTTCATCCCAGCTTACTTTTTCCAGAGCAGCGCAAACTCTTTGCATTTCCTTAGGAAATTCTTTAGAGCGGCTTTCAAGTATGCAGGGCCTACCGTACCACGTCAACACTAGCCCTACAACAACTAGCAGGAATTCTTCCCCTAGATTTGATAGTAGAAAGGGAGGCAGCTATCGTAAGGGTTACCAGGCTGGGTCAAACTTCAACACTCTGGGGTCATAGTTATCACCACTCGGACTACGAGGAGCAAAACAACTGCAATAACTTTCATCCAGCAGCTTTTAATCTCTCTGATGGTATCAGTATAAACGACCAACCAATTCAGAGGTACAGTAATAACCTTTTCACAGATGGCTCCAAAACTGAGAACGGCTCGGGCAGCGCCTTCTGTAGACTAGAAAATGGAGTTGTAACATTCGAGTGGAAAAGGAAATTAGGCTTGAACAACTCGGTATACCAAGCAGAGCTTCTAGCTATCAGTGCTGCAATTAGATATGCGAACAAATGTCAACAGGAGAAATTCTCCATACTCAGTGATTCTGCATCAAGTCTGACGGCTATCGCAAGTCAAAACAGCCGGAGTCCATTGGTATACAGAATTCAGAAACAGCTTCTGACAATGCCTATTTCGCAAAGACCCACTTTAAAATGGGTTCCCGCTCACACAGGGATTCAAGGCAATGAAGCCGCTGACCTACTGGCCAAGCAGGCAGCCAACTGTACGGATATATTAGAAAGACCAACTAAACTTCCTTGGTCTCATATTAAGTGAACAACTTTGACAAGTCTGCTACAAAATTGGCAAAGTAGATGGGCAGAGGTAGGACGAAGGACATTTCGCTTACTGCCAAAAGTTAACATGGAAATAAAGACCCACTGTGCTAGCCTAACACAGTTCTTGACAGGTCATGGACCATTCCCAGTATACCTGAACAGATTCAGACTTAAGGATACTCCTTTCTGCGAATGCGGAGAGGAAGGCGACACGGACCATTATTACTTCCATTGTGTACATACAAGAACCTGGCACTTGAAGAAACCAGCGGACTGTGCCTGGGCAATGTGGACGACTAACACACTCAAAAACAGAATAGCCCTTGATAAAATAGAGAAAATCTCAGAACACTGCCTAAGCAGAAACAACCGTGGATAATATTATAATGTTTCAAAAGTTCAGAACTTAAAGCAGATAACCAGAATAACGCTTAGTGCCTTGCAGTTAACAATATGTAAAAACTGTTATTAGTTTATAATATTCAACCTTGTTACTCTGGAGTCTTCCCCGCCGTGATGGTATATAATTCCGTTTGGTTCATGTCCGTGGTCGGAAGCCATCATAGCGGTGCACTCACTCACTCTTTAGAGCGGCTGTTAATGATGCCTGATGTTATGTAGTACATATGAAAAACTCATGGAGGGATTCTTGCAGTACTAGATTTAAAGCTGTTGGAAGGAATTTCTGTAATACATTTATAGCTGTCGGTTGAAAGTATATGCAGATACTTGTTTACAATATTCGTTCCAATTTTTTTGTACATAAAGGAGATGCCCGATTCCGACACCCTTCTAAAAGTGCAAAACTTTAGACCAAAATCTTCAATTTTTATCTTTTCACTGGAATGAGATTCTATCTTCTCTTTGTCAGTAACATAAATTTGTCTTGCTACAGTTACCTTGATTAAGTAAGCGTTACTTTGTTGACTACCTATTGTACAGAAGTTTCATCTTTGGTGAAAACTCTTAATTTTAGAATTCCAAATTTACCATGAAATGTATCCATTGATTCTGTAACTAAACGTCTTAGCAAGAATCGTTTGAAGTGATTTTTGAAGACTCTTTTTTAAACCCTGAACTCAATTTTATTAAGTACGAAATAGGGGTACCTGAAAACTTCATTTGCAAGAAGAAAAACAATTTTTAAGTGTCTAAAATAAGACCGCGAAATTTAAACGCGTAGAACTTATTATAATTCCAAGTAATGCAATAGTTGAATATACGTATTTTTATTCGCATATTACTGAACAGATTTCATTAAACTTTACTCGCATACCCAGTTTCTTTATCTTCGTTGATAAACTGTAACTAAAATAAAGTTCTTATAAGAATTCTTTAAACGTTTTGGAAATTTCCTATAGTTTTGTAATGAAATTGTCTCCAGGAAGAAGGAAACCTGTATTTTGAAATAAAACAGCAAGAAATGACTTATCTTTTAAAATAAGTATCTCTCAAGTTATGTTAATATGTTAATCTGAACTTAATTTTATTAATAGTACTCACTGAATTTTTTCCTCATTTTTGCAGGTACAACAATTTTTAAACAGCCTGTCACCTTTAACTCTATATCTATTGGTAAGTTCATTTTACCTGACTTTTTTTAGTAAATAAGAATGGGTGTAACAGAATAGAATAAAACGGTGTGAATAGTGAGAGAATAAGTTGCAAGGACTTAACCTACCAACAGGTGGCAAAGGAGCTAAAAATGATTTAGTTTTATAGATTCGCTTTTGCTAATTGTACCATTTTATTGAAAAAGAAAGAACAAAGTATATTATTTATTTCTCATTGTGTTGAAAGTATCGAATAATGTATGCAAAAACTGTTCTGTGATAACTATATGCTAGCCATTATTTACAAATTTTTAATAAGCAATTGATTGCAGAGAGTTTCTAAAAGTCGAGCGAGTTAAGTCTTCAATAGTAGAAATAAACATAAAGTCCCTACATAAGCACAACTTCTCATTTCGGTATTTTGTATGAATTTAATCAATTTGCATGAAATTTGAAATGTTTGAATTTTTTTATTTAAAATGTTTAAAATTTAATATAATAAAAGCTAAATTTAATATAATGCAAATTAAAATATAATTCTTTTACTATTGAATAGAACTTAAAAGTCGGCAAAATAGCAACTTTATTTTTGGCATAGAATTTTAATAAAATTATCGATTTTGAGGGCAATAATTTCCACTTCACAGAAAAAAAAATCTGCTTCCTAAATTGTTTTGCTTTTTAAGAAGAGACATATTTCTGATCGTCTTCGAAATTGGTAGTTTTACTCAAACTTGTATCTCAATTAGGTTGCTATTTTTCCAAATTTTACAATGACTTATTTCTCTTCCAACCTATTTATTAAACAGAAGTTGATTTTTGATATATAAGGTAATCTTTGAAATACTGGATCCAGATCTGAAATCAGGTAATCCTTTTTAATCGCTATCTTTGCTTTCTATTAAAATAGCGGTAGTGAAATTGTTAGAGTAATTGAGAAAAAAGCGGAATAAATTAAAATTGTAGTATCAAGACTGGATTATACTGCTTTAAAAATTTATAGTTGCTTTGAGGATAACCTTCAAAGCATAATTTTTAAGAATCGTCTGGCTAATCCTTTCGGAAGATAATTGTATATACAGTGTCTCACAAAAGTGATTGCACACTTGTACTTTACAAAAGGAAACTGTAGTAAAATAAATTAAAAAAACATGTAAAAATTTTTTGTGGGGGTTTTTCATACTTAAATTTATAACAATTATTATAACATCATTTTCTCAAAATATTAAAATATTAATTTAAAAAAATACAATTTTTAGAACGGAGCAAAAATGGCCACATAAGTGATGGGACAGTTAATTCCACAACTATTTAATCCAAATTTACTTTTAAAGGTTTTAAATTTTGTTGGATTTCCTTTTTTAAAACATGTTAAATCTTTTTGGGATAGATTTGACTAATTTTTTTGTGATTTCTGGAGTGCTTTTTACCCATTCTTCTTAAGCACCGATTTTAATTGTTGTTTGAAGAATGGTGTGTTTGCGAATTCTTGATTCCAATTTTTGCCAAATATTTTCTATGTGATTTAAGTCTGGAGATTGTGGTGGTGTTTTTATTATTCCAGGAGAGTTATACAGCAGCCAGACTCTAACGTTCAAAGCAGTGTGCTTGGAGTCATTGCCCTGGTAGAATTTAAAATCGTTACGATGGTTCAATTTTCGTGCCGAAGATTTCAAATTTTGATTTAAAATGTTAACATACTTGTGCCGATCCATTATACTGTCAATAAAAACAAGACCAACACCAGCGGACGACATACACCCCCATACCATAACTCCTCCTCCAGCAGTTTTACTGTGGCACAGTTCTGTTGCAAAATTCTTCCCTCTCACACAAATCTACCGTCAGAACCAATATATATATTTACTTCATCAGCAAATATAATCGAATTCTTATTTATTGCTGGATTTGCAAAGCTAGTTGAGTTTCTATTCTTTACTTGCGAAGAATTTTCGCTGATCTACGTGTTATCTAGGACTCGAATTATTTCTAACATTCAAGATAACAATTCCTCCAATCATGCTTTACATAAGCAGAAACTTTAGGAGCCACATTCGTGGATTTTTTTTAATATTTCGACGATAATTCGTTTATTCATTGATAGATTTTGATGGTCGGCCAGGTCTCTTTTATCTGAATCATAGATTTTTTTATATCGTTTAATGATATTGAAACTGTTGAATGACTCAAGTTAACTGTCATCAGTTCTTAATAGATTTTCACGTTCACTATGCAATTAATAACTATTTTCGAATTCAGCAAAGTTTCTTTCGTTTAGCATCCAGGGCTGACAGAGCTAAAAAAAAAAACCAAAACAAAACTGGCGGAATACTGCGACGATTGTATAAATTATTTGCCATGTTTTGAGTAAAAATAAAAACCCCCAAAATATTTTATTGTATACGTAGTAGTATCTAATAGGTCTCATCACTATGTGACCATTTTTTTGCTCCGTTCTAACATTGTATTTTTATTAATTAATATTTAATATTTTGAGAAAACGTATGTTATGTAATAATTGTTACTAAATTTAAGTATAAACCACACCCACAAAAAAATTTTAATGTTTTTTATTTTATTTTATTACAGTTTACTTTTGTAAAGCACAAGTGTCCCATCACTTTTTTGTGACACTGTAATTAAAGGTATACGAGTCTTTCATTCATCTACGCACTACATGTGCGCTGTTCCTTCTAAATAGCTCCCTTTTTAAAAACGTCGTATCTTGTAGTTGTTTCAAATGAAATCCATTCTAGAACATGGATATGTAAGTTTGCTACACCTCGAATGGGTGAACTGCAGCTCGTTAAACATTTTAACACATACCACATATTTCTTTATTCGAAGAAAAAATGCAAACTGAAAATTCCACGTAAGAAATTGTTTAATTTTTTTAACTCGAAAAATAGCAGAGCTCTCTTCCTAAAATCATAGATACAGTATGAGGCTACAGATGTTTTTACGCAAAATCCAGTGTAATAAGGAGCAACTTTTATTGCTATTAATCGCTGCTTAAAGCATACACACGTATTTAAGTAGGAAACACATGACGATATTTCTTGTGTGTTTTATATTATACCCTAATTTTAAGCATATTTTTTAAATTTTAACCTGAAAACATAAATTATCTTAAGAAAACTAACGTTTAATTTATATAAAAATTATGATATTTTAGAAAACATATACAATCTACATTAAATCTTAAAATTCATCTCTAATTCATGGTCAACATACTAAAGTTTTCTTAATATTTCAATTTAATCTAGCACACGCGGGCATTAAATGCTTAAGTATACAAGGTGCTTTTTTTCAAATTCTTACTCGTATTGCAAGAAAAGAAACTAACCAAATGCTTCATTTGACTTCACAAAAGTCATCTACATGAATAGGAATTCTTTACCAACAACCAATTAGCAGTTTATGAAATTTTCATTATTAATTTTGGTTAAATTAGCTAAATTAAAAGCATTTCTAAACTGCAATAGTCCTTCAGAATGGTACTTCTCTTCTTAAGAACGCAGTGGCACAAAAACCATAATTAAATGCCATAATTAAATGTAAACTGTCATTCTTCCTACTAAGATGAATTAATTTTCAATTAACTTCAATTTCGTGCTTCGTGAATATTAAATTTCGGTAATAATATAATTATTTAGACTGCAAATATCTGTTTAATTATTCCTTTACTTAAATTGTTAGTTGTTCGTAATTTTAGTTTACGGAAACTTTATCCTTTCTTTTTATGACTGTTTAACATCGTTTGTGAAAATCGTCTGCAAGACTATCTGCGCAGTCGCAAAGTGTTATCTTAAGAGTTTTTTTCTTTACCGATGTTATTGTTAAAAAATAAATAGGAAAATGGTTGTTCTAAAGATTTGAAGTTGTGTTTAATTGTTTATTAGGACTACATTTTTATATAATGATAAAACCGCATAGTTTCATGTTTTATAACTCTGCTCTGGTATTTCATTATTTCCAGTTTAAACTGTATAATTTAAAATTCAGTTTTAACGTGCTGTTTCAGCTTGAGTCATTTTTAGTTTTTTGTTAATTGGAAAATTTCTTGAATCTGAGTAAGTTTTTCAAAGAATTTCTATACTTTTTACTTCCTTGTACGAAGTAAAGAAAGTACTCGTATTGTAATCACAAAAAAATTTCAGGTATCTTATTTCAACGAAAATATCCATTTTGAGTGCTCTCGAATGCAATTTAACGATGCTTTTGCGCGACATCTGTTCGTAAGGACAGAGTAAAGGACTTTTTTCCCAAACGAAAATATGACACTGATTTAAAATGGATTCAGAATAGAATTTTTTCCTCCCGTCTGTGCGTATGTATCTCGCACAATCTAACAGCGAGTAGCCTCTGGACGTTCAAATTTTGTACACAGGACTGCTATAACATTTGGTTGCGCATTTCCCTTTTTGGTTACAATCGGCCGCACCAAACGTATATAAATATATATACCCACTCTGTAACTCGGCTGGAGCTCACCTTTTTATTCTTACATGTTGGTAACTTGTATATTTTTTATTTCAAAGTGATTTAATTATACTGTTTCTTACCTTCTGGTTAAAGTTTTCATACCTTTAGTTAATCTGCATGCAATAGTTGTAGAATTATAAAAAATTTGAAAGTTAAGTGCGGCTTAGCCTAATTTTTTTTAACATAGCAAACATATTTGTTTACGCTTGGCACGTAGCAGAATAGTGAATTAAGTCAGTTTCTGCACCTTCATTCTCTTTTTGCCGATTGGGACCGAAAGGAAACTTTTAGTTTTGTGTACCGAAGACTCCGCTTTCTTCCCCGCTGGCCGAATTGCTTGTTTTTACTTAGAAATTAATTTTAATTGTATAAATTTGTTTTAACTGTATTTGGCGTTTTATGTTTTTCTATATCTTTAAATTTTTAATTAAGATATTTTGAGTGTTTATGTATTTGCGTTGCCGCGAAGAGAGAACTGAATTAATTGATTGGCAAATATATCTCTAATGAAATTCGAGGAAATAAGTTTAAGTAAAATGGAGGAAAAAATTCGTATAATTTGATATTCCATACGAGGAAGTCATGTGTTGTACACATCAGATTTTTTGCTTTGTATCATTTAGCTGCTCGTAGCAAAAAAGTAATAATTCTTTCAAATCGGACCAATCTTTTTACGAATAGTGACGCTTAAATTCACGTATATTTCCGTATCTGAAATGACTGTAAAAACTTATTTTCTGTGTTTAACATTTGATTTTTTGAAAAACCAAAAGCATGTCAATGGTAGACATAATTTTAATATGTTTTGATATAACTAAGTATTTTAAGTAGTTATGTTTCTTAAATGCATTTCCATTATCTATTTCAGCAAATGGCATGATAAACGATTTTCGTCTCTCGGATCTCTATCAAAATCGTCTGACGTTAATTATCGAAGACCAAATTGTTGATGACATAGAATTTTCTGACCATATAATAGTTACAGGAGATTTAACAGTAGCTGGAACGATCAATGGTCTTAGCATTCCTGAAGATGTAGTCCTAATGAATTCTTTTCAGCCGATATCCAACAAACATTTCCTTGGTACTGTGACTGTGGATAATCTGATCATACAGGGAGACGCAGAGGTATCTGGACTCTTCGGTGGAATCAATTTGACACAATTCTACAATGAAAGGTTAACATTATCTGGAGACCAGGAAATTGAAGGCGATATTTCTATCATTAACAGTACGGTAGAAAACTTGGAGATTTCTGGATTGATAAATGGAATAAATATACAAGAATTCGCCAGAAATGTAATGTCCAAAACCAAGGACCAGATAATAACAGCTTCCAAGGAGTTTTCAGGTAAAAAAATTACATTTGTGTTTTTGAAGCTTAAAACAAAAATGTTAATTTACAATCCTAGTAGCGAAATATATTTATAGAATATTTACATATTGATAAATGTAAATAATCTTAGTCCTGTTTGGCACAGGTAATTAAAAAGGTAAAATTATTTTTAATTTAAATTATTTTCTGCTGAATAACTAAGCTTATTAGCAGCTGAGCGGTAAAAGTTGCTGTATACTGGTAATTGGGTTCGGATTCGAATCCCGGCGTTGACAGGTTTTGTGCCAAATTACAATAATCCAATCCAATCCAATCCAATCCAATCCCGGCGAATGGGCTCGCTGCATGGGCGTTTCATGGTTTTCCGCATGTGTACCGTGTATACGAGCCAGTTTCTGTTAAACATGTTTAAGTAATGTTAGATTTCTTAGAATTATATTTATCTGGAAAATCTTATTAACTATTAAAATAATGACTAAGGTACAATCTACTCGGCGCTTCTGTCTGACGGGTTAGGAAGATCCGAGTGAGTATCTAAACCGCTAATAGTTTTCTATGGCTGCGATTAGAAATGCTAAATCTATTAAAATAGTGTAGAACAGATACCCGATAGCAAAACGTTAATTTATAAAAATTAAAAAGCCAACAAATTAAAAAGCCAATTTTGGCAATGTAAGGTGTAGATAGCAAAGAAAATTAATTTAAGCATCGTCTACATGATTTATATAACGAAATAGATGAAATATGAATAGGCCAATCTCTAATCATATGTAAATAACGTGCAATCTCTACTTGAATTTTTTTCAGTCTTGGTAAACATCTTTAAGATTTTAAACATACAAAGTCAGTTAAATCTTTGTAGTATGTTCCACAAATACTCTTTCCTGTGTAGCGCTATCCACTAGCGGCCGAGCGGTAAAGTCGCTGAATATTGGCAGTTCGGTCCGTAGTTCGAATCCCGACGAACGGGTGTTTCTGTAGTTGTGAAACTACGAATACGCCCGTTCGCCAGGATTCGAACCGAATTTGTAACACAAATATGAAGCTGGTTCACTTAAGTCCTACACGAAAGCATCCCTCGCCTTAGAGAGGTTCCAATCCCACAAACGGGCTGGCTGAATGAGAGTTTTCGTGGTTTTCCCCATCTGTAACGTGTATGAGAGCCAGCTTCGCTTAGAAAGTCCTCCACGAAGGCATCCCTTCCCTTAGGCAGACAGCCATCAAGGATTTGCTGTAATCACATAAACCAAAAACCTTCGCCTTAGAGAGATAGCCTTCGTGTGCTTTCCAATAATTAAACCAAACTAAACCTATGTAACTTTTTAAATAGTCTTAAGTCGCTCACCAGCGGCCGAGCGGTAAAGTCGCAGAACACTGGTAGTTCGGTCCGAGATTCGAATCCCGGGAACGGGCAGGCTGCATGGGCGTTTTCGTGGTTTTCTCCACGTGTAACGTGTAAACGAGGCAGTTTTCCTTAGAAAGTCCTCCACGAAGGCATCCTCCCCTTAGGCAGTACCCTCGAGGCTTTGCCATAATCACACACACAAGTCTTATTTCATAGCTCTCTTCGTGTGCTAGGTCTTATTTAATGTAAACACAGATCATTAGCGAACTTGAAATATTTCAGAAATTTTAATTCTGACATTTCATTTACGAAAAAATTTCTCGATCACTTAAAAATTTCGAGGAAAACGTTTATGTAGACCTTGAACATTACGTTAACAATGAATTTAGATGTTAAAAAGTTAGTTTTGGTAAAAACGTTTAGATGGGCTTTTGGAAACAGAACTTCTTACGTAACTACTGTATTTCACTTTTAGGAATTCAAATTCGTAACAGATCTTGTAAGCCAGTTCAATGCTTTTTGCTTCGATCATAATTGCTGATGGTAATTAAAAATTGCCGAACTTTTTTGCCTGAAGTAATTCAAACTATTTTTTCATGAAATTTCAGGTCAAACAATCGTTTACGGTCCCATCACTACTAAAGAAGGAATAAACGGTGTAAATCTAAAAGAATTGGATGAAAGGGCTGTCAGCATTTTTGGCGACAATATCATAACTGCTCCATTAGAATTCGGTGACGTGACTGTTGGTAATATGTGGGTATCTGGAAAGATCAACGGAATTAATCTGACTCGCTTAGATCAAGACAGTCTTAAAAAAAGTGGGCTTCAGCACGTAACCGGAGTGAATATCTTCAAATCGGGATTTCACGTTGAAGGTGATATCAACGCCGATACTGTTAATGGCATCATTATCGGAAGAGATTTGCTTTTGAAGACTCCTCCTCAAACCATAACAGGTACGTTGAAAAATATTTATTTAAAAGATTTTTATGTTGATATATTTACTGTTCAAATAAATCTTAAGTTTCCAAACTGCACATTCTAGAAGTTGAAAATGATATGCTATAAGTCATGTAAATACACAGGGTGTTCACACATTTTTGTAACGATTTTTTATCCATGTATTTGAATATTAATTTTAAAATACAAACGTGACTGGCATCCAGTTGGAATAAGGTTTAATTATCGTCTGCAGCATTAAAATTATTCTTTTCTTTAAAATGCTGCTGAAAACTAAATGGACCGAAGGCTATATTTTTGAGCTGTCCGAAAGAAATACTTATTCCGTTATTAAAAAATCTGATGTGTACACCACATGACTTCCTTGTACGGAATATTAAATTATACGCATTTTTTCTTGCATTTCATTTAAAGTTATTGGATTGAATTAAATCTACTTTGCCGACAGCGCATAAACTACAATAGAATAAATGCATTCTTTAAAATTTGCTCTAGTATTTGTTTACCATAGCGACACTCTGGCGCTAGATTCACTTAACAGTATTATATTTGTTCCTATTATAACTCATAATGCACAAAATTTATATCATTTAAAGAATAGAATTATCTAATTGTTGCCACATGTTCTATTCAAATACTATAATAAAGCTAGAATGATGTATAAAAGAAATTAAGCAAACAAAACAAAGAAAGTTTTTCACAGACGATTGAGTATTTCTCATTCAATTAATTCAGTTCTCAATTTACGAGAAGGCAAAAATACATAAAAACTCAAAATATCTATATTAAAAATTACGAAGTAAATTTCAAACGCTGATTTCCTCGGAAAAATTCCAGAAAGAATTAAGCATGATTTAATTGGCAATAATAAATGAAGCCGTTATCTCTGTTTTTGCGAAGCTAAGTTTCTCTAGATTGGTAACAAATCCACTATCCTGCTGTTTCAAATGTAAACAAGCAATGGTCGCCATCAAAAAAATTATTAGGCTTAGCGGCACTTGAACAACTTTAAAATTGTTGACAAATCTAAAAATATTGCATACAGATTTACTAAAGGCATAAAACCCTTAACAAAACTTAACGGAAGGTAAAAACAACATAATTCAATCATTTTCAAAGCAAAAAATGTACAATTTACCAACATATAAGAGTAAAGAAACTGACATCACTGAGCCGGGTAACAGAGTGGATATATATATAAATATATTCATATACATTTGGTGCGGCCGATTGCAACCAAAATACGAGGTGCACATCTACATGTTATAGCAGTCCTATATACAAAATTTCAACGTTCTGAAGCTACTCGTTTTTGAGTTATGCGAGGTACGTACGTATGCACGTTCGTACAGACGCCACGAAAAATTCTCTTCAGAATTAATTTTAAAGCAGTTTATAATTTTTTTGGAGGAAACGAGTCTTTTATTCTGTCCTTACGTACAGATATCACTCAAAAACATCGTTAAATTTCATTCGATAACGGTGAAAATAGATATTTTCGTTGAAATATGCTGCCTGAAGCTTTTCGCGATTACAATACTTCCTTTTTACTTCGTACAAGGAAGTAAAAAGATGTGAAAAGCACAGTTTGAATATTTCCACATGTAAAATAAAGTCTCATAATTTAATATTATGGATATGGTATTAAATAGCTAATGTTAGTTGAATTATAAATTAAATTGTTTTATTCCCCCTGCAATGCAGTGCGTGACGAATACTATGAGAAAGCTAAGCTGTAAAAATTAAAAATACAAGAGCACATGCATTTAACATTTAATTAATGTCTTTTTAATTTCGAGAAAGTTTCAGAAAATTCTCGTGCATTTATTAAAATCTTATATAAGCGGCATGAAAACCTCTCAATTTGTTGGCCTCAATATCAGACTTATCGGAAACAAATTTCCACCTGGATTAATCTTGCTAATTTTAAGTTTTTTGGAAAAGAGAACTTTTCAAGTTCGTATTAAGAACCAGCTATCTAATATCGGTGTAATGAAAGAAGGTGTCCCTAAGGGCTCGAATTTTTCACCTTTTCTTTTTAACATCTACATAAATGATCTTCCCAGCCACAAAGATGCCATTAGCAGACGATACTGCAATTCTCAGCGAATCCATCAATCTCTAAAGAGCCCTCCAAAAATGCATTAGACTATCTTCCCATTGTTTAACGTTTGGAAAATTAAAATCAATGAAAACACTGCAATTTATTTCCAAAAGAACCCTTCCAGAAGACATCTCAACAATATCACAATTAATAATATCTCCCTCCCAAATGAAAAATGTGTTAAATATTTAGGCGTTTATCTCGATCGAAAACTAACTTTCAAAAACCACATCGAATATATCTGTAAAAAAGACAACCAAGCAATAGGCAGTATCTATGCACTCGTAGGAAGAAATTCTAAACTTAGTCTCGCTACAAAAAGAGTTATTTATCTACAAGCTATCCGCCGGATTTTACTGTATGCTTCCCCAGCGTGGGGTGCTACTGCAAGAACTCATCGCGAAAAAAATACAAAGAATTCAAAACAAGGCCATCCGAATAATTACAAATGCGCCTTGGTTCGTACGAAACAGCACAATGACTTTAAAATTAAACCCACGGATTCTGAAATTCTAAAAGCTTCTCATAACTTTTTAATGAAATATGACTGTCATCCTAAGAATATCATCGAAAAATTAGGAAATTATGATTTCACAATTGAACAACGCCACAAGAGACCCCGCACTATTCACCATAATAGTCGGTGGTAATGTATATGTTTTCGTTTTCTTCTTATTTAGCCAAGATTTTACTTTATTTTCTTTACGTATAGATTTACTTATCAAATTACAATGCGCTATGGACTTTGTTCCTGCCAAAGCAAGTAAACTTTGTATGTAAATAGTTTTTACGCTTGTGAAACGTTTCAATGTACAGCAAATTGTGTTTTTCATCATTTCACTTTCCAATTATTGCTTATCAGAAGAATAATTTTTATGAAATTTTAAAAATGCCTTACAATACATCCTGCAAGAGATGGCGCAACTAGAGCTCCAGTCAACTGAAAATGCTTTTCATCCTACTAATAGATGGCGCCACACGACGCCTCATTTGTTCAAAGTTTACTTATTCTATGGACGGCGGCACAGGAGCCTCCGTCGCTAGTAATCTCTGAGTTCTAGCAGAGTATGTGCACAATTACTTCCATATTATTGGATACAACTTACTCTATTTCTCAAGCATTTAAAAGTCAAGTATAATATATTGGTAAAGGCCGTTAATGGTCGATTGCCTCTTACTAAGTGATAAGACATAAACATAAGACATCTCAATTTGTTAGTCAGTTAGTCGTTGTTTTAAGAGTTTGCTTAGAAAACTGCTCTTGTTGACTAGCGAATTCGCGAATTAGTTTTCTCTAGCTGTTTTGAATTAAGTTCTTTTGAACGTTTGAGTAGTTAAAAGATAACTACTATGAGATACTGTAATACTGCACGAATATCTGAGGAAATTTAAGTTGTGATAATAATAAATATTTTTCATTTTTTCATCGGACTTGTGCATTCAATTCAAACGAACCCGTACGCACGCAACAATATGAAAGGAAGCAAGCGTCAAAGTTTATACCCGATTGGAAAAAGACAAAAAAATGCATATCCGACGAAGGTACGTACAGCTCTTATTAAATCTAAGTCGCATCTCGTGTTTTGAAGGAAAATCCAGCTCTCCAAAGATCTATTGCAAAATCTTTATCTCTGTAGGAATTGAGAACAAAATTATAAATTTTGATTTAAAGCTAATTAAAAGAAAACATGAGGTTCATCGCCTAGCCCCGAAACATGTTTCTCAACGTAAGACTATGTGCAGATTGCCGTATGCAAATTATTTGGCGGGTGAAAAATGAAAATATATGGTTACAATTGACAATACTTGGATATACTTATCTGATTAAAGTAGAAAATATCGCTTTACTACCGAAAAAGAGGAGAGATTTAATGTTGAATCGGAGAAACCAAGAGTTTTTCTATAAGTTTTATGGTTACTACTGGATTTTCTTGCAGCGGAAAACTTAAAATAAGGAAAGTAGAGGGAAAAAAAGTCAAAATTAATTCAGATTGCTATCAGAAATACGTTTTAGCACCTATTTTTAAAGAAAAAATTCTCTTTGTTTATCCAAACAAGCTTCATTGTGTTAAGTTCCATCTGGATAAGGCTCCAAGCCATACCTCTAAACCGACTGCTCTATTTAAAAAAAAAAAAAATGAGAAATTAAACTGAAGTTGAAGCGATTCCCTTTAAATGCGTTTCATCCAAGACCCCCATGTGTCTCCTATGGATTACCATGCATCTGGACTTTTAAAGCAAGCTCTTTATTAACGACATGATGAGGGACACTGAAAGAGAAGGAGTGAAATAAAATGGAGCTTGATGTTTTAAGGAAAGAATTTTCATCTTGGAAACAAAGATATAGTGTGATTGCTCAATAAAAGGGCTATCAGATTGAACATATTAGAAAATAAAATTCTAAGGTTCGTTTATATATAAAATCTTTGCAAAATCGTTATAAAAATGTGTGAACACCATCTGTAGGTGTTTATGTAAAGCAAGTTCAGCTAAAGTGCAGAATCGCCCACTCATTCGATTGGCGTATGTTTGGCGCTTTTTACAAGAGTAAACAGAATTGGATTTTTGTCAATTTTCTTTGACTTTTTAAGTGAAAACAGGTCGATGTGTACATGGATAAAGCCAAGGAAGTGCACAATGCCATTTTTGTGCAATTCTGGGATTTTTTTTTTAAATGAAAATAGGTCGATGTGTACATGGATACCGAGTATGTGCAATTCTTAAAAACGCGCCAAGCAGTGGACGATTCTGCACTTTCCTCACAAATTCATTCTATGACACAATACTTTCAACGTTGGGTAACATACTTCTCTTATAATTTGACGAATAGACATGCGGTTAGAAATTAGCAGGTAAAAGGAATGTTTATCAAAATCTGTGAATAATTTGAATCGAGGATATTTCAAGGCTTTAAAGTTTCCAAAAATAAACTTTGAACTAAATTGGTTTAAAAGTACAGACTTTTATTATCAAAATCTCAAGGAACAAAATTTCAGTCAAAAATTACTGGTTTTGTCTACCATATTAACAAAATAGGCTATTAAAATCATCTCGTGAAGACCAAAAGGACCAATTAAAACTTTATAACAAGTCGCGTTCGTGTGACAGGAATGAAATTTTTCGAAGAAAAGGAATGCAGTTCTAGCTCAGACATTACTATTCTTATGTTACTATGAAATCTAATCAGATTGTAAGTATGCAGTGTACTTTTACCTGGCACACAAGATAGAACAGAATACAGTAGACTGGTTTTAACACTGAGAAGCTTATTTTTAACGACAGTGTTGTATTTATAAGTCTTAATTTATCAGGTATTAAAGCTTTATTATATTAAATAACAGATGTTGATCTAAACTTCAAAATAGCCCCATAATAATGGTGTAAAATGCATTATTGCCTAGGTGAAACATGTATATAGGTCTCTAAAAATGAGACCTTTTCATCACAGTTGTAACAGTCTCCTGCAGTGGATGGCACTTTGTTAGAAAATGGCAATATTCACCCATCATTTTAGGGTTCCATTTACCATGTTATGTCCTTTCTATGATCTAAGTACATTTATAGAATCTTTTCTTTTGTTTGTTTCTCACAGCTTCTAAGTTCTGAAGGAACAGGTAAGAATATACAGTGATGGACATAAATGGAGGCACAATTTTACCATTTTCTCAAAAAATCGGAAAAAATTGTAAAATTCTTAATTTTTACCGAAACGTATATCATTAATATAATCTTCAGAATAATATAAAGATAACCTTATGTATAGTATTATACAAAATGTTAAAATTTATAACCTTTCAAAAGTAAATAGAACATTTCAACCCTTCAAAACGAAGGACAAAAGTGCAAGCGCAGTTATGAAAATATCAGAATAAAAAGGTGATAATTTTGTGCTGAATCCTCCGTTTTTGATAACCTTGAGCTTTATTTGCCATGGAATTCCCCAATGTGTTTCACTGTTTCCAAGGAAACTTTGGCTCATTCTTCTAGGAGAAGCCTTTTCATAGAGTTCACATTCGATATATCATTTTTCCTCACCCTGTTGTCAAGTTCTTTCTATAAAAGTTCAATGGGATTTAAATTAGGGATGATAGAGTTTAAGGCGCATAGATATCTATCCACATACGGACAATGTGACGAATATTTGACCATTGTTTGGAAGTTAAAATTGCATAAATGAAACTTAAGGGCGCTTTGTTCAATATTATGTTTAAGGATATTTAAATAGATATGCCGGTCGATTGTGCCATCAATGAATTCAAGTTGCCCAGCACTTGCACTCAACATGCTGCAGCTCCATATCATCGCACTGTGTGTCTGTGTTTTGCTGTCGCCTGAACATGCTTTTCTCGAAGCTGTTTTCGGTTATCTCCAAACTAAATTTCTTCCATTGTAACGAGTTATTAAGAATTTAATAACATCAAAAAATAATACATTCGACAAAAGTTTATTATTTTTTATTCTCGTACTCCCTTGAAAACGGAATATTCCTTTTTTTTTTAGATTAGTTTTACTGATATGATTTTCTTCTGGCTACTCTACATTCGTAACCAGCCCAGCGAAGAATTCTTTGGACAGTGTTTAGACGAATTTTGTTAGTCATTCTTGAGTGTTCTTACGATATTAGTTGAAGAAATTTTGGATTCACTTTTACAACATCGGCTTTAATTTTTCTCTTTTCTACGAGTAAACCTTTTTGACGAGTCCACTTTCCTGATGCATTTAGCACACTACCACACAATTTGAAATTGTGTATCAAGCTTCTTGCTGTATGTCGACTGCTATTCAGTATTTCGCCAATGTTTTCAGTGATTTATTCGGATTACCTAAATGGATGATTAATTTTTCTTTCTTCAATCGCAGTTTCCGCACACGTACTAGCCATTTCAAAATTTCAACGCATTAAGCTGGAATGGTCGAGCTTTCAGCGCTCCTTCAAGTAAATAGCTGTTCTTCAAGTAAACATTATTCAAAGTTCAGATTTTGAGCGTGAAGGTGCAGTTGCCCCTCGCTCCCTATTTTTAACTTCGCCATTTTTCTTGTCCTCTGTGTTATGTGTTTGATCAGATAGCCTGGCTCAGTAAAAGTAGGCGGCCAGTGAAACTCTCTGATTAAAAATCCAGTTATAACCACGTGCAGTAATGATAAGGACCACGTGTTTCCGAGACTCCTTCTCCTTTATTTTCTTCTTTCTTGGTATTTCTTTCTCCTGATGAGGAGGGACCTTTAGCTGCTCTCGAAATAGATTGAGTGTTTCAATATACTTATGCTAAATACAATGTTGTTTTTACGATTTTGATTAAATAGCTGTTGTCTGTCTTATATCACTTTGGTTGGTATGTTCAGAATAACGCATGTAAATATTATAACCTAATATCACTTAAAACTCAAGACTATGCTTTGTTTTTGCCTTTCATTTTCATGGGTTGAAAATTTCTATTCATCTTTGTAAGTTTATTAATTTTAATTTAACATTTTGTAGTTCTTTATAATATTCTAACGGTTACATAAATGTTCTGATAGAGAAAGAATTTTACAATCCCTCCTTCCGTTCGGCTATTTTTTTATTAAAGACTTTATACAATAGCATTAAATCGAACGAGACTAATAAAAATCTAAAATAAAATTTCTGTTTTTGATAAAATGGCTGCTTTTAATTTCACTGCAGAATTAACTATAGACACTTCCTGCAGCGGAAGTTAAGATTAGGTCTCGTCAATTTACTGCAAGTACATCCTATTATGATGGATATTAATGTGGAAACTAGTTCGTAGGCAGTAAAGAAAATGGTCAAATGTGACTTCAATAGGGTGTATGTTGGAAATTCTGTAAAAATCCGAAATTTTATAAAGTTTCATTTTTATTAAGGCATTTTCGAACTATTCGTTGCTCTTTATATTGTGACTAGAAGGCGTTTTACTTATCCTCATTTTATTATTATTATAAGATATTAAAAACAAATCACGTTGAATTTCCCTTAGTGTATTTAGAGTTTGCCAGCAAAGAGAATTCGTTTCCGAAGATTAAATATACCGTCACCAAACGGAGATAATTTCAAGCTCAAATTTCTGATGCGTGTTCTTTCTATCGAATAAAAATTTTCAATCACTTTCACATTTATTCGACAGTTTTAAGCAATTTCCCAGAAGCTTTTTACCCTATTCGAATTGAAGCATTTTTAAGTTTCTTTGCTAGAAATATTGTGAATTTTATGCAGACTTTTCTGCTATTGAACATTCCGTTTTGACCATCTAAACGCTTGGAAACTTTTAAGTGGTATTCCAAATGGTACGTACGTACTCATGGAAAGAAAACCTACTTTAAAAATTTTAAATACAAATTTGAATTAGTAAATAAGAATTACATGATATATTAAAAGTACTTAAATTCTTCAAATTTTTTGTTTGCTCTATTCTTCTCAAGTTCACAGCTATCCCTTTTCGCTTAAAAAAACGGGGAATTGCAGAGTCTCGGCTGCGTACAATCCTCGGCAACGGTGGCTATATAAGAACATTTCCTCAATGTACCTTTTACAAAAGTTTCAGAAAAATTGTCTTCTTGCAGGCATTTTACCGTAGTTCCTTCCATAAGCTTGTGTTTTACAACTAAGTTTAAGGCAAAAAATATCATGATTTGCTTACAAAAACGGTTAACTTAACATGGAACAGAAAACAACGTATATGGAAATGGAGACTTTACTTGACTGAAGGCTTGTTATAAGCATGGTTGCCGGAATAATGTTTGTGCGGCACAATTGCCAGAACTTGGCACATTCTGAAAATTTGACGACTTATGCTAAGACTGTTGAGTTAATACGTACCTTCCAAATTTTTATATACAGTGGCCTAGCACCCACAACGTGAAATACTTTCCTTATATTTAGAGCATTTTTTCATACTGAAAAAAAAAATTAAATACTCTAAAATCTGCTGTCCTAAAGTTTGAGGCCAAGTTCAAACGCAGTAGTTAAGGAAATATCAAGAATTTTTAATTTACATATCTTATTTTTAGCTAGCATATAATTTTTGGTTTCGTTCCAGGAATGTATACTGTAGGCAGTGTTGGCATAGCTGGCGACTTAATAGTAAGTGGAGTCATCAATGGCTTAGATCTTTCAGAGGTTGCTCCAAATTTAGCCAGAACTGATCAAGAGACAGTCATCGAATCAAATATAACATTCGTCGGCCCAATTCGAGTTTTCCAGAACTTGGATGTCAAAGGTCTAGTTAATGGAATCGACCTTGAACAAATCTACAAGGAAGTTCTTCTCAAAACAGGCGATCAGGTGATTGAAGGACCCAAAGTGATCCGTGGCAATGTGACGATCTCTGGAGACATGGATCTTGGGTTTGTAAATGGAATTGAGTGGAAGAAATTCTTGGACGATATTGTCAGAACAAATATCCCGCAGGTAAAATGTTATCTAAAAATTAACTTTTCTTTGAGAACTTTTTTCATATGCTTTAGCTTCTGGAAAAAGTGTCAGCAATTTAATGAAGGCATATTCTTGCATGGAGCGTAATCTGACTTTATGTTCTCTTCTCTTCCTTCTAAAATTAAAAAGTCTCGTGTTTCGCCATGATTAATTAAAGCAATGAATCGGATCCGTTAATTTTGCAACAGGCTTTCGCACCAGCAACATTTATTATAAATCATTAAAATTAGTAGTATGTGTATTAAAGGTCAAGATATTTTGCCGATAAGAAAAACTTCTGATATTTTCAGGCATTTTTTATGAAGTTTTAAAAATTTTCCAATAAATTTAATTGTGAAATTTTACTTGTATGAAACCATGCGCTATTAACTGTAATATCCAAAAGTTGGAATTGGGACTTTAACCATTTGTGTATGCATCATACTATGAAACGAAGACTAAAATTTCAGGAAGATTAGTTTGTATCTTTTACAGTCAGGAGGGTACTTCCACTATATCTTTCTCTTTCAAAACTCTGCTTATAATTTTCAAAACTAAATTGAAAATATATACCAATTAAACGCCTTTTGTAAATTTGTAACATTTCTTTGTAACCAGAACAAACATTTTGTCCCATAAAAAACATCTCTCATTCATGCGGAAGGTATTACCTGTTATCCGGCGGTAAAATTATAAGAAACGCATAAGTTATAATATTTAAACACAACTTCATGACTGAAACAATAATTTGAAAATTTCGGAAAATCTAAATTTACTTTTAATACCGAGACTTCAACTCTTACTTAAATTTGGACTCGCCAGCGGCCGAGGTGTAACGGTCGAAGTACCAGTGTTAAGCGGTCTCCAGCTGTCGAACTACCAGTGTTAAGCAGCCGCCTAACACTGGTAGTTCGAATCCCGCAAACGGGTACGCTGCGTGGGCGTCTTAGGTGGTTTCCCTATGTGTAACGTGCATACAAGCCAGTTTTCCTTAGTCCTGCACGAAGGCATCCTTCTTGAGCAAATAGCCCTCGAGTGTTTTGCCGTAATCAAATAAACCAAGCCAAATTTTAAATTATGGCGCATATACGCATAGGGATACTTGTTTTTATTTTTCTCTAAAAATGTCTATCGCAGGATCTCGAATATGAACATCGTAATCTGCACATCTCGTCAGAAAACTGAAATCCAAAAAATACTTTGACTGAAAGAATATTGATTGCAGATATATCAAATTTAGTACATGGCGAACATTTGTTTGGTGACTTTGGTAATTGCAGAAGATATTTTTTAAACTATTTCCTAGTTAAACTGTGGCAAAGGATTTACTTAATAACACTTCGTAGCTTCCCAACATCTGCGTTGACAAATGAGCAAGCATTGTCTGCAAATGTAGTTTGCTGTATCAGAACTCGGCTCAGTCAAAATTCGGCCACAATAACAGTGAGGCTGTATCTGTCGAGAAATTTTCAAATATGTTATAGATATAAGCAGAGAAAACAGTAACTTATAGAAAAAATGAATTCAGGTATAGATTATTTGCAATCGTGATTCAAATAAGTGTGAATAGCATTAATCTCTCTTCACCAAGGTGCGGTGGCAAATTGGTCTTTAGTATAACTTGAGAATTTTTAGTCCAAAGGGGCTTTGTCCCTGAAGGACTATTGTTTCCTTTTTCCGATTTTGCGTTGAAAACTTTAAAAGGCTGTATCACTTTTCAAATCGTTTCCACCAAAGACTATCGCTCTGTATTATATTTGAGGAAATTAAATAATGAAGAATGTGCATAAATAAATCTATGTATGTTTCTGGCACTGTGATAAAACAACGGTACCTGCAGCCATGAAAATTTTAATAACTTAATCTTCCATAGAATGTGGGCACGTGGAAGCCCTAATTTGAATTTGAAATTTTTTATTATCGATTTTAGATTTTGTAACACTTCAACGAATTTTTGATTAAAAAAAAACTAAACGAGTTCAAAGCGAGCAATGGCAAAACTGTACGAAAAAAAAATTATCTCCAGTGCGCCAGACTCTGTATCGGAAATTCTAAAGGTATGCTCATTTTAAAATTAATTTGCGATATTGCTGTTGAACTGAATTTTATAGTTTGAGTACGTAGAACATATTTAATAAATAAAGGTAACGCAAAAAACGTTGAAAAAACATCCTTTGTACGTAATTTAAAATCCGAAACCTTTCAGATTTTTTTTTAGTAAGTAAAAATGGGAATTTACAGATGAGCAGTGACGTGCAGACTAATTTTCTTTTGATATGTTTCGCTCTTTGAGCTGAAAAACTTGCTAACCTATATATTTTTTGATAAATTAAGTTTTACAAGAGATTTCAATTTAAGTGAAAAGGTCTGAAAGGACAAAGGAATTTTATAATTCTTGAAAACATCTATGGAAAACGTGAACTCTGATTTTTTATAGCTCTGATGACATAAGTTTTATCTCCGTTGTATCAATGACTTCGGTGAATATGTTATGAGTTTCACATGCATGATTCTTTTTTCTTGAGTGATCTCCCATCACTGAAGTGAAAATGCTTTGTTAGTGCCACAAAATAACTATTAAATTTTAGCTTACTCACTGATTAGGGCATCAAATTTCTAATGTCTTTTCCTTTAATAAAGTATTTGATTTTAATCTTGGCCAACGGAAACGCAGAAATAAAATACAAAATTACTGATTTAAAGAAATCGAATATTAATATTCACTTATATATAATGTGAATACAAATTTTGGAAGCAAATTTACAAAGGTTCAAAACAGGAGTCGAGAAATGCTAAAACAGAATCTGAATTAATCAGTTTTCCTATTAGCAGGAATTACCTGCCACTTTGCTTCTGTAGATATGAACACCAAACATACCAGACTTGACATCCTGCTACTATTCTAAAATAGGCAAAACTTCATCACTTATATTTTCTATTATATAGATGAGCGATTTTTATTTACTGCAGAATTAGTATGTGATATAGCAAAAAGCAATGCTCTATGCAGTTTTTAAAGCATTTCTTTGATTCGTGCGCAGAAAATGCAAGTTAATAAGTAACGCAAATTAAAAGATTTTAATCTTTGAAATCCATTTTACATAAATTTATTTTTTATTTTCCCCATTTTTCCCTTTATAGTGCTGTTATACTTTTATTTATTTGTTTCATTAGTGCTATTACTTATGCAAGCTTCGTGGTATACTTTTTGGAACATGAGGACGTGGAATTAGAGTTGACAAAAAAGAAAAACTCTTTTCCCATCTGAAAAACGTTTTCACTGTGCTGCCATCTGCACTTGGGAAGAGAAAATACATAAATTGTTTTAATTACATCGAATATTTTTTAAATAGATTCATAAAATTCGGATATTCTTTAAAATTAAGCAAAAGTTCATCCTAGATTGATGCAGATTTTCCATAAACCTTGATAGATTTCGAGGAAGATTCTCGTAGTTAAATTTTCAGAAGGAGAGAAATTTTTTCCCAGATAAACTATTAACATTAAATGATTTGTTTACGTGTACTAGTCGTTTCAAAGTGTTTTAGACATGAATTTAAATCCGACCCGTAAGTAAAAGAAATATTTTATTCTTGGGATTATGCCTCTTATTATTTTATTCAGAAATTTTTAGAATTATCATCTCATATTTTCAGGTATGGCCATTAGTATATTTAAACATATGTTATCCTTTATTGTTCTTGAAATTTTATAATAAATGTGCTTCCTGGCAACGTATTATGCTATGCTAACAGGAATGAGATAACAAAGTCTGTAAATACTGTGTACTAAATTCTTACTTCAAAGGAAGAGTAACTTTGACTCAAGTCATTCTGTTTTACGTATTTCTGAAATACAACTTCTCTCGTCACAATTATTCATAAGATAATTATTCATAAATTACAAAATTGGTTATAATGCTTCTTAATTGATTTTATACATGAACAAGTTTCATTATGTTACAACAGAAATTTTCATTATGCATAGTTTTTAACTTTCGTATATGTTTGCCCCCACAGAATTTTTGCAAACTTATAAATTGCATATACCGTATAAATAATTGTAATTATATCCTTACTGTATCGTTTATTTTAACTTTTGAATCTCCCATTTTCTTTGACACTGAACTTCAAACCAAGCAACAATGTAGAATTTTATTTATGCGTTAGGAAATCCCTACAGTAAAGTGTTGCTACAATGGCCAGTATACTAATTACCAATTTTCGCATCCTCAACCAGCGATAGTTTAGGTTATCGGACAACACGTGAAGATTACCTGTTTAAGATAAAGGAGGATTTCGTAGAGGACTTGCTAACTAAAACTAATTGTATTTATGTTACGCATAGGTAAAAGAATTTTGCCAGGAAAATACCGTTCTCACGATAGAAGCCCTCCACAGCTATGTTAAAATTTGCTGTCCTTCTACAGCTGTTACCTGTTCAGGTGTACGTTTCTTGCTAATGAGGATTCATGCAATTCCAAATTACATACCTTTCTTTCGGCCGAGCGGTAAAGTCGCTGAACACTGGTAGTTCGGTTCGAGGTTCGAATCCCGAGAACGGGCTGGCTGCATGGGTGTTTTCGTGGTTTTCCCCATGTGTAACGTGTATACGAGCCAGTTTCCCTTAGAACGTCCTCCACGAAGGCATCCCTCCCCTTAGGCAGATAGCCCTAGTGTGCTTTGCCATAATTAAATACACACACATACCTTTCTTTCTACCCACCCGGAGCGGTAAAGTCGTTGAGCACTTGTAGTTCGGTCCGAGGTTCGAATCCCACGAACGGGCTGGCTGCATGGGTGTTTTCACGGTTTTTCCCTTGCGTAACATGTATATGAGCCAGCTTCCTTAAAGTCCTCCACAAAGGCATCCTTGCCTTAGGCAAATAGCCCTCGATGCTTTGCAGTAATCACATAAACACCAAACTAAATCAAACCAAACTTTCTACAGTTAAATTAGTAAAAATTTGGGCTGTGCAGATTTGATATACTACTAGAAATGTATTTAAGAAATCTTATTTGAAAATCAGTTTAATCCATCTGAAGAACGATTAAAAAACCTTGCTTAATTGTAACTTATAACCAAACTGATAAGCTAACTAGAAATTGATAAACTAACCAATCCACCGTTAATTGACTCTAGTAATAAAATAAGCCCAGGCGTTTTTTCCGTTTTTCAAAGCATATAACTTTACGTTTTATATTTCATATATTATCTGATGCCACAGATTCTTTAGCTTTTTATACACGTGCCGAGGATCCGTTTTTAATTTCTCTCGTGCATTTTTCTTTGTATTCGCATTTCAGATAAATATTTATCGCAAGAGATCTAATTTCGTCTTGCATCGACATTCGAGGAGCATGTCTTTTTCTGTACGATCAATCTTTTATAGCTTTAAATTTAAAATAAAAAAAGTGATATCCTTTCTTTCACTTGACGTAACTCTACCATTAGTTAATTATAAATTGAATGCAATTCTAATTTAATAAACTGCTAGAAGAATATGGTTAATACCTAAATGAAAAATATGAGCTGATTCTGAATTTCCTTTCCGCGTTCCTAGTACATTACCTATAACAATAACAGTAAAATAGGGCATATTGGTATATAATTTTCTAATGGTTGTTGGTATATGCCTTAGAAGTCATCAATAGATGTATCATTCATACCCCGACAGACTTCAATTCGAAATTCCTGCTTCTGTTTCCTAACATGCCAAGATCGATATTAGTAATTGAATGCATCATACTCCTCAGCAGCAGTACAAGGTAGGAAAGTAAAACTCCTACGAAGCATTCAAAGACCGTTTTATTGCACGTGCCTACGCTAAACCTTTTACAGATGCAGCAAATACTGTTGCATGTACAGATAGAATTAACACCTGCACTGTAATTTGTTATCAATTATGGAAACACAATTCCACAACTCATAGTTTCACCCACATGCGTATGAAGCATCGAGCAACCTATTCAGCCCACAATAGGAGCCTACAATAGAGGTATAAATCTGAAGCAACAGTCACTACACCCAGTAAGAAGTATCATTACCTCACAGATGGATCAGTCTAGATAATGAAACTGGCTGTGCCTTTGTACAATACTGCAGTGAACAAAAATGTCCCACATGGAAAGCACAACTTCCTAACAATCGAGCTATACGCCGTCCTAAATCCTCACAATTCCAGCGTCATCAATAATATTCATATTGACCTATGACACTCTAAATATTTTAATGTTCATCTCTATTAAATAAAGGCACATGCAGAAAATAGAGGATATGAGTAAGATCTTGTGGTAAAGGAAGCAACTCGCAAACATAGTCACATTCTCAATATATTCCCGTTCCGTACTCCAACCTCAAACCAGTTATCAACACCTTGGCTAAAGCAAAATGCAAAACGAATGAGACAGCTCACCGCAAGGCTATAGAATCAATTTATTCTTTCCCAAAGTCAGTAACAAAGGTGTACTTCCACATCATAGCTAACATAGTATTTCGTGACTGGTCATGGCCCATTCCCTGTCTGTTTTAATTACCACTGCCTAAGTGATACGGACGAAAATTTCTAAATATTATTGCAGTTGCTCTATAGCCTGTTCAGCTTACTTTTGGAAAACACAAATGACGAAATTCTGTACCAAATATCTGTCATCAAACAAAAATTCCTCTTCAGAAAGAACAAGGCAATCCTAAACATTCTGGGGCCTGAATCCTTGTGGACATCAATTCCACCTTTACGCAGTTACACCTTACTCTCCCACAGCAATATGTATTCCATAAAAATCTCATCATTTTTACCCTTTTGCATTCTTGTGAAACTTCAACGAGAAGCATAAAACTATATCTGCCTAATTATCAAAACTAACTGCAAAGTGCTTGTCACCATCTTCAGTTACCTTTAATTCCAGTGTTAGCCATTGATATAACATGTGTAGGTACACTCATTTATAAAAGTTTGCTCCAAGAAGAAAAATTAGACATGGCAGATAAAATTAGTTACGGGTTTTTGGCCTGTTTCGAATATAAGCTTCAAATAATTCTTCATGAAAACATATACAATTTTTTCTGTATACATTGGAGCAACGGTTCTCAACCTTTTAACTAAAGCGTACCATCTAAAAAAAATATTGAAAACCTTTAGTACCACCACTACAAAATATTACTATCACCACCACTCTTCAATGCTCAGATCGCATAAATTTACAATTGTTGGAAAAAAACTCAATCAAGATGTTGGACTTTTAATTTTTGAATTTAATAGTTACAAATACTTTGCATCTTTGCGTACCACCGGTTGAGAACCCCTGCGTTTGAGTAATTTAATTCTAAACTTCCAAAATCTCGGAGGCAGCTATGCCTTTATTTTAAATTTATTTTAAATGCTTGAAATCTACAAAAGTTATTTTGAGAAAGTTAGTGTGTATGTTTGTGGAGAGTAGCTCACCTTGACCACAAAGTGTCCCTTTGGCTTAATTTAGGCAATATTGCAATGTGTATGAAATAAAAATTTTGATGTAGAAGATACTGAAGATCTAGATAAATCAAGATTTCGCAGAATTTCGCAGACCATTTCTATTTAAAGTTTCCATAAATATCACGAAGTACACATGCACAGATTTAATAGATTCCTACGTATTCTTGTATTTGACGATAAGAAGCCATGCAGTGAACGTGACGTTAACAGCAGACATTCAGAGGCAAGGAAGAGAAAGTCGTAAACTGCAAAAAATGGTGTATTAAGAACAGTTATGGTTCCGTTTTTCTTTAAGATTAAGGTTTTGGTTATCAAATTTTAGTGTCTGTTGGAAGTCTTTTTGCGTTATGTGTCTGTTGGAAGTCTTTTTGCGTTATGTGTCTGTTGGAAGTCTTTTTGCGTTATGTGTCTGTTGGAAGTCTTTTTGCGTTATGTGTCTGTTGGAAGTCCTTTTGCGTTATGTCGTCAACGTTATATAAGAAACATAATTCAGATAATTTTTATAAGCATTTTTGTATAAACCATTGGGCATTTCATCTCAGAACAGGAGACTAAGATTGTAGTGTTTTCGTCAGTTACAGTCCAACTACTCTGTTCTGCAGAACCTCTAATACGTTTAATAAGCTGTGTAGAGGATTAAGTATTCCTTTTGATTATAAAAGAATGTATTTTAAGAAGAGAATATTAACATTAGTTATGTATTTAGCACAATATAGACTAATTTAACCTTTTGGGAGCACTAATTCACTTTTCTCACTTTAGACGATAAAAGCTCCAAAAACTTTCAAATCCGATGTGGCGGTAATAGGGGATGTCTTTGTTAATGGCCTCGCTGAAGCTGGTTTGATCAATGGACGAGATCTTAGGAAGTTCTTGGAAAACGCAGTTTTCATCGATACTCCTGCCAACATTACAGGTACGTGCTCACATATCTTGTTAAAATTTTGCTATGGAAATTTATTTACTTTACTTAGCGTCTGAAACTTTCATTTGCAGGATGTAAAATCTTTTTATTTCTAGTAACAAACATGGAATTCAATGTGACCAAGTCTTTAGATAAATTTAATTTTATTCAAAAATTGAAATTTCATATCCTTTAAAATAATACATCTGAGCATCGAATTTTATTTTAAAATGTTACTATTACGTATTATTTAAATTACTTTAAATGCCTATTCTTGCAAGGATCTGTTGGTGAATGGAACTGAAACTCAGGAGGTTAAAAAAATCATTTAATACGTCACGCCTGCGCGTAATTTCATTTGAGTTTTGGAATTATTGATGTTAATATATTGTATCCATTATAGGCAAAGTACGTAATGATTAAAGCAAAAATTCAAGGAAGTAGAAGCTAAAATAAGCCTATTTATTGACAATAAAAAGAAATCTTGTCTGAAAGAAACAAAAATGGAATCAAATAAGTAGACAAAGGAAAACAGACCTGTCTCCCTCTCTCTTTCTCTCTCCCTCTCCCAAAAAATTTCACTTGGTGAAAACTTTTGCTCCGGAAGGGGAGAAATTTTAAATAAAAGAAAACTATTTAGCACTTTCTTGATTTATAGAAGGACGAATTCTAGCTGAACAGTCGAAAGTTTCAAATGAGTAATCGAATTTTTGGTTCAAAAGTAATCGAGTGATACTTTTATTAGAATAAAGTTTCTCGACTACTCTCCGACATGTAATGAATCAATTGGGTTCTCCCTGTAGTACTATCCATTGGGGAGACACTCACAAGTATATCGTAATAGTTATACTGGGGTACAACTGTAATAAACCTAGGGTGTATAAAAAAAACGCTTAAGCCGGCCTGTGCGCAATACGTGAAATAAACTTCCCATTTCTTAAATTGCTCATTTGTACTATGCTTTTAATCACTAAACGCCGGTGTTATTGACCATCAGATAGAGTATATCGCTTGTATAGTGCGAAGCTGCAATAAACCGATGTATCAGTATTCAACAAAGCTCTGAAAATAATTTTCCAAACCTTAAATTCGTTCCTTCCTTTTTAGTATCAAGTTCTTGTTGGAGGGGGGGGGAGTAGATATATCTTGCAGGAAGTGTTGTGGAACTGTGACCAAATTCCGACAGAAAAGAAATGTTGCTAATAACTAGCAATATATAAATAAAACTCGTGCATGAATTAAATGCATGTAAGGCTTGTTTTCATTTTTGTTCGAAGAATGTATCTTGGAAACCTGGGAAACAGAATTTTGAAATCCTGGGAAATCGCCAAATAGAGTTGCTTAGCCATATGTAGTTATAATTTATATAGTTTTACATTTTTAGCTACAGAACTGCAGCATTAACTAATTCTTATCGCTTTGTATTTTTAGAAAGGCGCAAAGACAAGGAATGTTTTGCCATACTAAATTTAATTGTCTAAAAAGGCTGGTTTTAAGCCCAAAAAAATTGGGCTCTTTTAAAAAATCTTTATATTTAGTCCTTTAAATATCGATTAAGTATCAGTTAATTACATTACTGTTTTCACAGCACTGATTTTAGTGCATCAGTTAAAAGAGCAACTGTGGTAACAACTGTAGCTTGGTTAAATTTCAACCTGTACCATTTTGTAGTAAAGATCTATTAACTGTATGTTTTGCTGTCAATATTATAGGACATTTTAACACTAAAGATTTCAGCTTCGGTTGGAGTTCAAGCCCAAAATCGTCTGCGTGCACAAGTTGCTCTTTCTTTCAAAACTTACAGAAGCTGGCAATGATTTCCTGTTTAAGACTGGAACTTTGAGATTTTTATGATGGATTAACGTAAGCGTTTTTCAGTCAGACGGATAATGTACGTGTCTTTTACTCTCATTCATTTTCTCTTCGGAATTGGATAGAATACGGTCAATTGTAATGACAGTAAAAAGCGACTGCCCTCACACAGATGTTCTATTAATCGTTTTCTATTTCAAGGCTTGTTCTCTAACGGAGAATTCTGTTCCATTATGAGATAGTGAAGTACTAATAATGTGATCTAGAACTCTGATTTAAACCTAGACCTTTTTCGATACATTCGGAACAGCAAATTTTTGTTAGCCAAACACCTGCTTTAAGTTCATAATTATTTTTAGTGACTCGACATAAAATGTTGGCTTACTATTAGATTTGAAATAAGAGAAATAATAAAATTTATGCTTAAAACCGAGTAATATTTTGTATCTCACTTACTAAAATGTATTTCAAAATGGTGCATAACTGTATAAATATTAGCACGTGATTTTAATTATTAGAATAATTTATAGGTTTAAAAATTTTCAAAAGTGATGTGGAAGTGACTGGAGATATGGATGCTGACTTAATCAATGGCCTAAGACTGAAAACTGATGTTATAACACTTAGGTGCACTGGAGATGGTAATTAGTTTTAACTAAATTTAAAACTTTCATAAAATAGTTATGTTGAATTATTTTGAAGCTTGTAAACTATTAAATAGAATGTGCTGTTAATTTAACTTAATTTTGTAAAATTTCCTATGTAAGTGGACATTACGTATCCCCTAAAAATATTCAGCTTTCTAAAAAGCCAGACTTAATCTATGGTTGGTTTTTGCTCAGGTTTAAAGCTGAAATTGATATCAAACTATATTGGTTTTCAAAACGTTAATTCATCTCTTCATTATCAGAATTTTTAATTTCAATAAAAATACCTTGAATTGCTAAATTTTATATTTAATTTTTCTAATCAATTTAAAATTCACTTTGGATTATAGGCTATAGAAAAACTTAATTTTTAAATTTTAATGAAAATTTAATACCTGTGCTTGTATCCGTTAAAATATCTTCGAAATTTTCAGATCGAATATAAACTTTAGACTTGCTCCAAATGATATTCATAATTACAGTGCGGCACATTTGTTTTCGAACACTTGTATTTCTCGACTTATTTGCATAGATCTGGTAGCAAATATTGAAACATAGACTCCATTTTCTTTTTTTCTAATCAATATTTTTTCTGTTCCAAGCATTGTTTGTTACAAGATAGATATCATTAAAATATTCCTTGTAATAAAATAATTCATTCGAAACGTATTAGTCCGAAAGTAATACGCTCAAAACTTCTGTTGAGATTTTAACAGGAGAAATTCCTTGTCATAAAGTTTCGTTTTAAATGAAAATATATCACAGGAATTATCGGCTGCATTTGGCAATTATATTTTGTTTAGCAAAATATATTAAGTTTCTTATCTGAAGTGACCTTTGCATGATTCTACAAACTAACAGCAAGTTGTGTATTAGAAATTTAATTGGTCATCTTTTTAAAATTAGTAAAAATATTCGAAATATCCCCAAAATCCTTGATATAAACTTTCAACTGTTTCTGATGTTATAAAACTGTGAAATTGCAGGGCACTGTTAAAATGCTTTGAAGTTTGGACCCCATTTCAAGCTAATACAAAGGAGTTGGAAGATCTAAAAATCAAACAGATCCCATATATTAATACTGTGAACTTTAATGCAGATTTAGAAGAAGAATGGTTTGCACAAACGTTTGCAGAGACATTAGGTATTTCTGAAGCAGGAGAGATGAAAAATGAGCATTGCCTTCGCGGGGACTCGAACCACGGGGCTCTCGAATACGCGCCGAGCGTGCAGACCACTACACCACGAAGACACGCTAAGAAGGCGAGAGAAGTACCTTATAAGTTAACCTTTAAACTTGTAGAAGAATCATTAGACTACACGGAAACAATGGGCAATCAGCAAGAAGGAAATTCTGTCAACAAGGAAAATATGCCAAAATCTGTGATAAGCAAAGATTTATTATACTAAAACAATGATATTTCCCAGGCCAGTAACAGTTTAATAGATTTAGGTCCACTGGACGAATTTCTGCATGGTGAAAGTCGGATGAAGAATTAGATCCTAAACACTTATTGTCTATTATTAAGAATGAGGGTGGAGACTGAGGGATGTCTCGCCGCCCTCTGGGATGGGAAATATTTATTCATTTTATAGAAAATATAAATGAGTATTGATATATGAATATTCTTGATGATTTAAGAAAACTTTGAATGAAAAATACATTTAAGTTCTATCATGATAAAGGCCATAAAAACACAGCCCCAAATATTATTTGCTTATGGTGATTACACAACTGTCCTGAAGGCGAGATAATGTACGTATTTTTGAAGTCGTAAAGGGCTCCGCATTTTGCTCCGTACTTCAATCCTATCGAACTTGTATGGAACGAGTCAGTAAAAGAATAGGGAAACATGACATTTATTCGGAAGCTCTACTTAAAGCAGTTTTTATAAAGGAAAAGCACAAAATGGAACACGAAAGAACACACGAAAATAATTGATTGAATCTTTGCCAAAGTGTAATTTTCGTTAACGGCTACCGAACAAATGATTGAATGTTTCGTTTATCTTAATGTTTTTAATAAACATAAATTGTTTGTTCAAAGTGTGCGAATACTTATGCGAGTTTGCTTTCAGAACCTTCTTAATAAATTATTTTTTGCCAAAAGCGGTTTAAATAACTTTTTCCCAAAAGAAACAAATTTTAAAAAAAGGTGACAAATAGTATGTGTTAAAAGAGAGTTTTTTCATAAGCGTTTGGTAATTGATATTTGTAAAACTGGAAAACACAGGTGACCGAAAAACAAATGTGAGCCGCTCTAGTTTCGCACAAAGCGTCTTCTTACATCAGCCATGTACCAAATGTCTTTGCCATGTATTTCTTCTACAGTCGTACCTGTGCATTTCAACTAGAACTGGAATTTTTTAATCCGTTAAATAATCCGTATGCAAGTTCTTTTTTAATGAGATGTTAAAAAAACTTAATTTGTAGTCTTATCAAAGGGTTTTCTGCCGAAATTTTATAAGTGGCTAAGCGTTGAAAACTTATTTCAGACCGAAAGTCATTAAACCTTTTAATTAAAATCCAAAAGCCAAATCCGAAACTAAATATTAAAATTTTAAGCATTAGTTTAGAAAGGATTCTTTTGTCAGATTCTATCAAAACGCTTGACGTATCATGAGCAAATTCAAAGTAATAAAGATTCGAAGAGATTTAAAAATCAACTGTAAATCAACCGTCACATATCGTAGATTAAACCGTAGATTTCTCATAGTTGGCTCATAAAGAAAGTCTCGACAATAACACGACAATTCTCATTTAGCGTTTCCTTCTGTATAAATCATATGGAAATTCAAAAGCTTCTTTGCTTATGTCTTAAAGCTCTCGATTTCATTTTAATATGAACGCTTTGAAGAACTGTTTCCAAAATGAAACAGTTACTCATGAATGTGCGGTAACATGACACTGACACTTCTTAAGTTATAGCTTAGAAGAAAGAACTTAGAAAAGAAGAATGTGTTTTCTAAATGCTTAGTAAAGGAGGATGAATTTTCCAAATGTATTTATGTTAAAATTTAAGGATTTAAATTTCCCTCCTACTTTAAAATATAGATCAGTTTTTTTTACCGCCACACAGAATTTTAGTTCTGAAAATGGTTTATTTGGAAATTCTTAATAAAATTTGGTACTTTTCATTTGCAAAATTTTATTCGCCATTTACGAACCAGAAGCTTGGTATACTAATTCCCATTCAAACTTCATTAAATGCCTTTAAATTTCAAATATTTAGTGATTTCCGTTGAATAAAATACAAGGGGTGATCAAATGAAAAGGTACGAAACGACTTAAAAACGTAACAGTTAAATATTCGCATATTCCGCCATGGGAGAACTTAGCGAGACATCTCGGGATGCGATTGGAGTCTCTGACTGGGATCGGAGCATGCGCAGGAGAGAGCAGAGGATCTTATCAAAAGCCGCGTCCAAATGACGCGGCAGTCCGCATGAGGTCAGGATGGCGTTCGCGTTGCAAATTTCTGACTGAGGAGCAGCGAGGTGTTATCCGATTTCTGATAGCGGAAGGTGAGAAACCGGCAGCTATTCATCGCCGAATGGTGACGGTTTACGGTGAGAAATGTGTCTCTGACACATCTGTCAGAAAATGGAGTGCCCGTTTTCGTGCAGACCGTGAGAGTGTGGGTGATGACCCGAAACCAGGCCAGGCAAACACTGTCATCACGAGGGATCTCATCGACAAGGTTGATGACCTAGTGAGAAGTGATCGGCTAGTCACATTGTGAATGTTGGCGGTGAAGGTGGATGTCAGCTATGGAACCGCGTAGGCAATTGTTCACGACAGGTTGCGATATGGGAAGGTGTGTGCCGCTTGGGTTCCGAAGCAGCTCTCCGACCAGCAAAAGGAACTGCGTATGGGGCTAGCACTGCAATATCTGTTTCGGTATCAGGAAGACCTCGCTTTCATGAAGCGGATGGTCACAGGTGATGAGACATGGTGCCATCACTACAAGCCAGAGACGAAGCGGGACAGCATGCAATGGAAGCATGCGTCGTCACCTCCCCCTGAAAAGTTCAAAGCCGAGCCATCAGCAGGCAATGTGTTGCTCGCAGTCTTTTTCAACGTTCAAGGTCCGCTACTTGTGGAATTCTTCGAGCACATAAAAACCATTAACTCCGATGTGTACTGTGAGACACTCTGACGCCGACGCAGGTCCATCAAGAACAAAAGACCAGGGCTGCTCACAGAGGGTGTGGTGGACGTTGTGGGAGACGTTGGATCATCCGCTCTACAGTCCGGATATGTCTCTTTCCGATTTCCATATGTTTGGTCCACTGAAGGAACACCTGAAAGGGAAGCGCTTCAACTCGGACGACGTACTCAAGGACGCTGTGAAGGACTGGGTCTTGTCACGGCCACAGGAATTCTGGGAACAAGGAATCTTGAGGCTTGTTCATCAGTGGGATCATTGTGCTCAGGCCTATGGTGTATATTTTGAATAAAGTATACATTTGGACCCACCGTGTCGTTTCGTACCTTTTCATTTGATCACCCTTGTATATTATCATCACTTAAAAGTGTGGATCGTATCATTCTCAGATGTCTTAAATAGCGGTTGTTGTAACTGAATAACCTCAACATATTTGTATTAATTTAATATGCATTACTTTTAGGTCCTCAAGTGATCACAGGACAGAAAACATTTGCAAATGTGACTGCTTTTGGTGATATCTACGTCGATGAAACTGTTAACACCTACAAGTTAAAAGAACTATATGACGATACCTTATTTATCGATGGAAATCAGACAGTTTCAGGAGCTAAAACATTACAAGTATGTAATTCTGTAAACGTATTTAGATAGCTTTGATGTAATTTGTAAATTTTACAGAATATGAAGTAAATCGTCTAAATTTTTAAAGGCTCTTCAACTCATGCCGCCTTACGAACAATACTGAGCTTTTTGATTAAAATTAAAATACTTGGACTCAAATTTTACCAATTATTAAAATCCACAGGATATCTTAAAAGATTTGGTATTCGTTGCTTCTTCAAAAAGTTTTTGGCATTCCCAAATGTATCTTAATTTCATATTGGTAATAAAAGCAGTCAAGCAATCGGTGTTTTACGGTGTAATCGCGAAAATTTTGTGGTATCATTTTTCAGTGGAAATATTTTGACCGTTCCATAATCCATTTCGACGATATCTTTTGCTTGATGTCTGTACGTACAAACGGAGGAATTTTTTTTTTTTTTTTTTTTAAAGAGTTGGTAAAATGGGTTTTTTTCGAGACGTCTGTATAAGTACGTATCTCATATAACTTCAAAACGATTAGCCGTAGATCGTTGAAGCTCTCTATGTGGTACTGCTACAACACCTCGTTGCACACTTCCCATTTTTAATGCAGTCGGCATTACCAAACGAGTGTATACGCGCAAAATATAGAACATAAAGAAAATAATTCGAGGAAATAAGTTTTAAATGAATTGCAAATCATTTAGTTTCCGATAAAAATAGGCGGAGCTAATCAACACGATGCAAGTAACTGCTTCTTGAGTTTAATTTTTATCTGAAGAAGCACGGAAATTTTAATGAGGATTGCTCAAAATTGCCTTCTATAAAACAACTTTACTAAAATGATCACATTATATCAGTTGTCTAAGATGAGAGGTTATTAAACGATTCTCGTAAATAAACTTGAATGGATTCTTGTAAATTTACCCTTGAGTAAATGAGCATTCAGCAATTTCGCACGTGCACCGGATGTGAAATTTGACTGCTCCGTCATAAGATCCGATTCGAATGCAAAAGAAATCTTCAAGATTCATGAATGTGTATATCAAAGATTCCCAATCTTTTTCCTTCATCGACTTCTTAGCCTCTAACATGCGATATACAATATAATCATAATAGAAATCATTGCATATGAATAGCCTAAAAATAAAAATCAAGTTCAGAGTATGAGCAAAATATATGAAAAGTCTTTTATGATATTTACTAGTTTACAAACAAGTTTTCAGAAGCAAAATTGCAGGTTCTAATTGCACAGAACTTCTGTTTTGTTGTATGTTATGGTTGCGATTTGATGCGGCGATGCAATTTTTAGTCCAAAGGGATTTGAATCCCGAAGGACTATTAGTTTCGTTTTGGCATTTTGCGTCGGACGGATAAATGTCGGTTCACTTTTCAAACTGTTGCCATAAAATGTTAGAGTCCTGCATTATATTTGAAGAAATTAAATAATGAAAATCTGCGTAAATGTATGTATATTTCTCACATTGTCATAAAATAACGGTACATAGAGTCATCGAATTTTGAATAACGTAATCCTCCAACGAATATGAGCATGTGGAAGACCAAATTTGAAATTTGAAATTTGTTTTATGATCGATTTCCTATTTTTTAAAACTTTGACGAATTTTTGATTAACAAACTCAAGGATTTCAAAGCGAGCAATGGCAACGTTGTGCAGAAAAAAAACATTTTTATCTCCAGCGCGTGAGTCTCTGTATCGGAAATTCTAAAGATATGCTCGTTTTAAAACTATTTTGCGATATTGCTGTTGCACTGGATCTTATGGTTTAAGTGCGAGGAACATGATATTTAATAAAGAAAGGTAACACACAAAATGTTAAAAAACGCCCCTTTGGACGTAATTTAAAATCTAAAACATTTCAGATTTTTTTTTTTTTGTAATATTTAGCATAAAACCGCTTAATTTAATTTCTAGACCATCGCTTTCAAGAATATTCGACCAGTTTCCCGTAACAAATTTTTGGAGTCGTTAGATTTGCCCAAGAAGGAAATGTAACAAATGTGCAATAATTTAGCCAGGAATCGAACTCTGAACATCCTGATTGCTAGCCGGGCGTGATTCCAAGTATACCACGAAGACACTTGGTAAGGAGGAGGAAAATACCTTACTAAATTATTGACCAAGGCCCACCAACGGCCGAGCAATAAAGTGCCTGAACAATGGTAGTTCGGTCCGAGGTTCGAATCCCGCGAACGAGCAAGCTGCATGGGCGCTTTCGGGATTTTCCCCATGTGTAACGTCTTAATATCAGCCAATTTTCCTTGGCAAGTCCTCTACGAAGGCATTCCTTCCTTTCGTGTAATGCCTTAGGGCGAAACAACACTTAAATAATAATAAATTATCGACGAAGTAAAGCCTGCTTTTCACAACGTAAGAAAAGCTAAAAGTCTACATTGTTGGTTCGGTGACAGCTTATCGGAGGACTTTTATATTCCAAAATTTAGCATACACATGGTTTTGAATCGCTTAGTATAATTTTATATTACTAAACAATTATCAGTTTATTAATACATTGTTTTGCAATCAATGGAATCCTGATCATGCCTATCAATTGCAAGTGAATATGCTGCTATTGACCTCTTGAAGTATCATTATCTCCTTTAGAATTTCATCGATCGGCAGGAGGTCTATACCGACTCCGTTTGGAAACCCTTGTCTGTAGCATCTTTGGGGAAATTGAAGGCAAATAGATGTATCAATCGAAATGTCGCCTAAAGAGATTATTGGTTATGGGGGGAGGGAGTATAAAATCCTTTTATAATTCAGTTTTCCTGGATGCTGTCATTCATAATTGGCATGGATCTTGTATAACTAGCTCTTTTTGTATTGCATAACAATAATCCAATCTTCCAACGAGATGTTCTGCACAAAAAAATAACACTCCTATTTGTCAAGTTAATCATCTCTTCATAAAATCAGATTTTAGATTTTCAAAATGACATTTGTACGAAATATAATTTCTAAACTAAGCATTAAATATTTATATGTTATGATCCCAAGGCCAAGTCGACCAATTTGACATCATTTTTACTTGAGGTTTGATTTAGAGAATTTAGCTGCGAACAGCTGTTTCCATTTAACTCTTAATTAAATAATTCCGTATCATTAAAACAAGCTTCCTAGGTACGCGATAGTCTTGGATTTTTTATACCAAAGAAAACAATTAATCATTGTAATTAATCTCCTAAGCTTCATGTTAAGGCTTTATTTGCTCTCAGAAAATCGGTAAGATTTTAATGTTCAGCATAGTGCAAAAAATTAAATTCCTGCTTTATATGGAATTTTTGGTCGATATCTTTCCAGAGTGAAGTTATTTTCAAGAAAGACTTCTATCCGGACACTGTAAATGGTCTGATGTTGGAAAGAGATTTAGTAACCTTACACACAGATCAAGAAATTTCGGGTCCTTTAACTTTCAATAGTGATGTATTTGTCGAAAAGGATGTGCACGTAGCTGGTAAGTATCTGTAATATTTTTGAAAACTTTTTATGCATTTAATAAGTCACTTCTATGCTATAATTTAAAATATCTGTCCGAAATTAAATTTTTTTCTCAAAAAAGAAAAAAGAACTACCTTTTTTTTCATATCATTCCTAATTTACTTTACAAAAGTTATTTGTATAAATTTAAGTTGAGCTCCGAGTCTGTTTGTGATTTTAGCCTCGTTGGAGAGGAGAATGTTGAACATGTGCTTCTTCTATGTCCTAAATATAAGAACGAAAGAAAAGTATTGAAACTGGAACTGAAAAACTTTAATATTAACTGGCCTCCAGGATTTTACTAATTTATTTCCGAGAGAAGTGCTCTTAACACTTTTTGTCAATTTATTGTGAAACTTTGTAATCATCCTTAATTTTATTTCAGTTTTTTTTTCTGTTTATTTTGTATTGTGTTTCTTACTTACTTCTGTAAGCCCCATGTGATACTATGTGGTACATTGGGAACTTATTGTGTTTCTTTAATTAAAACAAAATGGAGAAGAAGGCTTTATAGCAACTTGGTGCTATTTTTAAGTCCTTGTCTCGATGAATTTCAGCAATGACTCCATTTCAAGTTAATCTATGGTTCATTTGGTAATCATGCCCACGAACGGCCATTGAACACTGGTAGTTCGGTCTGAGGTTTCTAATCCTGCGAACAGGCTGGTTACATGGGCTTCTTAGCGGTTTTCGCCATGTGGCCCATGTATGAGCCAATTTCCCTTAGAAAGCTCTCCACGAAGGCATCTCTTCTTTAGGCAGATAGACCTCGAGTACTTTGCCATAATCAAATAAGCCAAACCAAAGTTAGTGTTCCAATATTTCTGATGAGTCTGAATTCCTGATAATTTTACAAAGCAAGAAAATTCATTAATGAACCTGTGATGTTAAATTCTTGTTTAATTCGATTGGATCATATTTAATATTCCATCCACCCACCCATCCAGATTATTTATTTTTTTTCATCAATATTCACTGAGCAAGTCAATTAGCGTTTTATTAATTGAAATTTTATTATTGGAAAAATGGAGTAGTTACTCGCTTTATGGTTTAAGATATTTGAATTTTCGATTTAAATCAGTTGCTAGTGTTGGTTTGATCGTTGGAGAATATAGTGATGGAAATAAGCCACTTTGTGCAAACCGCTGCTCTACATAACCCTCAAATACCTTCACTGAATTATTGAATCGCATTACATTAATTGAATTAGAAATGGATTTATTGCTAGAATCATGAGTCTGTCGAAAGACGCTTCTAAGATACTAAGAACTTACTGAGAAAGAATCCCCATAGATTTTTATGTACAAGTTAAAGTATAAATTGGAATTTCCCTGCTAGTAAATGTTAGTTTTCTTACAAGCCCAGTGCTTAAATTGCGCCGGGAGCCCACCGAAGCCCGGCTCCAGTGCTTCTCAAATTTTAAGATAAATTACAATTTTAGCCAGAGCGCAGCGGAGCCCTAAATCAGATGAGCTCCGGTACTTCTTTTTATAAACATTTTATTTAATTTTAATTAGTTAATTACTTCAATCTATAATTAATTCAATAAAGAATAATTAATTAACTAATAATTATCAATTAATTTATATAATAATTATTGATTAAATAAGAATTTATAAACATTAAAATAGCTATTAATTAACTATTCAATTTTAGAATTATTAATGAGTTTAATAGTCATTTTATTTATTTATTTATTTACTCTTGTTCCTCTTTTTTGCTGACGGTCTTCCATAGGGCTCCGGCACTTCTAATCTTAGAAATTAAGCCCTGTACAAGCCAATAATTTCATCTAGATTATTCGGAAATTAGTGTGAAGATTTCAGATGCAAAAAATAGATTTCGCATAAATTTGGACAGATGCCTAATAAATTGTAATTAAATTTTTAAAAAGTGTTATGAACAAAAGTATAAGAAAGTGTAAAAATGTTAATTAAATCTTTTCTGCAAAAGTGCATCATATTTGTTTAGTCACTGTGAAAATATTTGTAAATATACGTACTTGACATTTTTAAATGCATTTTACTGGCATTTATAAATTTCTTTTAATTATATCACCCACTTTAATTACTTCAAATCATTTAGAAATGGCCTTTGAAATGTCCGTATCATGCATCTGCATCATATGAACTCCCATTTGTAGTCCAAAATATACCAATGCAGCGTTTTTCGAGTGGAGACCACGTTTATAAATTAGAATGTTCTGCGGACCACATAATTCTTATCCTCTATGAAAGGATTTTTGTAGCGTATGTTACTACCAGAAAACTTATGTTTTTAAAACGCAAGTAATTAAAATTTAATTTTGCAGTCGATTTTAAGTAATTGCGTTAGTAGAAGAAATTAATTTGTGTTTATAATTTAAAGATGTTATGAGTTTGGTTATTATTTAACATATTAATTAAAAATTAAATAAATGTTGGTATTCACATTATGTACATATAGATGAACACGCCACTTCTTGCGCAACTGTTCTATGGGTGGATGCATGCTAGTAAACTTTAAGTATTAGATCGGTACATATATTAGGTCGATTTTAGTACTTTATTTTTATTTAATGTCTGACTTAGTGGTGAAAACTCTGTCTTTAACATATACGTAGAAGCCTAATTGTCAAAACTCAAATGTGTAAAGTTCACCATGTTCCACTTTCGTTGTTAAAGAGCCCAGCGAAATGATTGCAAGAAGCATACCATAAACACTGTGCTTGAATTCCCTTTTTGTTTGAAAACTAGAGTGGAAAGTTTGTAGGTTAGGTAACCGGAAATAAATTGTATGAAATGTCATTCTTGGTAGAAAAAGTACTAGATGAGATTATGTATATTCATGTGCAGTCACCAAACTCTGAGACTTTCATTTGTCGTGAGACATATAGTCCATTTTGATTTTTTTTTAAGTCGAGGAGGACTACAAGGAAAGGTTCCGGGAACCACTTCCGGTGCGCAGACTGAATACAATAGCTAAATGTTCCAGTTTTTCTGTTAATATCTTTTAAGTAAATATACTGCAAGAACCAGAATGTCATAGCTTTGAAAATTGTTCATACCAAACAATTAACCTCATACAAAAGCACTTTCGTTCCAACAGGTATCAATCATTAATATATGCATGAAATAAATGTCGAATATCTTTAAAGAATTGATTATATTTCTTTTACAAGTATTTTATATAATCGCTAAGTCAGCTTGCCTTATATTAACTTCATCGACCAAAAATTTTAAATATAAATTTGCAAATAAGCTTAATCAAAGTGTACGACTTGGGTTTTACAATAAGCTAACTAGCATTGGGGATAGAAAAAAAATGACGTCTTATCACACGGATAAGGCGATTTGAAATATGTATAAATTGAATTTGCTGACTTCAATACTGTTAAAGTTACTCTTCAATCAGCTTGACCAGAAATGTGCTAATGAATCTTTTCCTGCTAGTAAATGTTAGCGTTTTCTTATGTATGTCTTTCATGTCCGGAAGTATGACCATCTCAAGATAATCTGATGTCAAACAAACACTAAACTCATCGCAATCCATTTCTTTAAAGGCAGGACAGTGAAGTTTCTTTAAAGGAAGGCTTCTGCAGCTCCCTGTTTAATATCTGAAAGAACTGGTGAACTTGAATGAACTGTAAGATTAATATCTAAGGGGAAATAAATTCAGTTTACAAATTTTGTGTTTACGTACAGGTAGCATATTATCTTAGTGTGTTAGATAGGGTATCTTCGAACTTGGAAATAAACTGTATTTCCAGCAAGATGAAACGGAAAGTAAACTTCCTACTGTTTTAGTAATAAAAAACGTTATATTTATCTGAATATTTTAAATAATTCATTATATTTGCGTTTGAAATATTTAAAATATGCAGATAAATATAATGCATATTTTAAATATTTCAAACGCAAATAGGAAAAACAGAGGAATCTGTAGAAATGATGGGAAAGTTTTCTAGATTGAAAGAGCGCTTTCAGAATCTTGAACGACACTTCTATTTGAAAAGATACTTCTATTTTTATATGCGTAAGTGCATCGGGATGTCGAGAACTTGACGATTTAGTATCTAATGAAATAAATTCTTACCTAAGGTTTACCTATGGAAGCAGAAAATTGAAGTCGAAAATATTTTGTTATCTTAAAAAAGCTAATTCAACTAAAAAAGTAAACATTTTCTTCAAAGTATCGATAAAAGGTAACATGCCATTGCTTAAAACATTTAATGCGTCATTACTTAAAGTGGTTTTTAAGTTCCTCAGTAATTCATAAAATATGAATTTCGATTAAATGTCAAAGGCATATAAATTTATGCGTTCCTGTTGAAAGTATTTCAACAGGAAGTTTTATTGGTTTTAAGGCTAATATACCAGATAGAAATATGAATTTATTGTTTGTAAAATTTTTATCTTACTTCAGTATTGTATCGTACTTGAATTTCGAATCTATTTTCTTTTTAATGTTAGAGTTCAAATATAGTTGGCATAGATGTTTTAGAACAGAATTTTATTTATAGCGGAAGGTATATTTAGTGTACTGAAAATTATAACGTAAGCATTAAGTAGTAATGTATTAAATTGTATTACAGCTATAAGCTACTCTGATTGAAATAAGAATCTTCCAGATTTATTGAATGGAAATCATTATGAATTTGCGTCTTACGTTCATATAGCTTGCATTGGCGGCAGAGGAAAGAATGTACATACGTATCATGTTAGAACATGTTTGCCGAGTTTTCGGTAAAAGAATTAAACATTTTATGCTAAATCTTCAGTTAACAGTTAAATCCATGTATTCTTTTATCGGATTACTATCCCTACTGCAAGGTGTTATTCAGCTTTTCCAGCGAACACTTGGTGTAGAAAAGTTTCTAGCATTTTTGCTGTAATGCTTAGTCTTCTCTAACTACAGTTTATTACAAAGTTCGCTGTTATTATAAAGCTATGGAACCTGGCATTTAACAAGTGCAGAGTTTGAAATTTTTTAAAGACAAAGGTGTTCATAAAATGCAGAATCCATTCTTTGAAATTCTTACACAGGCTGTTCTCACATTTTTTAGACTATTTTCATTCAAATTACAGAAATATTTTACCTATAATTCTTATGTTTTAAATATTCCTTTTTATAACCCTTATTCTTCGCTATTCTACGCCGTTATTTCAAAGCCAATAAAGCTTTTTGTAGTATCGAAAGAGGTATTTTAACCCATTACTCACGAACAGCTTTCCAAAGTCTTGGAAGGTTGTAGGTCGATGTTTGGACAACTCGCTTTGTAAATGTCTGAAAGTGCATTGGTGACAAATCAGAAGATATACTAGGGATCTGAGTGAAAGGTATGGCCTTGATACGCGTTTCTTGTTCCATTTTTTTCCATGAAATTAACAGTAGATTTTGACGTGTCGCTGCTTCCTTTGTCATTTGAAGTTCTACTCATTAATCACTGTGTGTATAAAGAGAAAGTACTTCGCATTGGAAATTGGGATTTAAAATATGTTTTTGATATTGTGTGGAGTTGATCTTAACACCACTTCTTCACTCTCTTTATTTTTAATTTGCCGTTATATTAAAGCCCAGCAACAATCGTGTCTTAGAAAACCTATCTTTAGATTCCTTGAACCATGTTTTAAGATTTTTTCCCTTCTTTGAGGATAATAAATGCATCTTTTTATTGCAGTCATTTAAGAGCACCAAAGATTAATCTATTGTGGAAACATTTTTCCATTTTTGTCCGGAAAATATTTTTCGTAAAGAATTCTGCAGCGCGTTCTACATACCGAGATATGTCAGGGAAAAAGGCGATGCACATTTTCTTTCGCCCTTTCCAAGATTCAAATCACCATTAATAATTTTATTTACAAATGCCACTGAGCATTTTAATGATTCTGCGACTGTCCTTTCACTTGGAGGATGTTCTTTTAACATTAAATGCCTTACTTTTGCAACATTCCAAACACAGTTTTCTCCTTGGATACGCATTTGGATTAATTTTTCGCTTGGAACTAAATTTTGACGTTTTTCCTTTGTTGTTGACAACATTATCTATCGTAGCTTTAGATACTGAAAAATTATAGCTTTCACAACATTTAATAACTAGATACGAATACGTTTCTTCGGAAAGAACATAAATATAGCCTTCCATCTTTAAAGCAACATTTTGCGTGAAAACAAAACTACAAATTAGCAGACGATAATATACGCTTTCAAAAATACAGATGCATTAATTTTTTTCCCCAGCGGAAGAATTTTTTTACGGCAAAGAAAAATTGTCAAAAAAATATGCGAAGTGACTGCATTTCATTAGCTTTCGTGATCAGACCAATTGCAGAGCTTGAAAGGATACCAAACCAGTTAACGTTATATTCGTCCAAAGCCCAATAGGGATTTATTTCGCAAAATGAATAAAAATTTGTTTTATTTTCGAAGATTTATAAATACAAATTTTGATGGTTTACCATTACACTCTCTTGAATGTTTTCTTTTAGGTTTAGTAAACGGAGTCAACTTAACCGAATTAGCGCTTGATGCTGTGTATCTAGAGACTGAGCAAACAATTGAAGGCTCTTACCATCTTGAAAGAGCTGTTGTCCATTCCGATGTAGATGTCAGGGGTACTGTTAATGATATAGATTTAATTGCTTTTGATCAAAATGTAACTGAATTCTGGAAGGAAGTGAGCACATCGTTAGAAGTAATACAAAGCCATACTAAGGACAATTGTGAACTCGCTAATCATCTGCAAGAAGCTCTATCGAGTAAGTTCTTTATGAAAATTTGAATTTTCTGTTATGATAGTTTCGTTTGTTAATGAAACCCGCTTGATTCAAAAACCTTCTGATTTTTAATATAATTCTTAAATACTGCTTGAATATCTTTCTCGAAAACTGATACGCGAATTAACTTGGAGGGTATCTGAAAGTGTAGTTTTAATCAATAGCTTGCCCATAAGGCGTCTGTTGGGAGTTGCAACTGAACTCGTCAGCCATTGAGTCGTCTAATCACAGAGCATCTTGCCCATAACATGATTAATATTGCATAGATACTGTCATCATAAGAGTAAGAAAAGGCAGTAAGCCAACCAAGCCTTACGTCGAAGTCAAATCTATGCCTGCGGTTTCAGACTTAGAAGCCTTACCTAATCACACTGAGAAACATAGTCGCAAAGTTCCGACCTTATTTACATTGGTCACGTAAATAAGTTCGGAACTTATTTACGTTGGTAGAATAAATATTTTCAGTAAATAGCTCACTGGTGAGAAAAGTAGGCATGGTTAAGTGCTTGAGGAGGTTTCCTTTAAAACTCGGCAGCTAAATTTTAATAACCAGCTGTGGAAAATTAATATTTTGAAGATTAAACCCTAGATAAAAGAAGCTGATGGCTTCCTTAAACAAAATTCCTGATGTATACTCTTTTGTGTCATTTTTGTAAAAATGTGACACGAATAAAAATCTGCCATGTTTCCAACCTCTTTTCCATGTCATACCAGGGCAGGCACTGAAATTAAAGGAATGCATTTTGCGAGTTAGTTCGGGTTATGTTCGAACAAAACGGAATAAGGTTCACCAACTCATCAGTAATTACAAAATACAGGCACAATCGCGCCAAACAAAAATACATTATTTGAAGCTGTAGAGTTGTACGATAATCAAATTGGTTAAAGGCAAATTTTCTAAACGAAAAATTTCTTCGATGACTAATGATGTCTCTGGATACGAACAAGTTGGCAAAAAATAATTAATGCTGTGGAGAAAAAAATCATAAAAAGATCATGATGTGCTCAGTTATTTAATCGCGAAAAGTAGTGAGGTGCAAACTTTCAAAGAACATAATCAGAGTAAACTTTCATAGAACATAATACGATATTTTTAAGTAATATGATTACCTTTCCAAACAATAACATTTTGCATCTTTCACTTCTGCACCATTTTCCACTGACGTCATCAACTTTCCTTCGCAGAGATATTGTAAAATTTAATTCACGTCTTCCTATTTCTTATATTCATATTGTCTTAACTATTGTGTGCATGTTAATATTGCATAGGCTTTATATTAAATGAACTCCCCCAGGCTTGCATTACCAACTTGCATTGAAAGTATTCTTTTTTGAGCATGTATTAGGAATTTGGAAACAATTTAATTCATTTTACATTATGGAAAAAACTGTTGAATATTTGGGAGGGGGGATGAGCTATCTCCAGGAATAAATTTAGTTAGTAAAATGTTTCACTGTGTTTTGTAATTATAAAATCCAGTCTCTGCGTACTTGAAGCAATAAATATAATGCAACGAATGAAAATTATTTACAGTTTACATCAGTTGACGTAAGTTTAGCAAACATAGCAGGGAAAAAAATCTTATCAGCTTTAGCCAATATTTATCAATACTCAATCCTTTCGACCGAAACGTTTAAATATTGCTTTTGTCCATTGATATTAGGATTATTGAAATTTACGAATTTACATGCTTTCTTGATTTTCCTGTGAAAGTGGGTAAAACTTATTCTGAACCATTGCATTTGGGGTAACATAACAGTTTCTCTATATTGCAGTGTAGGAGACTGGTGGTAAGAATTAAATTTTGAATTTTATAATATACAGAGAAACATCACAATGCAGAAAAGACGTTTTGTACATCTAAATTAAATGTGAACTTTAAACTGCATTAAATGCCATTAAACTTAAACTATGCACCATTTAACAATGTTATAAAGTGCCTATATTATAAAATGAGTTAGGAAAGTTTCAGTTCCAACTTTTTGGAAAACTAAAATTTTTGTAAAAGAATCCTAAATATAAATGTTTTCCATCTGTATTATATCCAACTTATTAATCAATGTTCAACCTTAAATGCCAGTTAATTTCTTTTAAGAAATCTCCAAGGTACTGAGACTAAAGATTCCAGGGTGTGTTTCAAATTAAATTTTTTAATGATGCACCATTTCAAAGAAATTATCAGGATTCGTTAGCGGCCGAGCGGTAAGTCGCTGAATACTGGTAGTTCAGACTGGAGTTCGAATCCCGGCGAACGGGCTGGCAGCATGGGTGTCCGCCGATAACATCGCGGTCGAAAACGTCGCAGAGAAAACAACGCAAGGCGAAAACGCGAAGAGAAACACGCAACAAAACGTCGACAAGGCGAAAACGTCGCAGCAGAGAAACGCGCAGGCGAAAAAGTCGCAGAGAAAACAAGCAAGGCGAAAACGTCGCAAGGCGCAGGCGAAAGTCGCAGGAAAACCTCGTGGGAGAAAACATCGCAGTTCTAAAACATCGTGGTGCAAAACATCCTCGTCGAAAATAAAGCGGTTCAAAAACTTCGCAGTTTAGAAACATCGTCGACGAAAATATCGTGGTAAAAAATAAAGTATTTACAAATCATCCCGTGACTATAACATCGCAGACATGCTTTTTTTAGACTTTAATAACTGTAAATAGATATTCCCATAATAATTTGTGGGCGCAAGATGGAAAGAAGGATAATTTGTTTTTCATATTTTATATTAACTAATAAATTTTTGTTGAGAAAATAAGAAGGAAACTTAAGCATAGAAAATTAATGCATCTTATAGCACTTAATAGAATTTTAAACCGACATAGTTAACTAACAAAGGCCATTAACAAATCATTTTTATAAAGTTTTTACTGGTAGTCTTTCGTAAAAAGTATAATCTGTAAGTTGCATTTAATTTTCTATGCTTAAGTTCCTTCTTACTTTTTCAGCAAAAATTTATTAGTTAATAAAAAAATGTGAAAGTAAAAATTATCCTTCTTTACATCTTAAGCTCACAAATTATTATGGGAATATCTATTTACGGTTATTAAAGCCTGAAAAAAAAAGCATGTCTGCGATGTTATCGTCATGCGATGATTTGTAGATACTTTATTTTTTACCACGATATTTTCGACGACGATGTTTTGTACCACGATGTTTTAGAAACTGCGATGTTTTCTCCCACGATGTTTTGTAGCACGAGTTTTCGCCTTGCGTTGTTTTCTCTGCGACGTTTTCGTCCGCGATGTTTTTGCCGCGATGTTTTCGGCTGTAACCGGCAGCATGGGCACATTCGTGGTTTTTTCCATGTCTAACGTGTATACTAATCAGTTTCTCTTAGAAAGTCCTCCACGATGGCATCCCTCTCCTGAGACAGATATATCTTGAGTGTTGTGCCATAATCAAATAAACCAAACGAGATAAATTATCAAAGAAAGTAAATTTTAGGTATTTGAAAGCATAAAAAATTTCTTTTCCATGTCTAGTTGATGTAAGCAGTCAGATTTTGTATTTGCTCTGCTTTTTTTTTTATCTTCTGCAATTTTATGAAATATTCAAAACCAAGGTCTACATTTATGAATATAAAGATATTAGATCCTCGTTAAAATTCTGAATTTTTATAGTCTTTTATTCATAATGTTAAAATTTCATCTTACCGAGTTATGTAATTTATTTGAATTAGCTGACGGCTTCTGTCTAGGTAAGTTCAGATAATATGTTACCGAGTTCCCCTTCTATAAAAACTTCACCATTTAAATATACTTTTAAATAACTTTCTGGTACTATTTTTATCACTTCCACCATAGTTATTCTGTTAAAGGGCACTCTTGTTATCTTTCCATTCAGTAAACACTCGGAGAGAGCACTGTAGTGAAGTCTGTCTTGGAAATAAATCAGGCAAGATAACTCCAGCTTTCTCCTCTTTCAAACTAGAAATATTTTTCAAAGCAGTGAAAATGTGTTATTCATTAATGAATATAAAAGGAAAACCTAAAGTGAAACTGTGAATTTATCGCTGTTCATAATTGCCTACAGTTCAGCGGAATTGTAAATCAGGCATCCGGAAGTATTGTTTCAATGAATACCATCCGTCAGGAAGCACATCTGTTTGGTTTTCATGGTCGTTCTGCTGCCCATAAGCCTTTGATCACAAAGTCCAACCGCGCTGCTCGGTTAATGTGGTGCAAAGCACATCGAAATTGGACCGTATATTAGTGGAAACTGGTTCTTTGGAGTGACGAATCAAGGTTAACCCTCTACTGATCGGATGGCAGGGTCTGGCGTCTACCTGGAGAATGTCTCCTGCCAGAATGCATTGTGCCAACGGTCAAGTTCGGCGGAGGTGGAATTATGGTCTGGGGGTGTTTCTCCTGGTATGGGCTGGAACCCTTGGTACCCATTCATGGTAAGCTCAACTCCGATGCCTACTGCACTATTTTGGATGACAATGTGCTTCCTACGTTGTGGCAGTTTTACGAGTTGCACCCCTGTTACTTTCAGGATGACAATGCCAGTTGTCATGTTTCGACGTTAACCAAGTCTCGGTATGGTGTCAGTGGAGTTCATCGAATGGACTGGCCTGCCTAGGGCCCAGACCTGAACCTTATCGAGAACCTCTGGGACAAGTTGCATCGCCGAATTCAGGGGTGCACTACTCGTGCAAAATCGGTGAACGAACTTCTATGTCTTCTCCAAGCCGAGTGGAAAAAAATACCACTAGCTGTTATACAAAGACTTGTGGAAAGTATGCCCCGGAGGTTCCACGCTGTAATTACCTCTCGTGGAGGCTCTACCAACTATTGATTTTGAATAAAGTTAGTTTTTCTTTTCTATCACAGGTGTCCAAATACTTATTGATAGTCAGTGTATAATCATTTAGTAGTTCTCCATCATTTTGACATTAGGAAAGTCAATGTCTTTCCATTTTTCTTGTGTCATTACTTTTTCTATCACATCGATAACACTTTCACTGCAATATTCCTGACTAATACTGTCATTCCATACTGGCCTAGAGACTTTGATAATTTGCCAAATCAATGCATGATAATTCTTAAACATGTTGCTATGCTTTTCAGAGTAAATTCTTTTAGTTAATCAGTGTTATTTGCTTTTCAAATTAAAACAGTATTTTTCTTAATAAGTTGAGCAATACGCAAACATTTAATTGATATCTAATTGGTGTAATTTTAACATAAGATATATATTATCTCATGTGATGCTTAATGCATAATTGACTTTGCAACATGTTCTCTTCTTATGAAGGTGATTTCGAAATTATCGTCATACTGATATTAGAGAACGGTGTATTCTGTAAAAATACGCAGTTAATAAAGAAATGTCTAATGCTGCTTTTTTTACTAGCTCAAATGAGTTTTTAAAGTATTGATCCTATATTAGACATGATAGGAATTTATTTTACGGTCATTCAAAGAAATTGAAAAAATTCATGATTACATTGTCGCCATTATAAATGGTGCATATTTCTTTTAGAATTGCTGATTTTTCTTAGTTTTAAACTCTTTTCGTTTATTTAATAAAAAAAATGATCCGAGTTCAAAGAGTTTAAATTTAGCAGAAGTGTTTTAAGGAACTTTAGATGTGGGAGAAAGGAAGTGTTTCACTTGCTGTTAGCAGATATCTTTGCTACATTTCTTTGATGTAAAAATCATCGTGTCCATTAAAATAGTAAATCAAATTTCTATTTAAAAATATTAAATGCAATTAATACTTCATTACTTCTGAAAAGGGATCTCTTCATGGTTAATCTGTCAGTTATTCATACCAAAGATATTACTTAAAAGTTGTTAACTTAGTTACTTAGCAAAACCAATTGGCTTGGTTCTTTTTAAATTCTGTAAGAGATAATTTAAAGACTTATCAGAACTACATCGTCTGTAAACTAATAGCGTCTACTTTATAGAATCCTACTATGCTTTGGATAGTTTCTCCATCCATCAAGAGTTTACTGTTCCAGCGACCTACGTCTATGTGAAGGACACTGAGGAAATCCGTTTAGTGTATCTGAATGAATTAGCAGGTAATGCTTCCATGATTCACGCTTTCTGGGATTCTTCTCTAGAGAGTTTCGTCACAACAGATGTTCCAGTTTCTACCTCCATAGCAAAGAGTTCTACCTATAAAATAGGAAATCTGGAAATAGAAATACAGATTGGAGTTTTAGATGACGGCAAGTATTTTTTAAACCTCTGATTTATTGATGATTCTTATCAAATTTGATTAATTCCATCAAATTTATGTCCTTGCAATTTTACTTCCTTGTACGAAGTAAAAAGGAAGTATTGTAATCGCGAAAAGTTTCAGGTATGGTATTTCAACTCAAATATCCATTTTCACCGCAAATAACGGACTCGTTTCCACCAAAAAAATTGTAAAACAAATTTAAAAGAAATTCTGAAGAGAATTTTTCGTGGCGTCTGTGCGTACGTACGTATGTATCTCACATAATTGAAAACCGAATAGCCTCAGAACGTTGCAATTTTGTATATAGGACTGCTATAACATAGAGATGTGCACCTGGTATTTTGGTTGCAGTCAGCCGCACCAAAATGTATATATATATATATCCACTCTGTAACTTTTCTCAGTAATCTCAGTTTTATTCTTTTATGTTTGTAAATTGTTCATTTTTTTGCTTTAAAATGATTGAATTGTGTTGTTTTTATCTTCCACTTAAGGTTTTCATGCCCTCAGTAAATCTATATGTAATATTTTTAGAATTATCAACAATTTAAAAGTTGTTTAAGTGCGGCTAAGCCTAATAATTTTGCCATGGCGGCCATTGCTTGTTTACATTTGAAACAGCAGAATAGTAGATTTGATGCCAATCCTAAGATAAGATTAAGCTTCTCAACAAGCAAAGATAACGCCTTCTTTTATTATTGTGAATTAAATCATGCTTAATCCTTTCTGGAATTTTTTCGAGGAAATAATTTAAGATTTACTTCATAATTTTCAATATAGAAATTTTGAGTTTTTATGTATTTTTGCCTTGTCGCAAAGTGAGATCTGAATTAATTGAATGAGAAATAATGAATCGTCTGTAAAAAAACTGTTTCGTTGTTATTGTTCTTTGCTTAATTTCTTTTATACATCGTTTTAGATTTATTATAGTATTTAAATATAACATGTGGCAACGATTAGATAATTCTTAAGATGATATAAATTTTGTGCATTCTGAGTTAAAAAATAAATGAAATGTAACGCTGCTAAGTCAAAATGAATTCCCATGTTTACTTCTGAAATTTTGAATACAACTTGATACAAAAATTGGATTCAGGCCATCGCATCTGATAGAGGTGCAGTTTGATACATAGCAATGTAATTTATCCGAGTACTTAATATAATTAGTGAATTTAGTCTTTCTGCACATAATGTTAAATTTTTATGCACACAGTATTCATATTAAGTAAAGGAAATTTAAATTATCTTTAATTTACCAATTTTAATTAATTACTTTAATTTACCAATTACGAGTATTCTTCAGTTTTTACAGGCTAATAAACAGTAAGTTTTCTTTAATCATTGTAACTATATTTCACTATGTATTGGTTCATTATTATCCTAGTCATAAATGTCATTTTCGCTCAAAACGAGTCTTCGAGTATTTTAAAAATGTAAATTTCTTCATTTAAACTTTTATCTTTGTACCATAAATTATATTTCTGTAAAAAAAAAGGCGGCCAATTTTGATTTGCACGTGACTGCTGGCAGTCTAGGATCGGTACTGTGTGAAATTTACCATTTCACAGCTTTTCTAATTCTTTGCTTTATATTTTTATATCAATATTAAACTTAAATATTTACCGAAAACTTGCAATTTGAATATTTTTATTTTTACAGCCACTGTATCAGTTAAAAAATGAAAAATTGTTTCAATTGAAATATTTCATAATTCCTTTTGCTCTTAGAAAACCATTCCCTGTTTAGTTCGCTACTTAAGAACGCTGTCTAAAATATTTTTATTGCTCACTATACTCTTTTCTTATTCTAAGTATTTGCAAAATAGTATTATGAATTCAGTTTCATTTGGTAAATTTAAAACTGCATCAAGAATAATTTTTTCTTACTAATATTTAACTTGGTAACATCTTTTAAATTTAATATATTTGCAGTTTCGATACTATTACTACCATCACTTGTGTCGATAGTTCTTGAAGTGCACGCAAGATTATTTACACTTGCTTTAAACTAAATTTCTTTGGTTTCTCAATGAGTATTATCTCACAGTAGTTCAATATATTTTTATTTCCCATTTGTTATATCCGTTTTCGTAGTTATAGGAAATAAAACGCATAACCGAATTCTAATCAATCTATAAAGTTATAGCGCGTTTTGAGTGATATATATAGCTTGCCTAATGAAATTATTTTGGGTTCTACAATTTGGTAGTTAACCTTCGTAAGTCTCCCGATTTCGTAAACTTAACCTTCATTATAATTCGAAGTCAAATCTCGGCTAATCATTCGCCAGGTATTACAAATCCAGGTATTACATTCACCAAATCATCCGTCCGTTTTGGCAGATTGTGCACCGAGTGCTGTACTGTAATGGATTAAACAAACCAAAACAGCTGATTTGTTAATAAATTGGACTTGCCATTTTTAATAAGCATTTTAGAACGGTAATTACTAATTGTAAACAATGATGATTATAAACTAATTATTAAAGAAAAAAAGGATCCCGGAATTACTCAGAACTACCCGACTTATAAAAGAAAAGATTAGTTTGTAGATGGTTTACGAGATGTAGATAGACTATTGCAGAAATTAATCTCGGTTTATGAACAAATCAATAATATGAAAATTAAGCAAATGAGATCAAAGCCTTTTATTAATTAAAGGGAATGTCTATTTCAAAATTGTACCGTCACAGTGACAAATTAGGTGAGTCTGAAGGCGTGGTAAAGCCCGGACCCTTTACCTAACCAATTATGAACGAGTTGTTTAAACCTTTTATATCCTGAGCCCCGAAGACCGACATGCTCCTTTAGTATTACAATTCCTTACAAAATGCATTTCTTCTGAAGTGTACTTACTTCTAATATTGGGTTGACTAGCGACTCCACAATCAAGCACTTCTAAACTTCTTCATTGCGCATGATTATCTGTTAATGAATTCAAAATTCAGAATTCATTCAGAATTGTTTCATATGCTACTTAATTTTTGTTACAGATTCCAGAGTGCTAATTAATGGTCTTTCTAATGAACTTCCAACTGGCTTCAAAGATGCATCTGTTTCAAAATGGCGAAGCACTGAAGCAATGATTGCTGTTCTTTTTCCCAAGAAAGCTATGTGTGAAGTCTACAAAGTTCTACCATCTTCAGCAAAATTTGTTGTAATGCCTTATGGTTCAGTATCAGTTGGAAAAGGTAAGAAATTGCTTGAGAAATCTGAATGATCCTACTTTTTATGAAAGCCTCTTAACTTTCGTTAACTGCTCGTGCTAACGATACATTCCAAAATTTAACTCTCAAGGAATTTATTATCAGTATTGTACTATTTAGTTTGAGATTTCAAGTTTAAAACTCTGGCATGCTTTTGGCTTTTTTAGTGATATTCATCGCCATTTCACTTTATTCTAATTTAATAAAAGCCTTTATTTGCTTTTTTGTAGCAAATACTAGCTTAATAACATAATTTAACATTCATTTCTATAGCTAGCTTGTGTATGGACTGTCTTTGAATAAGATTTAACAACTAGTGTGAAATTTAGGTCATAGTTTGAGCAATATTTAGAGTTAACTTTTATTTATGTTTATGGCTTTTAACTACGATAATTTAATTGCAGTCTTTAGCAACTGCTTATTTTAGTCGCTTTAATGCCTTTGCCCGAGTGGTTATAAAGTCATTGAATATTGGTAGTTAGATCTGGGTTCGAATCCAGGCTTGCTGAATGTTTGGTTTCCGTGATTTTTCTCCTTGTGTGACGTAAATACGAGCCAGTTTCCCTTAAAAGATTCTCCATTTAAGCAAATATCCCTTGTATGCGTTGCCAAAATTTAAATAACTGAATCTTTAATTTCTTTGCTTCTGCAAATTTTAAACTGGAGCTTAGTGTTGAAACCTTCATGTATTTCAGTGGAATTTAAAATTTAGTTACACGACTACGTTTTATTCCTTAACCATTTTTCATTTGGTATTTAAATGTAGTTACTTTTTTAATATTACAGCCTTAACTTCTGACAGTAAATCTGGCGAATATATCTCATTTCCTTACAATTCTCTGAGATGGTACTAAAACGGGTAGCTCTCATGAGCTCTGCCTAAATTAAATAAGTATTTTCGCGTTTTCATCACTATTATTTTACGTAATTCAGCTTTTAGATTTAATTCTACAAATCATTTTAAAAGGCTGGTATAGCTCATTATTTAAAATGGAGGCACATGTGTAGTTTTGGGCAGACTTTGATTACTTTCAGAAATACATGTTTCCTACACGGATATCTTTTTCACTTCCTCCTGTTGTATCTTAAATTAGCCATCCGTGAATTTGACTTCCCCTCGATTTTATAAATTTTAAATATTTCTAAAAGTTTTATTTTCAAATGCATATCTTTCAAATTTAAGATCTCTTTCAGGTTATTCAGTTCCCCATAATATCTTCGTAAGATTAACTAAATCGCTTTTATTTTTCTAGAGGCAACTTCAGTTGAAATATTTGAGATTGCAAATTCCTTGTACTTGGCAATCTCGAATTTATTTTCACCTCCGTATACAAAAGGATTTTCGAAAATCTATGGCAAGGAGGAAGGGGAGTGGCGTCGAATTCAAAACATAGCTATTGCTGCCAGTACTCACGTGAAGCACTTTCTGCACAGAAATTTCCATTACTTAGCATTCACAAATATTGCTTCTGTTTATGAAACAAGGGAATCCAAATCTGTACAGGTAAAGAAAATTACATCTCTGTAGTTATTATGAATAATGTGATTTAATTTCAGTGATTAACGTTGCTAGGTTGATAATTAAAGTCGCATTAACTGAATAATGCCGTTTTCCTAGTACAGCATAAAATAATACTGCTTGCTGCATTCAAGAAAAAATTGCACATTTCTTTTGGAAACATTAACAGTAATCTTAAAGTCACTTCATAAGAAATAAATTAGGTTTTCATTCCTATGTTACAAACATTGTACACAGATTATGTTAGTGCAATTATATTTAAAATTGTTGCATTTTTCTCTGAAATGCAACATAAAAAAACTTGAGAGACAAGCTATGCCAGAAAAGTATGAATACATGGACAAGCCTACTTAACATTGAGTAAATTGTCTATCTTTCAAATTCGAAGAGACATCGCCAAAAGTCGCCAAGTTTGGCTACCATTTGGTGATATTTTGGTCCGGTTCCTGTATCACTGTGATATGTATTGTAATTGAATAAATGTAATTGATCACTATCTTGGCTGTAACAGTAATTCGGCCCTCGTATGTCTTCCACTATTTTCGAGAAGCAAAAAGTACTAGAAATGTTTCGGCGGCCAGGCGAAAACTATAAAAGACCGAAGAAAGCATCTGCCCTCAGTTGTTGTTGAGAGTTGTTAGTTCAGCGTGAGTTCGGAGTACTAAGATATCTCTGGAGTTAGTTTTCTCTTTAGATGCGTTTTGCATTGAGTTGTGTTTAACGTTCTTATTAGGTAAGTTTAACTACTGGTTGTGCTCTGATACTGTGAACACCGATGTTATGTCGCTATGTCTTATCTATCCTTAACTATGTTATGTCGCCATACTATGTCCACCTGTCGTGTAAGTTACATTACGTTGTGCATTTAATGTTGTAAATATGTTATGTCTTATGTCGCTATGCAATGACTATATCCTATACTATTTCACGTCGAAATGCTATGTAATGTCTATGCTGAGCTATGTTATTTCGCCATGCAATGTCCACCTGTCGTGTAGGTAATGCAACGCTAGGTATTTTATGTTGTAAACATGTTATGCTCTAGATGGAGCGGGTCCCGGACTATACTCGATTAGTCTTTGAAAGCCGTCCGGGTGTCCGGCCTTGTTGTCACCTGTGTAAAATGCCGGCTTGCTAAAAGCTAAGACTTGCTAAAAATTAATTTTTGTTGCATGTTAAAGCATCTTGCTAAAAGTTTATTTAGTTGGAGGGATTCATTGAAAATTATGAAAAAAGTTACATGACCTTAAAATATACACAATACCTACAGATATTCTTACTCTGCACGTGATTTCAGCAACCATGTGACGTAGACATATACTTCCAATCACAAAAAATGTTTTAAATGACACGAATATTCATTTTTGGCATTTTTTAATTTAAAGAAATCTATTTATACATTCTTCTAGTCTCTATAATTTTGTTTAGGAGAATATTATATTCATTATAAAAAGCAGAACGTAAAAGATTTGACTCTTCGACAAAAATTGACAGATACATCTAATTTCAAAATTTACAATTTTGAATATTCAGTTTGCATTGGGTCCCTTAATGAACAAATTGGAATATTTTTAAAAATATTTTTCTCCCCCTTAAATGCTATTGGATTATATTCTTTTCTGATTCACTAGTGTCTTTAATTTGTAATTTTCTTATATTTGGGGTATACTGAAAGATTGTTCATGCAAATAATTTTTAAATTTTTTAAAGTCTGAAAATGCCTTGACATCCTCATGAAATTTTCCAAAATATAGATTTCATTTTTAATTAATGCGAATTAATTTTAATGCATTTTTAATTACGAGTTGACTGCCACTGTCTTCTGAAACACGAATTCTATAAACTTCTGTGAATAAGATCTCCAGTAGGAAAAAGTTTGTTGATCCACATTTTCACAATAATATGAATAGAAATGGTCGTCTTGTAATCTCTTTAACAACAGAAACCCTTTTCTCAAACTGAATTTTATTTTTAATTACATGCAAGTGTAAACACTTCATTTTTTAGTTTGTGTATGGACTCTGAAGAAATGTATATAAAGCTAGATTTGGCAAATTTACGGAACTGATTTCTTTAAATTTAAAAATTCCGAAACATGAATGGTTACATGAATTTAAACATTTTTATAATGAAGTTTGTCTACGACCAACGGTTTCAAAAAGAAAATTCTGCTCTGGATACGGTGTACATTTAAAATTAACAAAACTGCAATTGTACAATTTCGAAATATATATATTGGTAAATGGAACAGTAACAATTTAACTAGATTTAGGCTATTATACTGGTGGTATTCTGCTCTTATTGGTTTATACAATGCAGTCAAGTTTTAACTACTTTTTTAAACAATAGCTGAGGCACTGGGGTGAACATGAAGTTAAAACTCATAATTTATAATCTGCCGCAATTTTCTAATTAGAAAGCCATACCTAATTTATGGATCTACATTATGTTCTGAGTGCAGATTGTGAAATATAAGCATCTACACCAATAAATCGCAGAATTTCTGTTTAGATTAACATGCTAATAAAATACCACGACAATAAATTCTGTGGTAATTCTGTGTAAATATTTTCCAGTGATTGCAAATATATAGCAGATTCAGTGATTGTAATTTGTGTTACAGGTCTTTCATGAGTATTTTGTAATTTACTCTCTTTAACAGGTTTATCGTAATTCGGGAACCAATGAAATGCTTTTCAGTTTGTTTGAGAAAATTCCTTTCGACGATGCACAAGGTCTGGAAATCTTCGAATTTGGAAGTTTATCGGATCTTTTCTTGGCCACCTGGAATGAGACTATAATTCAGATATTTAACCTAAGAGGAGAATCTGGATTTAAAGCTAGCGTTACTTTGCATGGTAATTGCATAAAGGATGTCAAGTCATTGCTGATTGACCAAAATGTTTACTTGGTTGCTGGACAGCAGAATCTGCAGGCTAATAATCAGGTTCATGCAGTGCTTTACAGAGGATTAACACAAGGTAAAAGAAACCTTTTTCCCCCCTTGTAACCGTATAGGCTTTGTGGCTACACGGTTAGAGCCGTGTTTGCTACACGGCTCTAACCGTGTAGGCTTTGTCCACTATTAAGGCCACACGGCTCTATCCGTGTAGGCTTTGTCCAGTATTAAGGCCACACAGCTCTGTGTAGGCTTTGTCCACTATTAAGGCCGGTTGCGGTGGTCTCTTTATTATAGAGCCATCTAATAGGTGGACCACCGTCGCCTCCTGTGAAGGGCCAAATTACAACCACGCCTTCTCCGGGATTCGAAACCGAGCATGATCGATACGCATTCGGGAGGCCGCCAGCTCGAATGATTGCATTGCGAACTTTCTCACATAAAAGAATTCTGAAATATTCTACATGTATTGCCCGAACTAAAGATGGTGAACGATAATTCTTCACCACCAGAATTTGGCGATTGGATCCCCTAATCCTCGGTCACCTTTTAAAAGGAGGAGTACGTAAAGTATTTTCTCCTTTTTTGCATGCCTTCATAGTGTAACCGGAAGCATGTTAAACGCGTGCTCGGGAGGTCGCGAGTTCGAATTCCGGCGAGGCACTGTACATTTTTCACTTTCCTTCATCGACATAACCTAATGACTGTACAACGCGAATAAGAAGAATGACGGGTGAACAAAAGGAATCGTCAGTATATAGACTGACCGGTAAATCTTTAAAAATAGTCAAGATTTTCATCAGCTATTCGTTATTTTCCACCCCTAATTCTATAAATAACATATCAATATATATTCTTAAGTCTTTTTATTTTTCTAATTATTGGAAAATGTTCTAAATTAGATTTAAGAAATATTATGCATCATCGGTTTGGACTATACTCTTACCAAAAATTGCCTGCTTCCAAATTTCAAGAAGTAGGAATAAAAAATTAGAAAATTGCAAATCTGAATATTCTTACCAATGCACACTTCTATGTGCGCAATGAAAAATTGTATTAGAACCGCAATATTGAATTGAAAAGTTTCATAAATTAATAGAAAATTTTACAAGAAAACTACGATTTACAAACATTTCATTAATTCCAACTTGTTAGCTTATGATTACTCTACATGAAAGCAAAGAATTGCGTGTTAATATCACTCACATCTTAAGAGATGTAAATTTTCCAACGTTATCTCGTATGTAATTGCACATATTCTATACAATTATTTTCCGTCCCTATTTGAATTTCATATTTGTATTTAGCGTATTATTCTGTTTTTGTATTATGACATTCATTACATATTCCATTAGGACTTCAGTTTCATTTTCCAAACTTAGGAGAAAATGATGTTCTCCCTTTTCCATTACTAATTTTTCCTTCTGGAAATTCCATTTGATGTATTGTTATGTGAAGTGCCTTTAGGGAAAAGTTTAAATTGCCGGATATATTGAAAACTCCACAATATTCGGAGAGTAATGGATACACAGAAGATAACGATATTTTTACCACTAAGGCGCCTTTTTGCCTATTTATGCCTATAAGAAAAGCAGCCTACCCGTTATTATAGCGGCCCATGAAATCAAATCTGTAATAAACCTAGATATGTCTTCACGTGTGCTTATATTAGCATCGTGCTTCATATTCGTTAAGATTTTCGAATTTGCATTGGTTTTCTGGAAATATTCCTTGCTTTTCTGTGAATCTATGTTAACATTTTTTAAATTACCAGATAAAGAGGTAGATGCTAGATCTTTTTTCCCAAGATGGAACTCTTTTACTTCGCAAACGAGTATGCGAAAATAGCCCTAACAGTAAACTATGACAACGACCAAGCCATTTGGAGTTGCAGTGTGAAAAATCATGAAAAGGACTTCGGTGCTGGAAATCAGTGATTTCAGAATATCGTTGGTTACTGCCATTAGATTATGTATGCTTGGGCAGAAGAGCTGACATCCATCAAATGGTGTGACAGTCATTTAAATACATGTTAAAATTCTGCAACTGATTGGAACAATTACATTCTGGAAGTGTGTTCCCTACAGCTAATGCAAGATTCAGTGGGAAAATAGGCAGTCGCAATAAAATATTTGAAATCTATGACAATTTTTACATCAGGCCTAAGAACATCAGTGACAGAATATTCCATTTTTGGAGGAATATGACGGGAAGAAGAAATGTTTTGTCGTTCAAGTCCGAATACAGATGCCAGTACGCTAAAGTAGAAAATTACTCAATATGTGCAAGATGGAACAACGATCTGTTCAAGTTACTCGAGTGGATATGAAAACGGAGCAGCTTTAACAAGCTAATTTTTTAAAGATTATTAAAAATATTCTTAGCAAACAGCTTAAGACTATGATTGTTTTTAATATATATAATGTCGTTTTGTTTTCACAATCGTGCTTCACGAATTTGGAGACATCGTAGCTGGGTGAGGTCAAGGGCCCCTATAAAAGGGAAGTACCGAAAAGCAATATAAACAAGTTCAAGTTTCCTTGTAAGAGAAATTTGAAACTCCTTTCATTTGCTGGGAAATTTCAAACTTATTATTTTTAGCTCTCTATATATTTATTCTTCAACAAATAGAAAATGGTTGTTTATTTTAAAGCACTTCAGTTTTAATTTTATAGCTAGTCTAATATTTCTTTTACTTTCCATACACTGATCGAACGCATTTTTGTATATTTCTAATCATGCGAGGAAAATCCATTTGTAAAACGCGGTTTTTTTATTTCGTGAAGATAAGTACTTTATAAGTGGAGTTCTCTTATCCTAAAACTATGAAAAGTTGTCAAAATTATTCCGAGATTTATAAATGAAACTAATACATACTACAAAAAGGTGTAGAAGAAAAAATATGTACAGAATTTTTGTTGGTTTGGGATTCTGAAGCTAGCAGGGATTATTTTGCTGGCTATTTTATAATATTTTAGTATTAAAAATTGTGTTAATGTGTCATTAAAGTATATTATTATTATTCAATATAAAATTGGCATTACAAGCAATAAAACTTGCTAATGAAATTGTTGTGAAAATATTCATTTATGTCGTTACTGCACCATTACCAAAGTTTGTAGAACGATCCAGCAAATCAAAAATTGCAGAACTGAGTTTAAAAATTGCTTTCACCATGCATGCTATTTATTCATAATATTCCGCAATTATTGTTTTGATAATGCGTAGAAACATTATATTTGGACTCTGATCTGGAAAGAATATTAAATTTAAAAAATAAAACCTTAAATTACATTTACAGTGAGGATCATGGAACTTGAATGCATAAGAATAAAACAGATGTTGCTGAATTTCTAGAAATTCATGCTTTTGATTCTTAAACAATCTTAGTCCAATTTCTTCGGAATTCGGTGAATAGTGTTTATAAACACTAAAATCGAAGTCTTCCTTGAAAAACTAAGTATTCAAAATAAATTTTTAAATTAAGCCATAAAAAATTGACATTGTCAGCAAGCGAAAGATTTTGAAATTTCTTCAAATTGTATATAACTTCCTAATGACTACCAATACGTCGGACATGAGTTCTCAGTGGTGAGTTTATTTTGGATCAAACTTAGATCTCGAAGACCACCGGAGTTCGGAGAATCAAGATTTTTGTGTGTCTAACATTTTAGAGAATTTAAAATTTTAGAATTAATTGTAATTGTTAGTGAAGCTTTTTTTCGAATATTCCCTTGGTGAGGACATCGCCTATAATCCACTAGCGTATCAGAAACCGTTTTGAAGTACTATTTTCGCGTTTATGTTAACATTTTACATTATCATGAAAATATGCTTTACTTTCATGTATCTTTTGTAATGATTGATATGTTTTAAATAAAACATAAGTTTTAGGGGTACTACTTGCTTTCTACTTTCTAAATTTTTTTGAAGGTATAAGCATCTTAACTGTGCCGAAATTCATTACAATGAATTATTTGGATTACAGCGAAGTACTGAAGGGCTAACTGGTCCCAACAGTGGCCGAAAGGTTAAAACTACTGAACGGTGGTAGCTCACCTTGAGCTTGAACCGAGATGAGAGCTTTGTCAAATGGTTGGTTTTTCCCATGCGTAACTTAAATACGAGCCAGTTTCCCTTAGAAAAACTCCCCTTAGGTAGTTAGCTCTTGTGTTCTTGGCCAAATGATCTAACCAAACGAGAGCTATCCTTCCAAACCAAAGGATAAGCTTTCAAGAAATCAAGAATCAAACCCAAACAAGAACTATCCTTCTAAAACTCCTTCATGGAGGATGTTTTAAGGGAAACTATCACATGATTGTTTCACATAGGGAAAAATCATAAATTTCAGTGCAGTAGGACCATTCACCAGGATTTTGAGCCCTAGTCAACTAACAATGTTACCGATGTTACCAATCGATCACTGATGGAATTATTATGAAATTATGGAGATGACTGTGTAATGTTCTCACATCCAGCCAAGTCCATAGTTCCAGCAACCCATAGTTTCAACAATTTGAGCACTGCTGCTTGAATGATGCTAATAGGCAAGTAATGAGACCAATGTCGATCACAGAAGATATTGTTCTACAGATTGTCAAGGTGATTTTTATGCATTGCTTCAGCAATCCCAGAAATTGTGCAGGAATTTGTGCCTAGGTGAATATTTTGCCAATAAACACTCATAAATGGTGGTTATATGACCAAATAAGAGAGTTCTTTCGGCAGGGACCGAATAATTAGTTGAATTCCGGGACAAATGATAGACCTTCAAATCAGAACAGAAGCACTTAACCCGAACCATCGAATCTTGTCTCGCGAAGAGTTTGTAGTAATGCCAAGAATCTTGAACGAGCGTACAATGAATACCATATAAAGAATATAAATGTGAGTGTGCATGGGGAGTCTGTATGTTTTCAAGCAAAAAATAATTATGGTGTCCTAGATAGCGCAAGGAATTGAAGACGGCACAAGGCCAAATATAGTTCAAGCGATCCACCGGAAGTTATCAGCACTAGTTTGAAAAATTTGTCTGATCTACAAAATCCAGACCTTATACTAAGACACTGCCGCATTTTTTCATCGCTGAACTGGAAAGACGTTTTCACTGAAACTTAGATAAGTGATTTGTTGGTAGACATATTAACTTTTAAGCCAGCTTATTTCAAGAGGCTGGATCTGAAATCTATATGAAAGTTTGCAGTTAGTGATCTACGCTTTTCATAATACTCCATTTACCAGCATATATATGTTCTTAACTTTTGTATAAAATATACATTCTTGATATGCTCCTAAAATGACTTGGAATTTTCAAGTAATTCATTGCTTGTATCATTTGTCATAAAGTGTTTTTATAGACTTCAAAGAAGATTTCAAAGTTTGCTGCAGTTAGTGGGGATGCAGATCATCAGTTGCATATATATATATGCAGGATACGATATATTTAATTATGGCAAAGCACTCAAAGGCTATCTGCCTAATGTGAGGGATGCTTTCGTGGAGGAATTTCTAAGGAAAACTGGCTCCGTATATACGTTGCACATGAGGAAAACCACGAAAACGCACATGCAGCCAGCCCGTTCGCTGGTATTCGAATCCCAGACCGAACTGCCAGTGTTCGGTGACGCTTATCGCACTGCCGCTGGTCGACCGTTTCGCGTATAAGAATCGTATTTTAATGCATTGAATAGATAAAATTAATATTAAATGAAACTGTTACACTAAATCATAAACGCATTTTGTCCCAAAGCAGAAACTTAACCAATTCGAAGTTTCGTAGTTTGTCTAACTAGTCAAATCTGAAATTTTAACCTAGTACTTACTTTTCTCAAAGCATTCGCGGCGCACCAGAAGACTAATGGATAAAACCATTAAACAATCCTACTTAGGCTTTAAATCCGGGCAAATAGACTAGCTGCATGGAGAACAGACTAGCATGCGGACTAGCTAGTGATTTTAGCCGCATAATAACGCAAATACGAGCCACTTTCCTTTTAAAACGGCTTCTGCAATATCAACTTTTCACTTAGACAAATACCGTACCCTGCCTTGCCTGAATCAAATAACCAACCATTCACACATTATTCACGTGATTCTTGGATTTTGTCCTGATTGAAGAGCTTTCACAGAAAATTTGGAGTACACGGAATTAAATTAGAATTTAATCCCGAAAACTAGAAATACTATTTACATTAAAATTATAAATTAAGATGAAAGTCTTGAAATATTGATAGTGGGTGATTTGTGATGCGAGACGCCACCTCTCCTGAACTTTGGAAGTTCCCTAACCATGAGTGTGTGTGTGAGAGAGAGAGATTATGGCAAAGCCTCGAGGGCTATCTGGCTAAGAGGAGGAATGCCTTCGTGGAGGACTTTCTAAGGGAAACTGGCTCGTATACACGTTACACACGGGCAAAACCACGAAGACGCCCGTGCAGCCAGCCCGTTCGAGGGATTCGAACCTCGGACCGAACAACCAGTGTTCAGCGACTTTACCACTCGGCCGCTGGTGGGCCCCGTAACCATAAGACAGTGCATGTGTAATATAGATTTTTTACAATATTTTTCTTTGAATTTGCAAAATAATTTGGGGGACGACATACCTACCCTTAAATCTGCCTCTGGAGACTTCAGATATTCTTATTTCAGATTAATTATTGTGTTTGATAATGTGAATAAATTTATTTCTGAATTTATACTTAAATAAGTTATTTTATATTTCAGGTTCCTTATATTCACCACGTAATCTAACGTGTGTCTGATATTATCAACGGCTGCATCATTTTTAAACTCACGAAAATAAATTTCCATTTGTTTTAAGGACAATTCATGAAGCTGTCGCTTCTTTTTCTGTTATACTAACTTGTTATCACTTGGCAATTGTTAGATTAAATCTTGTTTAAATCTGTTATCTGTTACTATATTTTAATAAAGTGAATTGCGTTTTATTTTGTTTTTGAATGTTTCTTTAAAATAAAGGCAAAATATATAGATTAAGAAACAATCTTCAATATGTTTGAGGAAACATAAATTGATGTATACTTCTTAGGAATTTCAGAAATAAGTCTTCACTTGATATAATTTGTAAAATTATTGTAAAAGCAACAGAAAATCCTATGTGACAGAATTTCAGTTTAATCCTTTCCCAGCTCCATCCGTGATTGTTACTCAAGGTATCTAAGACTTCAGTTTAGCACGAATTGAGATCATAAATTAGAGTGCATGTTATCGTATTAGTATAGAAACGAATTATGTTTATTCTAACTTGCACCATTTCTGATTAAGTAACAAGCTGCTGGTTAACTCATTGTTCTGCTGATCTCACTTCATTGACAACTTTGTGAGTATTCGATTATCCTGTTCTGAATTCTCAGTAAAGTAAAATTTTCTTTAAAAAAGCACTTTTTCTGACTGTGAAATAGGTAAATTTATAGTTTATATTTAATTCAGAAGCACGGGTAGTATTTTTATTAATTATAGATTTTATTCCAAATCTCTCTAAAGAAAACAGATAACTCATTTCTTTCTAGCGCACATAGATTTCTGAGACAAAATTCAGGTATACCATGTTACCCAAAAACTACACCCTTAGAAGTATGTCCTTAACTCGAATATTATGCTTTTAGTTCTATTTTCATTTCAATTCTCATCACATTCTACTCGCGGATATCAGGGCGTTGATCAAACGTAAAATTCTCAATAAATGGCCAATTAATTTTTATAATCAGGCAAATAATGAACTGAGAAATGTTAAAACCACTATTGACTAATGGCCGTCTATTTTAAGTTAAAGGGGGAAAGTTGAGAACTGGTCTCTGTGGCAAAGTCTCAGCAAATGGCAGAAGCAATGGGATGACAAAGTATATAACAAGCTGAGAAATGTAAAACCCACCATTGGATACTGGCCATGTCGGCAATAAAGGAGGATCCTCTTGACTCGACTGAGAATTGGCCATTGTCGCCTGACCCATGAGTATCTTCTGAAGGGAAGAGAATCCAGCTGCCCAAACTGCAATGCGATCTGACAGTCCCTCACATCTTGGTGGAATGCCAGAGTTTTATTATTTTCGCCAAAAATTTTTTAATTGTTCAGAACTGGGACTTAGGAAATTTAATTGGAAAAAACACATCATCGTAATTTGTTTCTATTTTTAAAAGATATTGGTTTTTAATAGACTTTAACCTGTTTTTAAGATATCAGCTTTTATCATAGATTGTAATCTGTGTCTTTTTACCTAAGCTGGAAGTTTTACAAATAATAAGCATTGTTACCATTGTCTGGTGCAGCTAACCTTGACAGGTTTTGTGCCAAATTACAATAATCCAATCCAACCCTGTGGCAAAGAACGTCTATGTAAAGAAGGAAAGGCTGCATAGACGCAATGTAAACCAGTTTCTCTTCTAGAGACAAAATGGAAAAAGGAGAATTCGCCAAGGGATTTGGCGACGGAACCTGTTGGCGAGAATTTCCCCTTTGTGATGTACCGGACCTGGCCGAGATTTTCCTCCTCCTCCGCGACGTGTACAGGAAATTGAGGAACACGAGTTAAGATAAACAAGAAAATTGAATGAAGTTTCACTTTCACTGGCTGTTGAACTTGCATTATCCATATCGCAGTTTGATGTCTTATTTTATATCCGTCAATATGGAGGGGAAAAAAGGAAGTCGCACAGCTTTAAACTCTTGATAAACTTAACCGTCGAACCTCGACGTCAGCTTCTAACATTGGCGCTTTTTGGCGACAGATATTTCACGCATGCGTAGCTGTTTCCCTTTCATTGAGCCACTTCTGCTGCTACGAAGTTTTCCTTCTTAACAATACATATTCTTTGACTGTGGCCTGAGTCAAGATCATCTGCTGAAAGGCGAGAAGAATCCACTTGGCGTAAAGTGTGATGCAATTCTGGAAGCTCGTCATATTTTACTGGATTGCCAATAGTGTGAAATATTGTTGCGTAAGTAGGGGTTCGTAATGGATTGAATGCCCAACTAGGATAATAGATTAATAAAAATTTATTTTTATCAAAAGAAATACTTCAGAAATCTAGAATTTTCCACCAGAAATATTCGTATAAGTGTTCACAGTATAGCGCAGTATAATCAATAGTTGCACTTCAAACTACTTACAAAGTTAAACACTACGCAATGCAAAGCATATCTAAAAAGAAGGCTAACTCGGATATCTCAGCTCACGTGGAACTAAACTCGCAAAAACAATAACTAAGCAAGTGAGAGAAGATGCTATCTGATCGGCCTGAAATAGTTTTAAAGCGACCACTAGATATTTCTCTAGTACTTTCTGCTTCTCTAAATTACTGGAAGACAATACGATGGTGGAATTAGGGCTACAGTTAACATAGGGGTCAATTACAGTAGTCCAGCTTCAATATAAATTGCCGAGATGTCCATTTACTTAGTGTCAAGTGCACGTACCCCTGTATTCTTACTTTTCCGGCATAGCGTTCTCTTAAAAATTTGTCTCGCGCTACTTTACGCAAAAAAGTACAATAATTTTAATTATAATTCTACTAAAATGACTTATCTAAATACAAAATTCGTAACATTTTCTTTTAAAGCATTTTAATTGTTTCAAGCTGGATTGGAAAACGTAACGGGAAAACCTCATCATAAATTGTTCTAGTTTTTAAAAGATATTGACTTTTACCGTAAACTGCAATCTGATTTTATTCTCATATCTCTCCAGCCTAAACTCTATTATAAACTTCACGCTCCCAACTTTTTAACATACATTTTAAATCTTCGCTTCAACCTTTAGTTTGACGCAGATAACTTTGTAAGGTTTCGCGCCAGAAATTGCAATTTAAACAAACTAATTCTAGATTTCGACAAACAATTCTAGATTTCAGTTCTAGGTTTTATTCACTTACCCTTTAAAGCACGCGAGATCTGAGCGAAACTTTCTCTTATCTATCCATGTTAAGCATGAATGTAAAATGATTGATTGTATCAAAATTAAAAATGACCATTATTTTCCAACTATTGCACCAATGCATCGACATTTTACCACTTGTTAGTAGATTGCAAAAGCTAAGGAATAAATTGATTAAAACCTTCAGAACTGAAGCTAAACCCGCATAATCCTAATTCATTGTAGTTCATTTCTAGTATTTGACCTAATTTCCTCTACCAGATGATTAAATTCAGCAAACTCGAATGCAGTCAATATTTTAGCTCTCAAGTAACTGAAGGTTAGTAATTAGTTTATTCTTTTTATTACTTTAAAAAAAGGTTAAGTAAGTGGCAACGTCAATATATATTTTCATTTCAAATACAATAAATGTTCTTTTATTATTACGTCAAACTGAACTATCAATTCCTCCTTGTACACTTTGGTTATATAATTCTACGCTTTGCTTATATTTACTTTCCGGACACTTTTAAGTATTATATAGTATTTACTCTCAATGAAAGTACTTTGCTGATATTATCTACACTTAATTTTATGTATATTTTAACCAAATTTGTGACTATTGATTCCTGATAAAATTTTTATTATCTGTACAGTTTCCGACGATATATTTAACACAAAAAAAATTTTTTGTAAGCTTTCAGATTTTATATTATGCTGAAAGAGTCGTTTTCTAACGTCCTGTGTGTTGCCTTTATTTATTAGATATCACGTTCTTCGCAACCATAAAATTCTTTTTAACAGCAATATCGCAAAATAATTTTAAAATGAGCCCATCTTTATGATACAGTGTCGCGCGCTGGAGATAAAAATGTTTCTTTTTTGGGTAGAGTGTTGCCATTGCTCGCTTTGAAATAGTCGAGAAATTGTGTATTTTTATAAAATATGAAATAGATAATAAAACTAACTCCACATTTCAAATTTGGACTTCCAGATGCCGATATTCGAGAGATATATTATTCAAAATTCGATGTTTCTAGTTATCGTTCTTTTCTGATAGAAAAACATACATTCATGCAGATTCTTCAGTAATTAATTTCTTTAAATATAATGCAGGGCTGTAATATCTGGTGGCAACAATTTGAAAAGTAAAACGCCGTTTATAGTGAACCAAAGCAAAATGCCAAAACGAAATAAATAGGAAATTAATTTCTAGCCTAACGCCTTTTTGGCTAAAAAGAGGAATTCGCTGAAAATTTTACTTCTTTAAATGAGACTTTATTGAACAAAGCAGTTTTAGTACACAATTTTCTTTTGAGAAACCTTTTTTTCATCAGTTGAAGCCATGTGGAATGATGAGGTTACATAAATTAATCGCCAAAGTGTATACGTTATAAGAATTGCTTTTATCACATTTTAATATTCATGTTGTTTGTAATGCATATTCGTCATCAATATCGTTAGAAGCATCGATGTTTTTGATTTATAAAGTAAATTTACGAGAATTTTCATTGAGTATTTTACAATAACAGCCTAAATTTGAACTGATAATTAATCAAGAAACCTCAGCTAGGAAGTATTGATAATTCGCCCCTGGTTCTCATCCGGCAGTGCATTGGACTTGTTATGTGAAGTTTTCGTAATATAAAATCGAGCCATATCATATTTTACATTACTTCGAGGGCAATATCAAATATGGTACAGTTTAGCTTGAAATCATCCGCGAAGGCTTGCTTTCTTGCGTGCTTAAATAATCAAGGCAAAATAAATGGAAGGTGTGATTACTTGGAGGATTTTCTAAAGTTAATTAGCTATTATTTAAGAAGAATTTTAGAATTATGAAAAGTCAGTGTGCCCAGTCCATTCGCTAAAACCTGAACACAATTCAGCCATACTGTTTACCAACTATCTTTACAACTGTGATACTGAAGGGCCTATATTTTCTCATGGACAGAAAGCTTTGATTTTCTTTGCTTATTCAAATAAACCCAAATCAGATTTAATTCTAAATTTCTACTCAAAATGTTTATAGTAGAAAACATTTCTACAGAACAAGTTCTTACACGCATGAAGCTAAA